TTACGTCCAACGCATGAATGTTTCTCTTTTGAGCTGTTGGTTCAGACTTTTTCACGACTTTTTTCTTAGGTCGGGATGGTCGCACTTCTCCGGGTTGGAAGACATCTTCAGGAAGGTCGTAGCTATTGCTGACATCAGTAATGGTCCAAAAAATATTCGGGGGAGGGAGCAGGTGACGCACTTGCGGACATGAGTAATATTGAGATCATTTATGCCAGGTTGGTACTGTGCCCATGAAGTGCAGGTACTTTTGAATATATGCGTGTCCGCCGAGATATCTAGCGATCTTGAGGCACCTTCGAGAGTCAGTTGTATCATGGTAAGTTGTCGGAATGCCTACCTGGAACTAATGGCTTGAGTTCAAGTCCAATGTAGTATGTTGTCGTGTATAGTGTGCAGCCTTTATCTCCATTGGGATGATCTGTTTCCGGCATTTTGATAGCCTCGCCGCCATTTTGAGAAGCCGCGGTGTGTTGGGGATCGTTACTCTCGTCGGTAGTTTCGGTTTTTGTGCCCTTCGCTTGGTACTTCATTGATCCGCCCATAACCTCTACGATCTCCTTCTCGTCCTTACATATATGAATTCTTTCGAATCCCTTCGGAAACGGATGGGCAATCTCGATTGATGATTTCCTATCAAGCGCTCCAACAAGATGTCGTAGTTTAGATTCCACAAGGCCTGACCACACAGATTGTGCATCCTTGCTGCGGCTTGCGGACGTGATATTGAGGTAATACTTATAATCTTGCGAGAAGAATGTGTGGCGAGTGAAGAGGTCGTTCCAAGATAGTTGCCCAACGAATATTTTGTCAGCAATATCCCCACCGCGTTTTAATTCTCGAAGCAGAACCGTCTTCGTAGATAGTGACACGTTGTGTGTCGCACACATAGATGGATATGCAGGAGTAATTATGGGCATTAGGTGATATTTATCGCCGTGGTAAATCTAAACGATCCTGTTTGAGCGAAATACATCCGTAGTTAGAGCTATGGAAACTGCACTTACCTGCGGGTTCCAAACTTTCATCTGGAGCGGACCTTCTTCTATAGGCTTTAGTAACACTGGTTGAGGCCATTTCCACTGATTCATTATGCGGAAAAACTTTCCCACGACCGCCGACCCTGTAGCTTGGGGATATAGCTGGCAGACTCTGGCAACAAGCATAGCCCATGCAACGCCTCCAGGGAACCCTACGATGTTTGAATAGATCGCTCGTCCTACATCAAACTGTATCAGCATCTGAAAATTGAAACAGAGGTCGACGTTGCGTACGCTGTGCCCAAAGCTTGATTGCACGTAGCGCAAGCCGAAATGTCTTTTGTTGAGGGACAAGTTCCAGGATCTCATCCGTCACCCGTGTCCCGTTGACGCATCGTATCTCTTTCTCATCTAACCCACGTAGCAAATCCTTGTTCCTCAGGTCCAAATTCGGAGGCACGGAGTGCACAAGGAGACGCGCATAGATAAGGTCAATGCTGATACCCGATAATTCAATTTTAATGATAGGAACGTAGGCATCTGGAACTGAAGTTAACTTTTCAATAGCGCCTTTCGGCGCCATGTTTTCTAAAATGGGAGGAAAATCGGAAAAAAAGTCTTCGAAAGAAACGTGTTTCGGGCCAACAACCAGGGTGTCAATATCAGATCCTATTGTATGACAATCGAAAGGTTAGTGTATACTTTCCCCAAGCGTCATAGGGCCGACACCAAAAATGCCAACGGACCTGGACCATATACGCCCAGACGATAACTGCCATATGTAAATATTTTCCCTCCAGCAACATCGATAGCCGCCTGCGACAAACCCTTGCGCCGGCTGACTACCTTAACAAACTCGACCGTCACCCGCTGAATTAGTTGTAATGTCTGTTTTCTAAGGCGAATGTAAAGTTAACGGTGGTGCCTCAAGAAAAAGACGAAAATAAGGAAGAATAGGAAGACAACTGAAGACAATAGTTGTTATCTGGATAAATACCTCCGCTCAGTCTCTGCCGGTGCTTCGAAGTTATTTTGTCGTTTTAGCTCGGTGGTTAGATCATCGTTGGCAGCGATCTCTGCTGGGGTGGGCAAGGCATTCGATACCGGAGGAGTCACTCCCCACTGCCTAGTCGGCGCTGCAGCCATAACGTCGAGGGCGCGCTGTCCCTATATGACGATTCTGAACGCGATTTGGAGTTCACTCTGCCAAAATCGAGTGTTCCTGCTGCTTGCAAATGAGGCTATCATGGGTGGACAGATGGACAAGAGAAAATCAAGGGAGGAGACTAAGGCGCAGAAACGTGCAGTTGAACAAAGAAGACACATCCAAACACCAGACCCACACGGTTGAACTAATAGAAATATGCAAAGAAAAGTGAAGGCAGGTGGCTGGAAGTTCGGCGAAGCTGTGTGAAGCTGCAGTCGGGTTGGTCTGGCTGAGTCATCATATTCTAGACGCGCGGCAAAATAACTTGAGGCTGAATCCGCATTAAAAATTCCTAATTTAGAAAAGGCTCCTCATTGGTGAGTCAGGTGATGGAACCCTCTCAAGGTTGGCAAGGACTTGTTGAAGGCCCGGGCGTATGCTTGAACAACCTACATCTGCAGGCAATTGGCTGTTCTTTCTTTCACAAAAAGGGAATGTACTTTTCTGAGTTTGCTCTTGATCAATTTGTTGACAAACTTGTGTCTTAGATAGATCTTTTGATCACTGTGTGACTGTGTTGGCACTTCATCATATCTTTCTCAATCATGTCTTTCCAAAACTGCTATGAGCTAATTTGTCTCTGACCAGATCGAAAACCTTCCAAAAACTCTTGATGTGACAGCTGCTCTCTGTGATTGTGTATGCATGACTCATGTTTCTAGATTCTGCTGGGGTTTATATCAGTAAGGTGTTGAATTGCCATTCTGTATAGTTCTGGATTGAAGATGAACTGTTTCTGTGTATTATAAGATAGTCAGAGCAAGATGTTATTGCCTAATCATATAGTTGAAATATTCACACTTGCTATAGAAAGGCAATTCTCCATAGAGGAAACAGGGAAATCGGTCTTAGTTTTTGCATGCACAAGGCTACACTAATGCTGAGGGGATATAGATCCCAGAAAGACAACAGACAAACTATATTGACATGGCCTTTATCTAGTGGTCCTGGCTGGTGATACTCAGACAAATAGGCCCAGCCAACGCCACAGCAAACAGCAATCCATGTCAGCGAAAGCAGTTATGTTGCTTTTCTCTTTGATTAGAGACCAAATATTGGCCGCTATATGTACGGTTGCCTCTAGGAAATTTCAAATTCGAACCCTCATGCCATGGAGACTAAAGTCGCAAACTATTGGGCTGCATCCTCACATGTAGTAGGGAAATTCAATGTGTAGCCGCATGCATTGCAAACACATAAAAAACCCGACCCTGGTCCATCTGCAATCCTATGTGTTAGGCCATGTTCGACTTCAGTTCTTCAATCAGCACATCCCTTTCATTTCAAATCTTCAAATCCAACCGAGTCAAAAAATAAAGGTACTACAATCCAACTTAAAATTTTTTCAGCAAGCATGAAGTGGAGAATCATCACGGTTTTCCTGGGAATTACATAGGGCAGGCCTACACACTGCAGCGTACGCACGTCGCTTGTCAATATCAGCTCTCTTCACGACGTAGAAGCAGACGATTAAAACCTCGGGTGAGAGCTAGCTTAGCATGAGAAAAGGGTCAATTCTTGCATTTCAGCGTAAGATGCTAATATATAATCATCACTCTGATCCTCAACGCTTGCTCCATGCATTAGTTAACTAAGTAGTTCAGATGATTGCGCATTATCCTATCACTTGAGACTCCTAGAAGCCAAAGAGAGTATGAACAAATTTTACTCCTTCTTCTCATCCTGGCGACGAGCGTCGTGGGTATGCCAAGGACCCAAGAGCAAACAGTGGAGTCATACAACGTCGCCCTCATCTGCCCGATGGGGGTTCAATTAGCCGCGGTGGAAGGCATCCGCGTATATGAAGGAGCTTCTGGAGACAATCCCTCCATCCGAAATTAAGAAGACTCCTCTCGCGGTAGAATCCATCAAGGTAAATCATTTCAAAATTTTCTAGCAATCAAATTGCCTGATGGGAAGCTAATGCAGCTTTGCAGGTGTCGGGACTCTCAGGGGAAATTGCAGGATAAAATTTCAGAGTTGGAAGAGATGAACAAACTTCTCGCTTACAGCGATAAATCTCACGCCAAAAAAAAAAAAAAAAAAAAAAAAAAAAAAAAAAAAAAAAAGAACGAATCCTTGCAGGTCGATCTCAAGGAGTCACAGGAAAATTTCCGCAGATGGACTGCAGGCGGTGGAGGATCAATTCGAGGGGAGTCCGGAGGAAACGGCGGGCGTCCTGAAGGCATAAATGCTAGTGGGGTAAGTGCTTTGACACGGCTGATGTGATAGACCTGAGCATCCTGCTTATATGTATGTTTACAGTTGTGAGTGGTATGATTAGAAGCGGTTGTGCCGAACTGAAAAGGACGATACTTAAAAGATGGGCAGCGGGATTACCCCAAGTGGACAAATTTTTTGCAAAGTGGTTCCGCTCTCGCCGTTTCTTGTATATCTTCAATTTGAGTTGAACTTGAGTCAAGCAGATATCTGGCTGGTTTAGCGCCAATGCGGCGTGCGGCGTGGGTTTATAATATAGGCTTCCCATTACGGACTAGCGTAATATATATGCACTCCTTCGGCTTACCCGCGGTTAAGCGCTGGTAGTAACTACAGCGTAAGTGGAGGGACATCTGACTCCTTATCAATTCTCCGGCAAAGACATGACACAATGGTGTCCTACTGACCTCCTGGACTACGAAACATGAAACTTGAAGTAGACGGGAACGATGCGATAATGGTGCTAACTGTTAGAGCTACTCTCGGTCCTCTTAACTTTCGGCGGAGACACGACCTTTCGGCAAAACAAAATCCCGGCCTGATCCATTTGGAGTAAATATTGTGCTTTGGTGGTTGACACATGGGCAGCATATCGTCAATTGAACTCTGCGTCCCCTTTTAAGAGCTTGCACCCTCTTTACCCGTTAACTTCATATTTCTCTATAAGAATGGGTAGCATCCGCCCTCCATTCGCTGAAGTTGAAGCATCACGGCCCGATTTCGACCATTCAGCGCCGCTAACCTGGACCAAATCACCCAATCCCGGTTGGAAGCAAGGACAAGGAGGAAACGATAACCAAGCCAGCCTGGAGAAAAACCATGTTGAAATCGACCCCTACGAAGCGGGCCGGACTGCACACCTCAATTACAAGCTCATGATCTCCGCGATCGTGCCACGGCCAATTGGACTCCTGAGCACCAGATCAAGAGACGGGCGGACCTTAAACGTTGCCCCCTTCAGCTTTACGCAGATGGTCAACTTCGACCCGCCAATCATCGTCGTGGGTTTTACGGGAAGTCCGGATCCGCCAAAGGATTCTCTACGCAACATCCTAGAAACGGGGGAGTGCGTTGTCAACACAGTCAGCGAATATCATCTTGAAGCTGTCAACCACTGCTCTATCAACGTACCACATGGCATATCCGAATTCGAACTGTCAGGGCTGCACCCGGCCCCGTGCACGACAGTCAAAGCCCCTCGAGTTAAGGAGTCGATATTCTCGATTGAGACGAAACTCGTGGAAACAAAGGAGTGGAATAGCCGGGCGAATCCAGGGAAGAAGAGTGGTGTTATGGTGATACTAGAGGGGACGAGATTTTGGGCACGAGAGGATGCGATCGATGACGAGAGGAGCCTTCTTGATCCTGCTGTTCTTCGACCCGTTGCCCGTCTTGGTGGGATTTCATACCTAAGGTCGACAACTATGATGGAGATTCCACGACCCTCAGTAAATTAGGAAACTCTAGCATCGGGTTCTAGAAATTACCCGCTGCGTATGTACTCTATTTATAACTTGCTGGGATTTTCCCCTTGCACGTTTTTTTCCTTCCCTTGTGTTTTCCTTTTTCCCTTTTCGATAGAGCCGGATGGATTCTGAATTTCTGGCGCATATATACTTGCTTTTGTCTATGTACCTATTTATATTCGTTTCGACAACTGATAGTGTTGGAGGTAATATCTAACTACCTTTGACCCAAGGATCGCCCGGCTAACATTTACTAGCAGTGCTAGTATTTGATGCAATCCCTATATGTTTCGGCAATGTGACCAAGCATCGTGTTTGGTATATTGTATCTGGCATGTGTCCATTTAAGCCTTTTCGTTCCCTTGGTCATGGTTGGCCCCGCCCTAGAAAGCACGAATCCAATGCCGCGTTGCTGCCAAATGCGCTTGCCAGTCCACTTGCAATGCGCCTGTCAGGCCGCTCAACCGCGGCAGACTCGGTTTGTTTCTACCCATCGGCAGCCTCAACCAAGGGACGCAGGGTTGCCGCAGTGTTGGTTACCCCCTCGTTTAGTGCTATGGTTCAAGGAGAATCCGCGACCTTGGTTCCTGGTACCTGTGAATGATTAAAAGCTAACAGTTGCATCTCGTACATTCTAGCTGCAAAACTTGTCACAAACCGAATGATGGGGCAGATGGACGTCCTCTCCCATCCGGTTAAGAATTAACCCATTTATCTGATATTTTTGCTTAATTTGTTTTTGTAATATATTCCTCAGTTCAGCACCCTGCTTGAGCAGATTTCTTGCTGTGATATCATGTTAATATTTATTATTGCTCAAGCTGGCCTCCCTCCCCCTCAACAAGAATGGTGTATGGCTAGGTATGGATATAGATACTTCTGCACTTATGTAAATAGAGATTTCCCCCCCCCCCCCCCCCCCCCCCTTTTTTTTTTTTGGTCACAATGTTTTTGCCAGACCTTGTTGTCCATTGATACCCGACTTTCGGTGCGAGAAATTTTAACTTACACCACTGAAAATGGATTTACATTCTGGATATCCTCAATGATAGCTTTGGTGGCATTGGTTTTTGGTGCGAGTTGTAATATTCTTCTCTCTTACGTTTTTCGTACTCTCAAAAAACATTTAACAAGTTACAGCATATTGATCTGTTATCGGTCTCCCGCATCATCCTTGTCGAACCTTTAATTTCTTACCGTTGTGATAAGCGGGGGAAAGTGGGATAGCAACCCTCAATGGCTGCACTAAAAAGCCGTTGCAGATATTCTGCTAATCTAGTGGCCCAGGCCCTGCCACATTATTTCTTTTAATGGTTGCCCCTAACAACGCATATCACCCCAACCTCCTCTAACGACTGAGGACAAGAAACTCCGACATTTGTTTGAACAGAATTTTCTCCCTCGACTCGATATCAGTTGGCATTCAACATTTACAGAACATAGCGGAAGGTACGGAGTATTGTTATTGCTATTTGCCAATTGCAAGATTCAAACTTCCTTTTCGTCAGTGAAGGCCATCCGCATGGCACATTGATATTGCATGTGAAGACAGGTTGTATATATTCCTTTATGTGCACTGTTTACGATCGATTTTGTGCATCGCGAAATCTTTGGGCCGATCATATAGCGTTTGCCTAACCGATATACGAGCAAAATAAAGGGAAAAGCTTTCGGCGGGCCGGTAATCAAACTTAATTCGGGTTCTTCAGCTGCAGCGCGGGAACAAAGCACATCAGCGAACAAATATACGCAGGAAAACTGAGGTTATGGCGGATTTAGCTCCTAAAGCGGAAAAATCGGATGCCGTGGATGCAGATGCCCGTGATTTTAATGAAACCGATCTGTCGCAATCGTGCGCAATCATGAATGCGGGGGAGTCGCAACAGTTTGAAGCGAATGCCACAACTTCTACACCCGAACCGGAAACCGCTTCCTCGGACCAGCAGGTGGAAACTGATGGGATTACTGAATACCATGCATTTGACCATAACCCCCACGAGCGACCTCATTCCTCCTCTTCTCATGCTTCTGCTACTTTTACTGGTGATGACGATTATTTCGATCAAGAGGGCCGACATGCCGCAAGGTCAACATCAAGTCGCTCATCCATTTCTTCTTTACCGGGCTCCGTCGTCGTATATCCTCCAGGAAAGCATGATTACAACGGCACCATTACCCCATCGAATTTCCGCGGGCATTACATGCAACATTATATAGAGAGTAATAATGGCCAACCCATTCCCGTGGACAGCAAGGACTTTAAAAAGAACACTTATACCTCCCGGCTTTCAAAAATTGCGCCTGGCGTTCGAGATCGTGATTCGCCTTTTAGACACCCCAGCTCAGTGCGTGCGATGCAAATGGGCGATGAGGAGGATTATGACGGGTATGGGTATGAGTACGACAATGAGAAAACTACACCATCACGATCTCGGAAGCGCCGGGGCAACGGCCGTGGCCATTCGTGCCAGAGTGTGTCGGGTATGTCGATGCGCTCGCTGGTCTCGACGCCGCCGTCTGCTAGGTGGAATTATAAATCACCATCGACAAAGGGGGAGCCAGTACAGAAGGAGTACCCACTAGTCCTTCTTCATTGCACTTTGCTCCCACCGTCTCTTTCACTGCCACATGGCCTGGGAAGGCCTAGTGCGCAGCTTCTTGAGGAGATTTTGCCGGAAAAGTACTGGGCGAGGTGGAAGTTGTTGGAGGATAAGATTGTCAATTCAGGTGTGCTGAGGGATCGCGGGTTGCTGATATCTCACCCCCAAGAAATGTATGACTTGCTTGAGGAGCGGCTATTAGAGAGTCTAGAGTTGGTTCGGCCAAGGTTGGGATACGGGCATTTCCTTGGTCGGGAAGATGAAGACAGTGCGGATGATGATGATGGGGATAAGAAGCCTGATGCGAAAGAGGATTGCGGAGATTTCAGCGATGGATGTGAAGGGGAACAATGTGCTGATTGTGGCGCACGGGTTCTTCGGCATTTAGAAGGGGAAAAACGGAAATGGGAAATAAAAGTCTATGCTGCGAATGGACTAATGAGAGCTGGCGCTTGGGCCGCAGCGTGGAGAGAAATGGAAAAGGTCGACGTCGAAGTCGGATTGGCACTCCCGGTTGAGATAAAGCGGGAGCTAGAGCGGAGAATTACTGAAGAGGGTAAGATGAAGATCGAGCAGGAACGGCGTTTGTTGGAGGAGGAACAACGGAGGAGAGAGATATACGGTGAACCGCCACCACCCACCCAGGAGGCAATAGATGGGCTCGAAGATGATATGGTTCCTCCCTTTCAATCGGATTTTGACAGGTCATCTCCTCCGCCTACTTTAGAACTGCCAGGGCCACGGCCAACGGTTCTCTCCGTGTCAACCTATAAGCATGGACATGAGCACAAGATAATACCCGCCAAATCTAATGAGATTGATTTGCAGACTCTTTGCGCAAATTACATCCGTGTTCTCGCCAGTGATAGACGGAACGTCGCGCTTGCTTTCCTAAGTGTTCTTGTCCTCTACTTATCGATTACCCTGACGAGGAGAGAAGGGGTTTTTATACACCCCACATCAATCCCCCCGCATGCCCCTCCGCCAAATATCTCGACGCCAATAGCTATTGAACGTAGCCGTCCCTCAGTCATTGGTTTTCCTGTTATCCCATCCGGTCAACCAGGATTTCCACTGAGCTCCGAGATGGATGACGAAGTGATCCACACAACGTCCGCGTGTGCGAGCCCTATATTTGAAATGACATCTACTAATGATATGCCATTAGAGCAAACTCTCACATCGCAACCCACACCAAACCGTTTTCCACATCTTTGCCAAAGTGAATCTCACTCTAGTGAGCCCTCGATTCAGCCCCAAACACCAGCTGCATTGAAACCTACGGTAGTAGCTGAATCAAACGATTCCTCGCCAAGGAAGCACCGTGACACCCTTTGCTCATCAGTTCAGCATATTGCGCAGCCCGCTCTGCAGCCAACCATATTAAACCCAGATGTCATAAGTGAGCACCGTACTGTTGCGTCCTCCGCTCAAATGTTAGAGTCATCTCAGCGGCTGTTAGGCGTAGAATGTCAGCCATCAGCGCTGGCTTCAACATCAACAGGAGCTGAGGGTCCATCGGCAGAAGGGTAACACAATCACCGCAAGTCATGATACACGACGTGGAGAAAGATGTGGAACGACTAGAAACAGAGCCCGTACCGCTTCCTTGTTGTGTTTCGATGCCAGTTGACAATTAACACAACTTGTTTTGCGTTTATGAACTCGTATGACTATAGCGATGAGGAAGACGCAGTTTCTCGGTTTTGGTTTCTGCGATGATGGGGCGTGAAAGTCATTAAATGATGGTTCTGTTTTTTATTTTCGTTTTATTTTCCCCCTTTGTTAAACAAAGTGAGCATTTGCTTACCCAATAACGAGGTGATAATTTCCTTTTGACTTTTGATATCTAAATTTTGCATCAACCTTCCCATCTCTGCCCTCACATCCGTCATTGTCCTTGCTTTATACATCTCGTCGGCCGCAAGAGCCCTTCTCCCTCACCGTTCTCTGATTATTTTCGCGGAAGCATGGGTATTTATACGAGCCAGTGGTCTTCGAATTTATGCGTGGAGTATTTCCTTTTTTCTTTTTTTTTTCTCGCCCTACTTTTATTGAGTTATTTGCTATGTTCTTCATTGTCATGTGCCATCTGCTGGCTTTTGAGCAGAGTTATGAATTGATGAAATGTTTCAGGGACATATATATGTACGTAGATTAGTTGATAGATAGATAGCCTATATGTAGCTGCTAGGAATATTACAGAAACCTTTGCTGGCAATTAAAGGCAGTGTTGCTGCAACACATCTGCTATGTGGCAACGTATAGATACGTCTGGGAGCAGTGGAATGCAAAAGCTCCATAATTCAAGATGAAAAGAAAATAACAACGAAAGTCTCACACATCCAACCAGAATTCCGGATCCACCGATCGGTTTCTCTTTTGAGCATGTCTGAAAGATAAATCGCTTGATCTTATCAACCCGGGCTTCGAACCCCACCATCTCCTCTTGAAGGGAAACTAAATCCATGCTCTTGAGGACCTGCTATTACGTCTGCCGAATATCAACACTTTTACCCGATCAATCCACTGCCCCAAATCAAAAACGCCTTAACAGATAGGGCTGGTAGCATGGATGAGGTTGGTGCCGAAAGCTCGACATATTCCTCGTATCACCCAAGCTTTCTTCACTTGCATGACTGGGACAAAAGATCATCGGTATCGTCATTTTCGGTATCGTCATTTTTGCTACGATCGTTCCTGTACAGAACATGAACATGAGGAATAGGCCATCATCAGAGACCGGTGGCTTTGAGGAAAACAAAACGCGGATTGGCAAGCCACTACATCATCGGCCTAAGAAAGCTCTGGAAAGCTGTTGTTGGCCCACGAAACTCGATGACTGGAGGGACACTGTCAGCCAAAAAGTGACGATACCAATGATGTTGAAAGAGGACTGAAAACCCATGGTACCTGGTCAAAGCTCGTAGGAGAGCACATCCATGGGCTATGGCGAGGGGTTGGCGACCAAGAGGCCATAGGTGATAGGAGAGCAAACGATGGGAGGAAATCTCCGTTGCCATGATGTCATCCTTGTAATACAAGTTGTTGAACCCCATACCAACCCATGTTTCCAGCTATACTCACCACAGCTCTTCACTTCGCTATACCACTTCTAGCATTATGTGAAAAGGGCACATAAATACCTACGTAGATTTGATGCTGAAATGATTAATCAAGATTGATTCTAGGGTTTTCCGAATTTAACACATCAAGTATCAAAATACCAAAATATGCTGTAAATGAATTGAGGGTTGGCTCAGATTTGCCCAAAGATCGGGTAGAGAGGACTTAAGAGGCTTGTTGCAGTGAGGGATGTTGATATTGACGTCTAGAGCTTTTGAACCTCCTGACCTGGACATACCACGCCAGTGGATGACAAGGCTGTGCTGCTGGAATGGGAGTTCCTCCGGATATTGTTGCTCATCGTGCAGCCCCAAGCCCAGTTCCAGTACAAGCGGAGATGGAGAATTGGAAGATGTTGCTGTTTTCCGCCAATCGCCGCCCAGCCTGTGGGAACGAGGGTGACTAAGCCTGTGATCCGCTATTCCATATTTACATTAGTGCGGCTGCAGACAGATTCTCGGCATTTCCGGGTCCCGTGATTGGCCGCGAAAAGTTTTCGGAGCCTCTTGCTTTCTAAAAAATTCTCATCGCGGATTTCCATACTTTTCCTCTCCAACTTTATCCGTGGCCATATACTAATAATTCCCCTCCCCCTTTCCCCTCCCCCTTCCTCTCCCTATCTTCCTTGTTTCGCGTTCACTCGCTTGGTTCGTGCTATCTCTTCGTTTTCAGAATGGCTGCTGCTGCCCCTTCTTCGAAACTGGATGGCATCCAGAAACCGGCCCTTCCCACCCCCCAGGGGCCCCAGATGAGCGGCCTTAACCTGTACTCGAGATTCGCCTTTGCTGGCGCTGTCTGCTGTTCAGTTACCCATGGCGCCCTCACACCTGTCGACGTGTAAGTCCCAGAGTCTCATTGCGCCTGTCTGTTATAAGCCCCTTGGAATTGCGGCCGATTCGCCGATGTTTACCCGAGGCTCACAATGGAATGTCTTTCAGCGTCAAGACAAGAATCCAGCTTGATCCAAAAACCTACAACAGAGGCATGATTGGGGGATTCAAGCAGGTCGTTCAGAATGAAGGAGCCGCGGCTCTCTTGACCGGTTTTGGCCCAACTGCTGCCGGTTACTTCCTGCAGGGGGCCTTCAAGTTCGGAGGTTACGAGTTCTTCAAGAAGCAGTCCATCGACTTCCTTGGCTACGAGACTGCGGCCAAAAACAGAACCGCCGTCTACCTCGCCTCGTCTGCGCTTGCTGAATTCTTCGCTGATATCGCTCTCTGCCCCCTCGAGGCTACACGTATTCGTCTCGTTTCCCAACCCGAATTTGCTTCTGGCCTAATGAGTGGATTCGGGAAGATCCTCAAGAACGAAGGAGTTGGTGCTTTCTACTCTGGTTTCGGTCCTATCCTTCTGAAACAGTAAGGCTTTTCTCCCCAACCAAACAGCGCCCGTGCGTATCACATTCATTAGTAATATTAATTCTTGAACAGGGTTCCATACACTATGGCCAAGTTCGTCGTTTTCGAGAGAGTCTCGGAGGCTTTGTACCGTCAATTCGATAAGGAAACTCTCTCCGATGGGGCCAAGACTTCTATCAACTTAGGATCTGGTCTCATGGCCGGTTTCGCTGCTGCTATTATCTCTCAACCCGCCGACACCATGCTTAGCAAGATCAACAAGACCGAAGGCCTTCCAGGTGAAGGAAATATGTCTCGCTTGATCAAGATTGCAAAGGAACTCGGACTCCGGGGTAGTTTTACCGGTATTGGCGCTCGTCTCGTCATGGTTGGTGCTATCACTGCTGGTCAATTCGGTATCTACGGTAGGTTATTTGTTCGTTTGCATTCGCACTTCCCCCGCATCAACGATTTACTGACCTTTCCTTTCTCTGCAGGTGATATCAAGCGCGTCCTTAACGCCACGCAAGGCGTCGAATTGAAATAGATTAGCCCTTGATTCCTTGGTTACCCGATATCCACCACCCACCGTTTCGTTCAACTCTTTCGATGCGTTAACCTCCTACAATACCCGGTCTCAACCCATTGTGTGACCTCTCATATATCCCTAGCAGGTCCATCCGGGATGTATATTTTTTTCTTTTTTATTCGTCGTGTGGGTTTTTCATGTGTCAGTACTTTTTTGATATAAAAAATGAAAAGTAATGAAATGCCAGATAGACAAAGCTGCTACTTGTGTTGAAAGAACCATGTCCCCATATAATTCAGCCTTCATTTTTTTTTCTTTTTTTCGTTTGTCTTCGTTTGTCTCTCTTGGTTTTCACAAAATTAGCATGTACTATCTGCCTTTCTTCTTTCTTCCTCTACTATCTGGTCTTCCTTGTCAGTTATTTTATTAGAGGACAATTTTCTATTGTATCTATAGATAGAGGGTGTTGGATCCCTGGTTTTTCAAAAGGACTCTTGTGCTTTTCCATATGCCATAGATAGTGTGTTCATAGATTCTCACATCTGTTTTGTCACTGTCATTTGCATTCAAGACTATGATCCTTTAGAAAATTGTACGTTATTTGCCTCATGACGATATTTTTTCTCCATGGTTCAGCCCATAGGTTACGTTATACACTGGACGCATCAACACTTGATTCGAGGAGATACAGCGCGATATCCATGGTTGCATCTGCCATCCAGCGGTCATAGACAACGGGCTCCCAATGGCTGCCAAGAAATGACTGCCTGTTACGGTTAGGCGGGAAGGTCATCCTCCTTAACCGCGCTCCTACCCCGGCTCGGCCTTAGGATGAGGCGGCTTTTTGCCAACATACCAGACAGCTAGAACATATATATAGATACCCAGGATATCTGTCTCCCCAATCCCATCTCCATCTTCCCATCCGCATATCTATATCAGAGAGCCCTGTTCTTTCGTCAATTCCTCTCATTCCAAGGTTACCCCTGAACTACCCATTGGCCTATCACAACCCGAGGCCCAAGTGCCCCTGAAACCTTATCTAACGCCTTGAAAAGTTTCAAACTTGGAGAACATCAGGATCACACCTCTTGAGAGAAAATAGAGCAGAGAAGAGAAGACCAAGGACCAAGCTGTTTATGCATATCCACTAAGACGTACGTGTGCATGTGTGCGTGAACACATGCGTATGCGGTGATGTTTTGAATTTTCGTTTTTCATATTTTGAAGAGAAGAAAAGAAAGAAAAAAATAGACTGTCTGCATTTGGTTGCTGAAGGTGATCCTGTTGAGACTGCTTAAGACGGCATCTGTTGGGACACTCATGTTGCGGGAGAATGGGGTCTTTTATATCGTCGGCCTACCAGCACATATTTCGAAAGCGGGAGACGCAATGGCTTGACATTGACGGTGAGTATTTCTTACATTTCTGTTCCTCTGAAGTACTTTATTTTAAGTTGGCTTTCACGGGGTGCTTTACGCTTCCTGTTTTTTCTTGTTTCAATTTATCTGTCTGTTTTCTTAAATTCATTTCTTGTGGGTTGATCATTTTTTTTTTATTCTACTGTTTTCTGTTTTTTGCTTGTGTATTTGATGGAAACGCTTCAGCTCCAAACACGTTGGTCGTTATCATCCTGTCGCCTTTTTTTTTGGTTTTTTTTTTTTTTTTTTTTTTTTTGAACACAATGGCCACAAATTTCCTTCGCTAAACAATTTCCTCAGACTTCGACCTTGACGAGCCGGGTGAGCCAAACCAGCTGATGTTTCAGGCCTTCGAGTGGTACGTGCCTGATGATCAGCGACATTGGCTACGGCTGCGGGCAGCCCTACCAAGTCTCAAGGAAATCGGAGTGACCAGCATCCTGCTCCCACCAGGCTGTAAGGCCATGAGCCCGTCCGGCAATGGATATGAGTTGTATGACCTTTACGACCTAGGTGAGTTCTATCAGAAAGGGTCGAGGGCCACCAAATGGGGAACTAAGGAAGAGCTGGTTGCTCTTGTGACTAAGGCGCATGAGATGGAGATCCGGATCATTTGGGATACGGTGCTTAATCATAAGGCTGGAGCTGATCATACGGAGAAGTGTAATGCGGTGATGGTTCATCCGAAAGGTGGGTTTCTGGCCATCTAATCTGAGTTTGCTAATGGAGAATGGGGATGGGGATGTTAATATGTCTATGGACACCAAAATATACAAGTGCCTTGTTGATACTAATTCTAAAGCCAAAATTTTAGACCGCCGGAAAGTCATCAGTAAGCCCGTGGAGATTGAAGCTTGGCTGGGTTTTACCTTTCCTGGCCGGGGGGAACGGTACAGTGAGATGAAATATCATTGGTACCATTTTTCAGGAGTCGATTTTGATGCCCGTAATAAGAACAAGGGAATATATAAAATCTTGGGGCCTGATAAGAACAAAGACTGGGCGCGGGACGTCAGCAAGGAGAATGGCAACTACGACTATTTGATGTTTTCAAATCTAGATTATTCGAACCCAGAAGTTCGTGAGGACGTCTTCAAGTGGATTGAATGGATGGGTCACCAGCTACCACTTTCAGGCCTAAGGTTGGACGCTGCCAAGCATGTTTCATCTGGGTTTTTGAAGGACTTTGTCGCTCACGTTCGGCGAACGGTTGGACCCGGCTGGTTGCTTGTGGCTGAATATTGGAAGGCGGAAGTTCGCGAGCTTCTGGAGTATCTAGGGCGAATGGATTACATTGTCTCTTTATTTGATGCGCCATTAGTCCGCCGGTTTTCAGATATTTCCAGATCAGAATTCGCAGATTTGCGTAAGGTTTTTGAGGGGAGTTTGGTTAAATATGAGCGGAAACATGCTGTGGTACGTTTTGAAACCGAATCCTTTTTTCATCTAGTCGACCAGGTTAATGCTAACTTACCGGACACTGGATAGACCTTCGTGATGAACCATGATACTGTAAGCTATCCCCCCACAAACTTGAATCTCATTTCAAATTTCTAACAACTATCCAGCAACCATCGCAATCGCTCGAGGTAAATTGTCCTCAAGGACCGGTCGGCTACCAAAAGGATACATCAACCATCAGACTCAACTAACAACCAACCAGGAACCGATAGCAGATTTCTTCAAACCGCTCGCATATGCACTCATTCTCCTGCGCAAGGAGGGATACCCGTGTCTTTTCTACGGCGATCTATACGGAGTGTGCGGTGGCTGCAAGGGGATCCTCAAACCCTCCTGCAACGACAAACTAGCAGATCTAGCGCTCGCTAGAAATTTATACGCATACGGTCGACAGCGAGATTATTTTGATAAAAGGCATTGTATTGGTAAGTGTCTGCCCCTTGCTCATACCACATATTCTCAAATATTTCGTATCCGACGCCCTGGTTGATTAATTGACACTCCCCGTGCAGGATTCGTCCGTTTCGGTGATTCGGGACATCCTGATGGACTGGCCTGCGTCCTTAGCAATGGCCCCGCAGCCACGAAGCGCATGTATGTAGGAAAAGCGCATGCGGATAGTGTCTGGACGGAGATATATGGCTACTGTCGCTCCAGAGTAAAGATAGATAGTCGCGGTTATGGCGTTTTTGGTGTGGTGGCGCGTAACGTGAGTGTCTGGGTTCGGGAAGATGCGGCAGGCAGGGAGCGTTTTGGGAAGTTGTATGTGACTGCCTTTTTCTTTTGTATCCCCCCCCCCCACCCCTTCCCGCGTTTGAACATCCTTTGATTTATTTCAAGCTTCTTTAATAAGTGGAGGCTAATCTCAACATTAATATAATACCCAGTGATTCGGATATCTACTCATCTCTACAGGGTGACCATTGATATTCCAGTACCCATCCTCTATTTTCTTTCTTTTTCCCTTCTTTTTTTTTGGATCTCCATATGTGCCCATAATTGTGAGCACATCTCCTTTTTCCACACTCACTACCACCCCTTCATCCGGTGTTGTATATTGCAAATTTTTAAGTCTTCGAATCTTGGAGTATGGGTCAAGGTTGGTTTAAAAGCTTTGACTTTATAGTCACATTTTAATGTTTGCTTCTTTCTGATTTGCCTAACTAGAATATAAGATTTTAATCTAATCCGTGTCATAATAGAATAAACAGAGACCCTTGGTATTCTTTCCTTAGCCCATCGGAGATGCTTTTCATATATTTTCAATTGTAGTAGTCTATTCGAAAGGAAAAGAAAAAGCTCAAAGATTCCATTCCCAGTTTCGGGATTATAAGCTTGGGGTCGTCAGTTTAAATGCCAAACAAACAACTGAGTGGGGAAATATATCTATCTTGAGTAAATGGAGCCAGAAAAACCCCTATGTTTCATATGTCATATCCATCTGCGTTAAGTGGATAAAATCCAAGTCGCAATCATCGAACCATCAGCATCATTCATTCGGAGCAGAAGTGAAGAAAAAGACATCACCCGTAACAATATGTACGCGAAAACAGCGGGCTAACTAAATCAGTCCCCTTTTGAAAAACCACGCCCAGAAAAGACGTAATAATCAACAAAACGGAGCAAGAAAAATATCACATCACAAACCCGACTTCCCCGTTAGCCGCCCTTCAATCTTCTTCTTCTCTGCCTCCTGAACAGCCCTCACCTCCTCCCTCGTCGCATCAAAAGCAACGCTAACCTGATTAAACGGATTCTCCTCACTCTTCTCAAACTCCTTCCGCACAATCTCCAGGCGCTGTTGCCTCCGCAGGCCGGGTTGCTCCTGCTCAATCTCCGGTAACCGCCGCGCCTCGAACGCCGTATACGCGGCTTTAAACCTTCGTTCCGGATGGCGCTCGATCTTGGCTGTGCCGGGCGAGGTGGTTAGAGAGAGGGCGTCGAGCGCGTTGTCGATGCCAGAGGCGTTGAGGGCCGGGGCGGCCTTGTTGTAGCTTGTGGGTTTCTCGTCGGAAGCGTCGAGCTGGGAGAGATCGAGGGTGCCGGCGCGAGTGGTGCCGGAGCTGACGTTCTTTTTCGCGGCGGCTTTTATACCCGCGCCTTTGGGCTTGGAGGGTAGGGATGCTTCTTCGGCTGCTAGTTGGGCGTCACGCTCGGCTTTTTTGCGGGCTGATTCTGCCTTTTTGGCTTCTGCTTGGTCTCTGTGGAGCAGTTTGTTAGCTTGGATTTTTCCTCTCAGGTACAACCTTGCACTGCGATTACATCGGCTTTTCTTGGCCCTGGTGGCCAAGTTGGTAAAACGGGTTCATTCCCGAAGTAAATAGGTGGGTAGTAGAAGGTAGATATCTCATACTTCTTTGCACTCGATTTTGCTCCCTTGGACCACTCGCGGGCTTCCTCTTCGGCCTTCCTGGCGTTTGCAGCAGCTTCTTTTTGTGCGGCTGCTTCGGCTTTCTACAAATTGCGCACAGTCAGTCACCTCCATAGTGGGAGGGGTATAAACGAGTCATACTCTTGCATTGCCCGCCGCTTTTTTGGAGTTTTCGCCGCCCTTTTTCCCCGCCATGGCTGCGGGATATAAGTGTACTAATCCAGATCCTAAATAGAAGGAACAAATCAGGAAAAATAGCCCTTATGGGGGAAAAAACAAAGTTGTGGTTTGACAGAAGTAATAGTTGACTATGACTTCAACATCATTGTTCGTTCAATCTTCGGCCGGAAAAATATGGTTCCAGCATTTGGAACCAACAACTATGGAGGGAGCTTGCTTTTGTCGCAGTTAACTACCAGTAGCTACTAATTTTGCTCTTATTACCTAAATACTATAGACTGCATCTCCAGCCCCATGTTGTCACAGTGTGAGAGTTTTTGATAGGGTGGCTCCAAAGAAGTGGCATCTTCAACTGTGTCCCTTTTGGTGGTAAGAGGCGGAATTAAAGCTTTACGGGGGGAATTATTGAGCTAAAGTGGAGTAATCATCAAGGACTCAAGGAAACTCCATTGTCTAAATAAACTAAAAATCATGATCGTGATCATGTATCTTCCTTAAGGAATGCGTTTCGTCATCATCGTCAACCTCATGAGCGTCGAAATGGGAAAAACAAATCACATCCCAGAGAGGATTGCTTTGGCCCCCATCCTCATTTGCATTCATATACTGACTGGTCTCCTTTCGCATGCTCTCTCGGTATCACACACTTTTTCACTATCCTTTGTGTCGGCTCTGGTCTTTCTTGCTTAACATTGGAATTGTTAAACCACGGTTGTTAGGAGAACAAACTGGCCAGAAAATTGAAACAAAAGACAAAATCAATTATAAACATGAAGTACGCAAGGTGCAGATTTCGTGCAATTTAGTCCCGCAAGGTGAGGGATTGGCATCAAAGTTACTTGTATTGTAAGGGAGGGATTATCAGGGGACAAGTGGAGGGGGGCGGCCCGGGAAATACGGCGCAAAATTGAAAAAGAATGGATGGGGTTGTAAAAAGGAAAAGAAGGCCAAAAGTAGGATTGCACTCAATTGGGTGACGGCTTTCCCTTCACTTCCCCACAACCAACACTCATATTCAAAGCCTCAAATCCCACATCTCTTTTTGCCAAACTTTAACCCCGGTGATATCACGAAACTTGACACCATCATGCACCGTTACTTTGCCATGCCATTCCTCTTCCTCATCATCGCCGTCATCATCCTCATCATAAGAGTCCTCCCCGTCACTCCCATTCGCCATCCATGAAAAATGAGCTTCCTTCCCCTTGCCTTTGAGAGCCCCGGAAGTATGACGGCCAGTGAATGGTGAGTGCCAGTCGAAACTGCCTCCACTCCCATTCGCCTCCTCATTCCTATCCCTATCCTCATCGAGTCGTGAATCCGACATTCTCTTATTGGTTTTTGAGCGGGCGGAATGCCAAGATGGGTTGTACTCCAGGCGGGAAATAGAAGTTCCGGCAGGCCCATTCAGAGCGTAGCTTACTGCAATATATTCTATTTGTAGGCTTGGGCATCGGATTATGCTGTCAATGGCACAGTATCTTATCTCGCGAAGTATGCCGGCGCAGTAATCGCTTTGGACGAAGAGGATATGGAGGACCCGAAGAGAGCGTAAGCCATTCAAGTGCTGCATGAGCAAGTGCTGTTTCAATTTTAAAATTTGATTAGTGTTCTCTGCAGGTAGTAGGAAGGTAAAAGTGTGATCGCACAGGAACGACTTACAAAATTAGGCGAGGCCATGGCGACAACGAGCTCTTTCAGCGCGAAGCCACGTTTACAGATTAGCGCGACAGATTCCCTATTCAAGGCCCAGGTCGAATCTTCATCGTTTCGAATCATTAACCGCTTCAGATGCTTTGCATGCTTTGCGAGTACCTGCTTCTGAATATCTTCTATTACAACTTGTGTCCTGGGTGCCAAGGACTCGACTTTCGAGCGGGCGATCCTTTCGACCATGAAGAGTTCTTCTAGGTAACTTAGGCCATTTAGAAACGCAAGAAAACTCGGGGTGACATTATCTGTATGGATGGAAACTAGTTGGAGTGGGGTACTTCTTTGTAGCTTGGAGAGCATGGACCAAAATGGACGTTGGGGCCCCACATTCAGAAGGGAGAGATGCCTCAGTGAGGAAAGGTTGACCGCACGGCAAAGTACGGATGGTTTCACAGGGATCAGGTAGATGGATAAGCTTTCCACCGGGATTCCATGATGGAGGCGAATATACGCTTGGATGGCGTCTTCAGTGTCCTCCATAGCTCCAGTATCCGGATGTGCTACAGAGGTTGGTACGCCAGTCATCCAGGAATCGTCAGAAACCTTAACGGGCTGCTTCCCTTTACTTGACGAACTTGACGCATGACCGTCTGCACCAGAGGGGAACAAACTAGCCTGAGGCTCGTTAAATATACCCCCCGAACATGGAAGTGGGCTTTCATCCTCCATAGAGCTATCCGTCAAATCGAGAAACTCCTGGTCCTCACCACCTTCACTGTTGACTTCATCTGGATGTTCTAGATCAACGATATCCTGCAACTCGTCCTCAAATTTTTTCTCTTCTGGCTTAAGGATAAATGACGGTTGATGACTTTGATTTTGGACCTCTAAAAATTTGTTGAAAACACTCTCGCTAGCGTCAGATGTGGATGATGAGTAGTCAATGAAAGCCTTAGCGGCAGGTTTCCAACCAGGTACAGGTTTTCCTGAATGAAAGGTATTGTTTTTATGGATAGGGCCTTGCGTAACATATGAAGAGCCTGGAGGGTAGGTTCCCTTCGAAGGTAGGGGAAATATGCTTTTGCTCGATGGTGGAAGCTGTGATGGTGTTGGTGGTGGATATATCATACCAGGATTTTGCACGGGAGGGCTTCCTTCATCCAAGCCAAATATGTTTTTGGATTGAGGAAGATTAGTTGCGAATGGTGAAATCGACTTCGGTACAGGGGGGACTTTATGAGAAGGTTTTTGATTAGCCAACGCTTTCTTCTTCATCTTTCGATAGCCATCCGCGATTTCCTTCTTCTCCAAGTAAGCGGCGACTGCTTTCTCGACTTTTTGAAGAGCCTTTAGGCTCTTACTAGAGGCGGCATAAGCCCCTTTGCTCTGAGCCAGGCCGCGTACGATGGTGGATAGCTTTTCCACAAACATACGGTCTTCATCGTATTTCGATGGCTTGAGCGCCAACCGAATTTCTTTGTCTGCATTATAAATTGCACGGTCCGCAATCTTCTCGAGTTTCTGTTGCGCAACAGTCTCCTTTTCTAGTCCAAAAATTCGAGCAAGGGCCTTTTCCTGGGCAGCACGTTCATGACGCATATCGGCATCACTTGGTGTAGAGATATTTCCGAATAATTGTGACGTTACAGGTGGTGGAGGCGCTGGAGATTGCATCAATGGATCATTTAAAAATCCGCCGCCGTCGTCGTCGTCTTGTGCTGTATCCGTGTCCGACACATTCACAACAGTCTTCTTTCTAGCTTTGAGAGCCAACGATTCCGAAAAAGAAAGCTTTAGGGTCTTAAGCGTTGTTGAGGACGACGAAATACATTCCGCAATCTCTTGGACATACTCGAGGGTATCCATATCTAAAACGGCCAAACTCTTCAGACTTGAGAACTTGGAGAAAGTCCGTGGAGAATGAGGAAACTTCTGAATATTCAACCGCTTCACTGGCTTTACATTATTATTTGCAAATAACCCTAGATTGGAACTAGGTGGAGCCGGGTGATGATGCGGGTGATGATGCGGGTGGTGATGCGGGTGGTGATGCGGGTGGTGATGCGGGTGGTGATGCGGGTGGTGATGCGGGTGGGGGTGGTGACTCGTAGTAGGCGGTATGGACGAGGCAGGAACGTTAAACGAAAATGTGCCGGACGAAGGAGCCATTGGCGGGGATGGATGAGTAGACTGCCCATCCTGCAATCGAACATGGACATTTTGGAGGCTCCCGTGCTTGCCCAATGTTTCGAAGATGGCGGGGCTAATTTCTACGCGAATATTCCACCTAAATCAGGTCAGAAAATACTGATGGGCCAAAAGATAGCGCTATCTAGAAATAATATAAAAGGTAGGTGACTTACCGGAAGCTTTCCAGGGCTGGTATCTTTTTTATAGTCGCGAGCAGAAGAGTATTCAAAAACTTTCCACAGCTCGAGCCATATTTGAATTCCAAAGCCACATTCATGCCTATATGGCTTCCCTGGACCGTATCTAAGGATATTTCCTTAATGTAAGCGGCATAGTTGTAGTCACTCGTTATCAGTGTATCTAGAACACCAGTAAGACGATCCACTGCCAGCTGTCCGGTTCTTGTGTCACGTTCAACAAAAATATGGCTTAATGAGCGATAGAGCTGGGCTGCAGCTATGTCACGGAAGGATTTCGAGACGAGGGAAATGTTAACCAAATCTGAAGAGGAAGCCTGACAAGGGTGAGAAATAGGTATGTTAGCAAATACGACAGGCTCAGCGCATAGCTCTATCATTCAGTTTTGGTGGGGTTTGCGAATACTAGTACTCACATACGCAAATATGGAACTCAGCGTCTCTGGGGGAAGACGTAGTATCGGTGGCGTTTTTGACAGTTTCTCGTATGGTGAAGCCCCAAAGACATTAACTGGTGAAGACATTGACGAGAGAGGCTGATCTATACAGCCTACTGTCAACTCTATAAGCTGGCGAAGGGAGTAATCACGGGATTTGAAGCGATCCTTCTATCGAATTGCAGAAGAGAGATGGTTGAACTGGAGATGAAGATAATCAATATAAGCAAAACCTATTCGCGGGGGGAAAAAAAAGGTAAAACATATAACTAAATAATAAAATGGCACAGCAGAAGGTTGACGAGCGGGCTAGACCAGTTGACAAAACATACAGGAATACCGGTTGCAAGATAAAATAGTCAAGATAGACTACAGTGGGATCTTATATTGCTGATCGATAGTATGCGTATGGTGAAGATGAACAGGCATCAACCGGCAGGCATAGAGCTGTGCAAGCAAGTTACCGAGGAACTGTCAGCAGTGTTGTTGTATCAGGGCCACCCAGACAACAAAACATTTAAAGTTTGTCTATCCGAAACCGATGGATAAAAACAGAATGAGTCAGTCTAAAGCAACAACCAGAAATAGAGAAGAAAAGAAGAGGCGGGGCGATCGGAAACAAAGAAGAAGGGAGCGAGTGAAGTTCGTCGAGGTTGAAGCCAGACAGGACGCGGATGATGGTGAATGATGTTTTGGCTTGAGCCGCAACCACGAGCTTGGGCCAGGTACCAGTACATGGCACCCACCCGAAACTGTGTGCGGGTCCAGGTCACTCTTAGCGTCGGACGACTTCCAAGGTTCTGCCTTGCTGATTGCCCAGATAGGAAACATCCAGAACCTCACCTCAACTTAGTTTTGATACTGTCGACAGCGCTACCGTTACTCAACCAACCTGCCTGAATCCTACACAGCAGGTACACACGTCTCCATGAGTTGAATTATCACCATATGTTCCCCCTCCCAACCCCGACATGCTTCTCCTTCCTTCCACTCCCTCCCTCCTCTCCGTCTCCCTCTCCCTCTGCCTCGCTTTCTCCCTCCTCGTCTCCGCAGGACATACCTCCAATTGGGCCGTCCTCGTCTCAACCTCTCGATTCTGGTTTAACTACCGCCACCTCGCCAATGTCCTCTCCCTCTACCGTACAGTCAAGAGACTCGGGATTCCCGATTCCCAGATCATCCTGATGCTACCAGATGACATGGCGTGTAACCCTCGAAACGCATTCCCAGGAACAGTCTATAACAACGCTGACCGCGCTCTGGATCTCTATGGTGATAACATAGAGGTAGACTACCGTGGCTACGAAGTGACTGTAGAAAGCTTTATTCGACTCTTAACGGACCGGCTGGATGATGACGTACCTCGAAGCAAGCGGCTGGGATCCGATGCAGGAAGCAACGTCCTTGTCTACATGACCGGACACGGCGGGGACCAGTTCCTGAAATTCCAGGACTCTGAGGAAATTGGCGCATGGGACCTGGCTGATGCCTTCGGACAGATGTGGGAGAAGAAACGATACCGGGAACTCCTTTTCATGATCGATACCTGCCAGGCTAATACCATGTACACCCACTTCTACTCTCCCAACATCATCGCCACCGGTTCCAGCGCCCTCTCCCAGTCCTCTTACTCCCACCATGCCGATAGTGACGTGGGCGTCGCTGTCATCGACCGCTGGACATACTACATCCTTGAGTTTCTGGAAACTCAAGTAACGAACCAGAACTCTAAGAGTACTCTTGGCGACCTCTTCGATTCTTACGATGAATCGAAGATCCATTCTCAGCCTGGGGTGCGATGGGATTTGTTCCCTGGTGGTGAACCCGAAGGCAGACAACGTATCGTTATGGATTTCTTCGGCAATGTGCAGAATGTCGATGTCGAGTGGGATCGGGGGAACACAACAATGGACGCTGGTTCACTGAAAGACGACCTCGTAGCCATTGCTAGGTTAGTTGAGGAATGGAGGCGAAAGGAGCCGCAGGTGCATGCACAGTCATCCCCGGAATCTGTTTCAAACAACATCAGCAATGAGGGAGTACGACAAAACAGCACCAGCCGTCCGAACCAGATATCTCCTGGTGCCATGAAAATGGATGATTCGAACAGCTGGAGTAATCGACTTGTGGGGCTATCTGTTTTAGCGAGTCTAGGGGCGGTATGGTTTGCTGGTTCATTGCTTGGGAAGCCATAACGCCGTTCAAAGTTCCTTTTTAACTTTTCTTTACGCTATGATCCATTTAGTTTCCATCATTTTCTTTGATAGTTTTGTTTTAGACATCTATACCTCCTTTTGTTCGTCCTATTTTCTCCCTCAAACATCTGACGGGAGGGCAAATCTGTGTATAAAATTATAAACTTTTATTATCAGAACTGAAGATTTATGACAACTTCTTCACACACACACATAAATACACATATATAAAAACCCTGTTTGAATCTATGCTTCTATATTACTTCAGCACACGCATCCCTTTCTTTCATATATAACTAACATTCCATTCCATCTTGTAGCTATTGGGGGAGGGAAGAAGATAAATGGAGACAGAGAGAGAAAGAAAAGAAAAAATGACGGAACAAACGAAGCAGATAATCATTCTCAGAAAACTCCCAACAATGGTCCGGTAACCCTTATGGTTACCCTCTACATCCTTCCAACGCTATATACAAGGCCTGTATATCCGGTTTCGTGACGGAAAAAAGAATAAATAGGAGAAAGGATGAAATGAGACCGTGAGACATACTCCAAAAAGCTAGTTGCAAAAAACGCGAAACAAGGGCTAAAAATGTGACATTCGTGGAAAGGTCGTGAAACGGAAGGTTGGGAGTTGTGCATAGAGATAAATTGGAAGGGGAGAGAGGAGAGGTATATTGTGCGATTTAGAAGCCGAGAAACATCATTAACACCATCGTGCTGGAAATTTCTGGCGAATATTATGAAGATGGATGAGTTTCCTCATGAACGGAAATGAGAGCCAAGGCGAGCAAAAAACGTAGGATAATGTAACAGGGTGAAAGAAAGAACTATGCGCCGATGTGGGCTGAAGGATAGGACATTAGGAGATGGAATGCCCAGAGATAGTCAGATCCCCCAATAAAGTTGTGCGAAGTTTGCGGCCGGATTAGCAAGGGATTGTAATGTCCGGCACAATGCATTGACATATCATGCATGTATTTATTATTAGCCAACAACGCTTCGGAAACTTAGCGCTTCAAGAAATCCGCCCAGATCTTCCTTCTGCACCTCTACAACACAATGCTCGAAACTGTCGATTCTCACCCGTGCATTCGTTTCGTGAACAACTTCTTGGAAAGCAATCCCAAAACGATTTCGCGCCATTTTTCGATTGTGTATGTTACTCTGCTCGTCAAATTCATCATCCGAGTCAGAGTCAGAGCTAGAGGATGAAGAATTATCACTTTCTTCCTCTTCTTCCGACCCATCATCCTCATCACCCTCATGCTCCGCTCTCTCAGCCGCCCGCTTAGCCCTCCTCTCCTCTCTTTCTGCCCTCCTTTTCTCCTGCGCTTCCTTCTTTTTCCGCTTCTCATCACGTTGCTGCGCGAGAGCCGTGAAATCCACCACTCCTCCCCCGCCACCTGTTCCAACAACCACGTAGACATTTCTATCCTCATCCAAGCCGGCTAGGACGAGTGGTGTCCCCACTACCCGTTTGCCGCCAACTTTCACAATGTCTTCCTTTTCTTGCTCCTGCACACGAACCGCCTCCCCCACCCATAGTGCGAGTTTAGTCAACGCGCCGGGATTAGTGAAAAGTTTCACATCCGGGCCGTCCTTAACTACTGCAATTCGAAATGCGCGTAAATGTCGGATTTGGTGTTTGGAAAGTAGAGAGGTGCCTGTGCGTAAAATTGCACGATGGAGGTGTTGGGCAAGAGGTAAGGAGCTGAGGAGATTTGTTGGGGATTCGGATGACGTTAAAGATATCGCATCATAGGCACTCCAGAACCGGGCAAGGATCTGGGAAGAGTCTGAGTCTGGATTAGAAACGATATTGGATACATTCTCGTCTTGTTTACGTGCAAACTTTTGAAAGTGATGGCCATCACTATCTGATGATGTGGGATCTATTTTGCCGACTTCGAGGATAGCGCCAATGATCACACCAACATCGGTGGCGGACAGGCATGCCTTCCAGCCCCAACTGCGTACAAAGCCCCAACCAGCATAAGTGCCAAATTGAGCTCCCGAAGATGCAGGTGGTACCAGTCCTTCCAGCCCATACATTGGCGCATACTTGAGTAGCTTTTGCCGCAGTCCACGTTTGACTTCCATATCCATATGAGTATAATTTTGATGACACTGACTAAGGCTCACGCCCATCTTAGCGAGAAGTTTGTGTAGACGCTTTCGCCCATTTTCGCTCCAGACATGAAGTCTAGTGGCCAGGTATGGACTGTGCAGCATGCTTTCATACAAAGACCAATGGCGTACAAGCAGGAATCGTGGTTCAGGTGAAAGTAGTATCGAAGTATCGGTGGGTGAGCGGCCAGTGGTCGGTATAACGCCACTGACTTCGCTTCGTAAAGCATCGCGGCCAGTCTCGGAGAGTTCGGGAGGATTCAAGCGACGAACCTCGTCGCGAAGAACCTGCCTAATGCGCTCACCTCGCTCACCTCCCCACCCAGCTAAGCCTCCAGACTCAGAGGCATTGGATATCCCTACACCCGCCATAGTTCGCCCTGAGAGCTCTAAACTGGATACGCCGACAATTGCAAGCCACAAAAGGTCATTATCTTCCCGGCCAAGTTCTGATGCAAGCGAGTATAATATAGACGATATAGGTTCAGAATATGAAGTGCCAAGGGAGTAGTACGCTCGTAAAACACCTTCGTGTTTTCGTTTTAGACGCACTAACCGACGCCGTAGAGTACGGGCCGATGGTTGTTTGGGTGCGGCTGGGGATTCGGAGTTTGATGAAGGCGATGGAGAGCGAGATGACTGCGAGGAATCTCGCGGTTGACGTTGATAACGGCTTGGTGACGTTATAAAAGATCCCTATAATATACCAATTAGTCCAGGCTTGAGACCGTTTATGATATCAAATGATACGAACAGAGTTACTTCTGCGTCTCTGTCGGGGTGGTCCCTCGTCATCAGAGCGCTCATCGTCGTCATCGCGACCTGACCATGACTTTCGTTTCTTCGAGTGAGAGCCAGAGTCTTCATCTGTGTCCGATGCGCTGTTAGAATCGTCACTTTCCTCATCACCCTCATCCAACTCCGGCATTTCTAGAAGTGCGAAGTAAGCTTCCCTTTCCGCTGTTAATTCTTCGTCGATGTCGCCATCATCAAAAACGATTATTCCTCCTTCATTAGATTTATAAGATGGCGTGATACATCCTTTATTTAAACCAACAGCATTCCGTCTTGGATGTGAATCTTGTTCCTCCAGCGCAGCGCAACCGGGATATCCTCCAAAGACATTCCCCAAATTCCAGGGTCTTCTTGCATCAATGACCCAAATTTCGACTCCACCCATGCTCCCCGTCTCATCCACATCGAGGCTTAATATATCACTTAGATCCACTAGGCCTCCCACGCCCATGCAGACGACCACTCCACCGCTTCCGCCATGCGAGGTTCGCATGGGACGAACCAGCTCTTCTCCAGCACGGGACAAATCCGCATATCCGCTAATTGGTTGTATTTTATGAGGGATATAATCTCGTTTAAGTAATGTCGTCAAGATTCGACAAGCACACAGTGCATCTGGCTCGAGGGCAGCAAGTATGAGTACAGGCGGCGAGAGGGGATGGTGGGATCGTAGGAGCTTAAGGTAAAGCTGGGAAATAAGATTCCGAGGCAGATACATCACAGGAAAAAGAAGCAGGCACGAGAAATGAATGGTACATCGAATTGGTTGAGCTGAATGTCACTATTGTCATGTCGATGTTTGTGGGATGTTGGCAGTGGTGGTGGAGGAGGAAACGCGGTATTGTATGATCTGAGTTCACGCGTCGAACTAAAAGTCCTCCTAGTATCTGGTAACTAAAACCGGATACAAGATTACGGAACGATTCAAACTTACCAAGTCCCAACCCGGTGATGGTCATGTGACTTTGAATTGATAGCAAAATGCGAAATCGCATGCGCAAGCTGCTGAACGGAAATAAACATCACTAATCCGATGATGTATGTTTCAATGGGCATTGGAATTATTAATTGGTACTCGACAGTCACACCACCTCATACTGGATTTCCTCCATTCGGGGCGAGGAATTTATCGCCATTCGAGAGAGGCGGAAGATCTTCTATCTGAGCTCCGCTTCCCCGGCTCTCATGTCTTCGTCCTGGGCAGGATCCACACTTAACATTATGAAATTTCAATAATATGACAGGATAGAAGAAATCTGAGTAGGCGAAGTCTCGCGGCACGGAGACATCAAAAACCCTATGAGTACTGGTTGCTGTGCATGGGAAGATGGCACGAGGTCAGCATCGGCCGGCAAGTTGAAGATCACGGAGAGCGGACATCGACCTTAGTTTATTTTGATTTTGCTCTAACTTCTATTCGGAAATGCGGAGACGGGCGCAGAAGAAGGAAAGCCGTGGACGGCCCAGAGATTATTGAGCAGGAAGCCTATTGTGGAGTTGAAAACTAGCGACAAGTCATCGTTTTTCCAGCGCATCCAAACATAGGCTGCAGGCTGCAAATTTTACTTTCTCATTGGCGACATTGTTGTATGCAGCTAACATGCAAGGCCCAAGCATAATCAGACTGTGTGAAATCAATTCTTCCATCCTTTGAAGGCAGACTGGAAGGAAATATTCTGCCTGCCAAAAGCACCTCCCTGGTGGTTATCCTCGTTTTAGGCTCCACTGAACTATAAATGGTATTCTCTCCCTGTGATAAGCCGCTCAAAGAAATCTCGCTGTAACTACCAGTACTTCCAACGACAGACAATTCCACATACACCCTCAGAAGGATAGAGCGCCAGAGAAAGCAGGTTGGAGCCAAAATGGATAACCCAGAAGCGCCACCTGGAATTGAAAGTAAAGCAGAGGAAGAAATCTCTCGCCATCGCAAACTTGTTGAAAGAATAGCCCAATTTGACGAACCGCCAGAAAACTTGGATTTCACAATATCTGGTAAAGACTGCGAATATAAAGTCCATTCTAGCGTTATTTGCTCCCGGTCACGATTTTTCGATAGAGCCGTGAAGGGGAGATTTGTGGTAGGCAATGATTTTTTTTCAACTCCAATTCAGCCCCTATTCTTCACCCGCATCCTGTTTTCAGCTATGGGTAACTTCATAAATCGAACAGACTAGCTAACTTTCTCTTAGGAATCGACTTCAAAAAGAATCCATCTGCCAGAGGAAGATGCTGATACTCTCGAATTATTAATTTCCATCCTATATGGTTTCGAGTCTTCATACTCTGCAGAGCTCTGGCCAGAAGCTCATGCGGATATAAAGATCTTGCTAGACGGTATCGACCAGTCAACTCAGCGCATTATACCCCCCGAAGCGTCAACGTTAGCTATTGAAGGCGCTTTGGACACCCCCAAGAAAAACACGGGCCTCCGATTGCTCCGTTTATACGCTCTCGTTGACAGATTCGACATATTTTGGCTGCAAGAGTGGGCAAAAGAAATGGTCCTTTTATGGGTCAAAACCAACCCCCGCAGCGACAGTTTTGTGGAGGTGATCCGAGCGGTTTACCGATGTGAGACTGGAAATTACTCCGAATTTGTTGACGAAATTTTCGCACTCGTCTTGGACAATGTGGATATACTGATTGAGAACGACGAATTTTACGAAGTGGTGGCAGAGAACGGGGAGCTCGGAGCAGAGTTGCTTCGACATGTCCTATCGACGAACAAAATCGTCCATTCAGCATTGGACATGAACAGCTCCTTAACGGAGCTACAGAGTATTGGGGGTGAGAAGTTAGTCTATGAAACGGCTAAATTGCAGCTAAAAATTCACCATAGTTTGGCCGAGTTTCCAGGTCTAGCTCGGGGGTCAACTTAGGATCTAGGATAGTGGTAAGAATCCTGTGACTTTATCATAATCTCTCAGAACCCTCAAGCCTAAAGGAGTGAAAATACTTGATCCCCTCAACTGGAACATTCGATCAACGATGGTGGTATCTGAATCACACTGATTCCTCCGCGTGAAGGGAGACTGAAGCATGTTATATATAAAAATACCCTTGCCAAATAATCTGAAGACTATATTAGCTTCCTATTTCACATTCAGGCTGGGATATCCGATGCGCCCTTGATGTCGCTTCCATCTCACAAGTACTTACAAATCCGTAAAACCCTGCTTCATATTTATATCAAACAGTCCAGGTAGACAGCTTCTTGAGTTCACGGAACATTTTCGTCGCCCAAGAAGTACCCAACGCATGCAAGTATATACCCTTAAAATGGATCAACTATAAATTCCAAACAACTCCGTCCCGCTTCTATTTTTGTTCAGACCACGAGACCCTTAAAAAACCAATTAAATACAACATAACCTTCACATCCTCATAATAATTAACTAGTTTTCCATCTTTACTTTAACTTCCAGGGCCTTCGGCTCCAACCTCATCACATAATACTCCACATCCCACTTCCCCATCACATAGTGGCCGTGCTCGATGTCGACAAACCCATGTCGAAGATACACGGGGTGTGCCATCGTGGAAGCCTCCAGCCATACTGGCACCATCAGGTGGTTAGCAAGATCGCAGCCCCATTTGATGAGCTGGCTTGCGATTCCTTGGCCCCGGTATTCGGGGAGGACGAAGAGGGCGTCGAGCTCTGAGAATCATGTTAAACCATGCCAACAGTAATTGATTTATGTGGCTACACATTAGGCAGGTGCTCAGAATAGCTCAGCCAGGATGGATATACTTGTGCAAGGCATGTAGGTTTCCCCAAGGAAACAGGCCATGATCCCGTGCTGGAGGGGTGGAAGGAGTATATATAGATACAAACATTCAAATATGCAAAGGGACTATAAAAAGAAAAAGAAAAAACCAAAAAGCTAGAGAACAAAAGAAACCCACCAATATGCCCCTCCCTCAAAAGCCTCAGCTTCCGATCCACAATATCTCTAAACATCACATCTAAAATCCTCTTATCCTCCACATCCTCGAGCCATATCATGTCTTCCATCTTCAGTTCAGGTCGCGCCAGGGGAACATAAGCGGGTTTCAACTTGTAATTGACCACGCCAACAATTTTACGACCGTTGTTCGTATCGATCGCCTTGAGCCAGATGGAGTTACTTTGAGTCGCGAACTGCTTCAGGCTCCTCTCCTTGAAGATCTGCTGGTTGCGCGGGGTATCCTCGCCATGTATTAGCTGCTGGAAGGGTTCTTGTTGAAACGCTCGGAAATGGCCTTGGATTATTTCGCTCCAGTCTGAGGCTTCTATTTTCGTGATGATTATATGAGCCATGATTGCGGTGTCGAAATGAGTGTTTTGGTCTCCTGTTATTATTTCCTTAATTTCTAGAGATGGTATCCAACTGTGGGCGCTCCGGTTGACTAGTCTGTATGTTTGCTATTTATTAATCAATGTCATGATGACTAGGGAGTAGAAATTCAACCCTTAGTTCCATCCAATGAATGCTCGCATTTTCCCATACAAATTTCAAGATATTTGACAGACATATCTCAACCATGAATTGTTATAATAGATTTATATATAGTAATCTAAAACCTTTGAAGAAGTTTGCTTTTCTAGAAAGCTATATTATGATGTGTATTACATGTGTAAAAATCAAAGAATTTCTCATAGTAAATTTATATGGGATATATTCATTGTTAAAACTAACCAGTAACTACATGGTATCCTAAAATATATATAATTTTTAATAAAAAATAATAGACGGATATATTGATGACAATACTGTAATCTGAATGGATATCTCTTGCAATTTGTATACATAATTTAAGAGTAAAAGTGCCAAATAATACAGACTGTCGCTCAACAATATACTTCTAATTTTAAATTCTAAATAACTATCTTATTTATCAATGTATATGTCTAAATCAGTAAATTACGTATAATATAATATTTTCATATTCTGGGTGTTGAGATATCGATAGATGATCATTCTCGATTTTATCTGGAAAAAGCTAAGTGAGCCACGTTTTCACTCCATCAGACCGACCACACACCACACTCCAACACTGACATTGAGTTGAATTACTACTGCATGCTCACCACCACACACAGAGTCGGGATTAGGGTTACCAAAGATTAGATGGTCGATTTCAGCAGATGTTAGTTGTCATTCAATGCGACTCCATGTTCCGTAAATCTGTCAATGCACATAGATATAGAATGAAACTCTGCTTTTCTGTTGTCATTTCTTCCAATTGATGTCTTTTTTTTTTTGTTTTTCATTTTCTGATTGCCACATCAGATGCATGGGATGTTTAAGCAATAGTTTTGTTTGTTGCTTTAACCTATCGCTCTAGAACATGGATTGGCATTGATACACGCAGCTCAGAGCGACTTCATTCGCGCCGCTGTGTTTGATGCTCAATACATATACCCCTTGAGAAATTCATGAAGTGGGGTAGATGGAGCAGGAAGCTTATATGAGAAAGCTCAGAAAAACTGTCAATGTGGCATCTCATATATGTCATTGCATATTAGGAACTCAATAAGCTACTGCACATCTTCCTGCCAGCCGAAGTCCGTCTTAACTCTGATCCCCGAAGATTGATTTTGGCTCTCAGAGTCAACATCACTCGTCCCATTTCGTCTAAAATCATCCATCTCGAACTGCGCGGACACTGTCGTTAGCGCAGTCTCATCTTCTGTGGGTCGCAAGCGCATCCGACCATTTCCCGATTCCGGCTTTTCCCCTACGGCTCCTTTCATCCTCTGAAAGCCATTCTTCTGCTTTTTAGTGCCGTCCACGGTGGTACTTTGTTGCGTTCGCACCAACCCAGGTGAAATCCCTGGGCCAGAACTAAAGCTCTTCCCAAATTCCGTTCCAAATAGAACACGTGATACTTTTTGAAGAAGAGGCCGTAGTGTTGGCAGACAGGCGCAAACAATGCCAATGCATGGCTCGACGAAGGACCAGAGGAAAATGTTAACGAGGATAAATGTGACATCCTTGGCTCTCGCGAGCTCGCCCATAAATTTGATCCGAATAATACTTACGACACAGACACTATAAGCAGCCAAACATTTGGTTGTTAGCTATGAGCTTCTGGTGAAAATAAAGGTATTAAGGAAGGAGCCGTATTACGCACAATGTGCCTAACAAAAATAAACTGGACACTAAAATTTTTTTGGAGGTGGGCATCTGAAGTTTCCAGACAAGCGGAATGGGGACAAGAAGTATCAATACATCTGTCGCAACATTGGCTGCTGCATTTCCGAGATAAAAAATGTGAGGTTGGAAGCGACAACTTCCAGATTTCGCATCCTGGACCTGGGTCCAGTAATAGGATATCGGTTGACAAGCAATTATCAGAGTGATGGTGCATGCAATGTAATAGCCACCCGAGAGAAAAAAACAGACCCACATCGACCAGTTCATCCCGAAAATACGGCGATAAAATAGCAGGATTGAAAATTTTATTAGTGGAACGTTTAAGATATACATGAACATGTATATGTAGTGTAACTTCATAACTCACAACTGTTAGTGATTCTAAACACACACACACACACACACACACACACACACACACATATATATATATATATATAGTAATTCTTGTCCTTACCTTTATTAATACCATCACATCAGACAGAGGTACAATCCAGACATGTTTCCCAAGGCCGTATTGGCCCCCTATAAACAGCCACTTTTAGTCCGAATGGGTATTGAGAGGAAGCTTCGAACATCCAAGGTTGTCCTCACCTGATATCGCAAGGGCGAAACTGCACGTTACAGATGCCTGATAACTGACGGTCAGAGGCATATAAAATCCCGTCGGTTGCTGGACAACTTACGAGTGAAACCAATATCAGCCAGTCATCGGCTTTGACCGTGAAGTTCTGCACCTTGACTCTTGTAAAGAAACGTAAAGCCACGGAAATTACAGCAAGGCCATATACCGTGGCGACGGAGGCATTGAATTCGCGATTGCGATTTTCCGTGAGGTCCGTTCCAGGAGGAGCACCACCAAGAACGCTGCTCATTCTCGCGACCTAAAGTTAGGAGACTAAAGAGTCATAGAGAGAGCCGAATTTATCAAAGACTGATAAAAGAAAAGAAAGAAAGAGAAAAAGGAAGAAAGAAAAAGGGACGAACACTCCTCTTATCGACGCATGGTAGGCTGTCAATGAAGACGGAGATTGTGCACACCCAGCATTGGGCGTGCAGCAGTGGTTCATGTTTTAAGAAATGGCGATGGACGAAACGCTCGTCTTGCATCCAACTTGGCAATAATACGGAGGAAATGCCGCTAAGAACAAGAGAGAGAGAACGCGATCTCAAGCCTTTGGGCTCGCCGATTGAGCTCGCCATTGGTGGCACCAGCGACCTTCTCCAGACTACGTCCAACCGGCGTCAGATAGCGTGTTGCCAGGATCATGGGTTTCATCAGCAGACGGAGAGAATGGGCGGTTGTTCTCAAGACGGAAAGACAAACCCGCTGATCGGAGTAAAATTCCCCGCTCCAGGCCAAAAGGCTGTGACGGACGGTGGACCATAAGTAATCTACAATTGTGATCAATTAGCGCAATCGAGGTGTTTCTCTTGACGGATGGTATCCCGGTCTTGACGCCTTCTCGAAGTCTGCAGGGCAAAGGATCAAGTGGACTTACTTTCAAGGGTTTCCTATCAGATACCCCACATAAAAATTCTTTGGGCGAACAGGACCCTGAGTTGAAGGATGGTTTCCCAGGCACAACTATTGTCTTCGCGCTTTTGGTTTTCAAACAAGCCAACACGAAAAATTCCGACGTTGTCATGGAGGCGGAAGCACACGACCTCCAGGAGCACCACCACCAATCTCTTGCTTTATTTCTGTCTCTTTCACTCTGTAATATAATATGTAGCAAGGTCCTTCCATCTCAAGCTTAGGCATTGAGATAGGGTTTCCTTAGTCGACGCCACTCACCATTCGGAGTCTCACGAACTGGAGTGCTTTCGCGCATTGATCTCCATCATAGTCCAGCCCTCCACGCACGCAAATGGCACAGCTGGCTGAGCCGGACTTCCGCATTCGGTATATCCAGTCAGAGAAATGGTTGAGAATGATGGTTAGCATGTGGAAACCACGTTGTCATCGCGGGCACGCGAGGATCACATTCGTGAAGTGGAGGAATCTCTCGGCAAGATTCACAGAACCGCAAGTCCGATACGGTGCAGCGCCGGCCATGGCATCCATGCCTAGATGGGCAGGCGATACCGCCGAGCTCTGCACTGGACACTGTGGACATGGACAGCGAATTTCAGCTCGCTTAACGGCGAGTTGGCACCTCTCCTCAGCGGCCAAGTAAGCACCAGAACTCGTCTTATTCACATCCCATCACCTTGGATGCTAACCTGTGGCGTTCAACAGGAACTTGGAATTGTTTTCAGGGGTTTTCTGGAGACTTCGTTCTTCCTCCTAGTGTCCTGATTCACGTGGCGCTTGTAATCAGAGTCCTGCTGGTTAGACCCTATGGTGTGGGGTTGGGCTACTCAGAAGAAACTCTGAGCTGTTACCTCGTAAAGAGAGGGAAGAGAAAGTGTGTTGAAACAAACAGGCAAATATATCTTAAAGATGGTTCTCCACCTGAAGGATTTATTATCCTTGTGTGGTGGTTAAATTCATAAAATTGGGTGTTTTAAAGGGTTTGGAAACCAAAACTTAAAAATTTAGATTACACGCTAACCGGGGCCTTTTACACCATCAGCACCTTCTCCCTTTTACAACATCATGGCTGGGCTGAACGAGAGCCACAACCCCTAAATCTGAGAGGCTGGCTTCATTGTCCCAGGATGGACTCCATCGTCGTCAACTCATCCTGAATGAGATTGTTCGGCCCTCACCTGGCCACGCTAATCTCTGCCACTGTACTCCGTAATATACGAGAAGATTCTTTGATCCAGTGCTCATACCATGGCAAATCTGAGAATACGGGCCAGGTCTGCAATGCTCCCACCCAAGTATATTGCGCCATTTCCTCCTCACCATTCTAACCACCATGGTATCAGCGCATTCCTTCAGTAAGTGATGGACAGTCTGCTATTATCCCGGAATTACTTCACCCGCATCGCATACCATGCGCAGACTTTCAAATGCGGTGAACTTTGAATGCACCCCTCATTAAATCTCAGTGCTCCTTCGAGAAACAATCGATGTTCGGATGGCAGGTGTTGGCAGCGTGAACGCACGATTACATGCTATTCCAGTGTCGATGGATGTGGCACTCCCTCTCTGGATAGTGACGCCCAAGCCACCTAATAGGGCTCTGGTAAAGCTGCCTAGGAATGCTTGATCATGGTCTCGAGCCTAATCAGGAAAATCAAAAAGATTGCGAATGAAGCAACGTGCGAAACCTTCGCAAGAAACAATGGCTTCATCTGACTAATTAGGTAAGGTGATTTTGTTGGAAGTCTGAGTGGCTGTATTGAGTGCTATCTTCTGGGGGTTATATCCACTTGTGTGTGGTGCTAGTCTGTAGTAGGAAGCTGAGGATCCCACAGATTATTACAGAGTGCTTTGGAAGCAGGTTGCAAAAAAGCCCTTCTATATTCAATGTCATCTGCACCTAGGCCTGGGTCGTTCTGTATTACCCTTAGCCGCTACCCCTTGTCCAACGAACGAAGGCAGTGTTCGGCAAGAACGGAAGCGGGGTGGGCCATCATTTGAAGACCTTGTTTACCCTGAAGCCATGGGATGTTAGCGGGCGATGGAAAGTCCATGGCTGTCCGGTTTTCCGGCCCCGCCCATTCCATTCCACATGCCGTTTTCAATCCGTATCAAGACATGCCCCAGGCTTTCCCACAAGTCTCAACTGCCTTGCTGAGAAGGTGGCGCTGGTCAGTTGGCATGTACTGCGTAGGTCAAACGATAACGCTGTGGGCTGATATGCATCGATCGAATGCCCTCCGCAGCGGAGAAGCCTGTCTGGGAACTTAACCTCGCCTCTGGTGACAGTGATTGTAGATATATCTGATTGCGATGCCATTCAGAAAACCTGATTCCACGACCTTACGAGGATAAATTCAGAACATCTGGTATCAAGCAATTATCATTTTAATCTTGAGGGGAGAGGTTACTGTTCGCAACTACGCCTGAAGTCGGGAGTGGCTCGTCAGGTCAAGCTCATCGCAAGCTTCATGCTTCGCCTACTGTGACAATCAAGTCTCTTGAAAAAGGAACCTGTATGTTGACATTTTCCGTCCCCCACAGAGTGAGTTTTAGTCGTTTCACCCATATCTCCCTGAAGCAGGAAGCTACTTAGGCGCTAATTAACATCATCCACATTAGCAGGACCAGAATGTCGCCTTACATAACTGTCGAACGATAGATGCGGTCCTCACGTCAGTTACCGAGGCTCATTGCTAATACCGGCGGGGTGGTGTCTGTGCCTCCCTTACGAGAGCAGAGGATTCGGTGATAGCTTCCACATAGTCATATCCAGGGAGGATATCCTTGCTGAGTTAGGTGTGTGCAGAGAGCGCCAGAATCCGACTGGGTGAGAGTCAATAGTATCTCCCTCAAAGTATCAATATCGTTCGGTAATAGGGTAACAGAGCATCAGTTGTCAACTGCGGCCGCATGTCCACGGACAGCTATCCAGCTTTTGACGCGCTGCAGGCATTGGAGCCGGTCAAAACACAGCCAATGCAAGTCATATATGTTGTGTTGAGTTTCCGGAGGATGCGATGTTTGTGGTCTGAGAGACCTAGTGATAGGCGGAATTTCCGCGACAGAGCTGGACGTGAAATAACTCTTCTGGGGACTTTCTTCAGAAAGGGAAGTTTCCCACAAGGTCCAACGAAAGCATGGATGGACCGCATTTCGGGGTGGATTCAAACGTTCCCGATTGACACCACGATACCAGGCATTCCGACGAGCTAGAGTACTAATACACCCGACCTTGGTAGGCGAAAGTACAATGATCTCCCACAACTTCACAATAATTTTGAATGGTAATAATGTAGGGCCATAAGGGCTCCGGGTAGGGCTGTCATTTCCGCCCAGCTGCCATTCCTTTGAACAAGTTCACTCCAGAATTTGACAAAGCACTCACTACATCATCACATCATAGTTCCCCGCAAGCCCACTGGCTCTAGTAACGGCGATTCGAGCCGGCGACTGTAGGCAACGCTTAAGTATATGATGAAGAAGAGGGAGATACCGAGCTGGTTCCTGGGCGTCAAGATGTCCGTCCTGCTGTAACTGGTCCTCGACTTGGTCAGTTCGTACTTGTGGTTCATGTCAACGGCAGAGATGTGAATTGCCGGCTTCGGGAAGAGCGCTACAGCTCAAGTTATCGAATCGCGAATCTCGCGGGGTAAGCCTTTGACAAAAGTGGATTGGGGATTATTCCAGGAAAACTCCAGACTCGATCCTTGGAATTTCTCAGCCTTGCTACGTATCTATCGGAGACGAGGGACCATAGACGAGATTGGATGAGTAAAGATTCGGGGTTCTACCGCAGAGAGTCGTTGTGTGTGGGTTATTCGGGATATGCGGACACATGGATTCTGCCGTACGGGGGGGGGGGGGCTCTCAAGGAACGTTTCACCCAATAACGCCGCCAAATAACCCCACGACAAGGCGATCCTGCGGGGCAGATTAGGGCTGTGCCAGCACCAATTGGGCAAGGCACAGCAGGTTCTTCCGTTAGTGCCGCGCCTATATGCAGGACATGCAAGTACCTGATATCAAACCAGAGTCTGCCTCACTGTTTCAGGGGGGATTTGCCGCTCCAAAACAAAACACAAAGAAAATGTATAGTTATAAAGGACGCATTTTACTGCTTTCTATAGTTTCTTTATTCTTCGGCAATGGGTTACTTTTACTCTTATTCTGTAGTTAACCACAATACATCCTTCAGTCTGGCCGTGCGTCGTTTCATGGACGCAATTACATGCGTTTGAAATCCCGCGCAACGATTTAATAGCTCGTTATATTTCCTTCCAACTCTTGCACACGCATCACTCTCCGACTTTCAAGGGAACCAACTTGCAAGACATCAACAGAAAGAATAAAAGAAATGGCCGGTTTCATGCGCTCCTTGAGGAACGGGCTGATGAGGAACGGGCTGAAGCAGGACGCGAAGGAGAGGGGCAAGGCAATAGACTGGGCGACTTATCCAGACGAGCCACCAGCCTATACCCCCACAGCAGAGACTCAGGAAACCATTGCTGATTCCTCACCCTACGCCTTTTTGAGTGATTTCGATACCATCCTTCTCGTCGACGACAGCGGAAGCATGAGTGGCTCAAGATGGGCCGAGACCAGAGAAGCACTTTCAGCTATAGCCCCAATCTGCGCCGAGTATGACGAAGATGGCTTTGATATATACTTCTTAAACCACAAAAATTGGAGCAATCCAACCGGAGCGTATGCGAACATCACAACATCAGAGGCTGTTGGACATATCTTTTGTCGGGTTACGCCGAGCGGACGAACCCCGACCGGAGGCCGACTGCACGATATTCTCAATCCGTACGTGGATGAAGTCCGATACAGGTCGGCAGGGGGTTCTAGGGGTGTGAGCAAGCCACCTGTTAAACCGATTAACGTCATCGTGATCACGGACGGCATCCCAACTGATGATGTGGAACCGGTGTTGATCAGTGTAGCAAGGCGACTGGACGAATGCAATGCGAAGCCGTGGCAGGTGGGAATTCAATTTGTACAAGTTGGCAACGATCGATCTGCTGCAAGGTGGTTGGAGAGTCTTGATGATACCCTGCACAAAAACAACCATGTACGGGACATAGTTGATACAGCGCCATGGAGCGGTGCAGTGCTGTCATCTAACACCATTTTGAAGATCATGCTCGGGGGGGTGGACAGGAGATACGACCGACAAACTGTTTCCAGAGTGGGACGCAGATAGTGTTTTCTTCTTTCCTTGTTTTCAACTCAACCCCTTTTGTTCCTATTCCAGGTTGTCTTGATAGGCTTATCTTTTTCCTTCAATTCTATTACAGGTACCATACTGTGTTGTTTATTTGAAGTTATTTTATTGTGGTCGAGATAGGCCCTAGCTGCCAAAGTGTATTCAATCAGCCAACTGTGAGCCTTGTCTTCCTTTAAATCCAGGTTTGGGAAAAGGCCAAATGAGCAGTGCATTGTAGTTCGTAATCGATGCACCAGGAATTGGGGATATAATAGCAGGAGTAACCTGATATCAAGAACAGAATCAAAATTAATCAAATTGATAAATAACTTCGACGAATCATACATGTAGAAAATGGAAATGTTCCATGTCTCCATGCAGTGATATGCAGCAGGGAGCACAGTTGCAGTTGCTCAGACCCCTTGTTGGGCTGACAGGCTGGTTGTAGAGAAACGTTCTGCCTCTTAGTAGTCCCTGTGAGGCTCCGTCCACGCCGGATATATCCCAGATACACCATAAAGCCGGTCAGCAAAAAAAACCTTTTGGCTTGCAGAGGGCAAGGGTACGGTATATTGAAGTTTTCGTGCCTGTCAAGGGACGGCGGAATTCTCCATCCCTGGGTGATAATAATATCGTCGTGGGATCGCCGGCGCAAGATTTTTGTACGAGCACTTAAATATATAGTATCTCAGTCCAACAGGGAAGATAGTATGAAGAATCTACTCATGATTGATGACGTTCCACCTATCCACTATCCACACAACTTTGTACGATCAAGGCTTTTTCGCGCGGGTATCTGAAGCTGAGAAGCCAAATAATGGTTCATTTCGCTCACTTCTTGAGCCGGGAGGCAGGGAAGTTGGGAAAATCGAGAACAAGTGATGGTTGCCATTCTTTGACTATTCGGGAATTAAATAGTTTGTCCAGAGGGCACTGCGAAAAGTCGTCTCACGCTAAGAATTTACCCCGAAATATCCTTACTAGTGTATTGAATCTCTAGGCTACACTACCTGGGATTTAGGCAGTGAGCTAGTGGGCAAGTTAGGGGCATTGGCCTCTATAAGCCCCCTGGGACTCCCTCTCCTTTTCATTAAGAGATGGAACAGCAATACTTATTTCCGGTATCAGCATGTCAGCTTAATTCTTAGCACAAGTCAAAACACTTTCAAAGAAGGGAAGGGTATAGCTAGTCATCCCAAACGGGAGACTTCATAATTGAGCAGCTTATCCGCGACACGCCACAAAGGGCAAAAATTCAAAACTTCAATCGGAACTCCCCATCATCGACAGGTACTCGCGGTCCCACCCACTATAGGATATAGTGGCACCGCTGTGCAAAAATATCACCGCTGTACCAATTCTCGCCTTTTTTCATCCCCAATCACGCGATTATATCTATCTCAAGATGGTTGAAAGATCTTAAGAAGTCGACAAACGTGTAGAAGCAGCTACAGAATTCGATGAAAGATGCCCTGGCCTCAGCCGTGCTGCCCTTGCTCGTCAATTGAATGTCACCCGCCAGATGGGCAAGAAGATAGCTTTAGACGAGAAGTTAGATAACTCCAGAAGTTTCACAATCCATCAACTCTGATAATTGGGAGGATAATTAATATGATCTAGATTCTGATTTGACAAATAACTACGGAGGGCGCTATCAAAAGAATTGCGCCGGCAAAAAGACAACTAGACAGCACCACAAATCTTGGCAGAAATTCACACTGTATTTTATACTGAATACTCAGCTCTTGATTATTCCTTGTCTCTGCTGCTATTCAACATGGAATCTGCCTGCCAATCTGCCTGCCAACCTGCATGCCAATCTGTCTGTCAATCTGCATGTCAATCTGCCTGCCAACCTGTGTGTCAATCTGTCAATCAGATGAGTATTCTATTTCTTCATCTGTCTGTGCTGTCTTTCTTCTCTATACTCATTGCCATCTTCTAACTCTATAATCTTTTCAATATGTACAGGAATCTGCTCAATCCATGTCTGTATCTTCTTTTGTGACAGATTCTTCTATATCTGCTCTCATACTCTAACAGCTTCTGTATGATTCTTAGAAGCTTCTTTTCTTGTTGTTCTGCACTTCATCCAGAGTCAAGCTGCCTCAATTGCATTGAGATCAGATGAATTCCCACATCAAAGCAGCTGTTGAATCCCATGAATATTGTACATATAACATTGAATATAGTGATTGTGTGAAGAAGTCTTATCCTCTTGCACAATAGTATTTGAACAATTGATTTGACACTCTTTTGCAAAGGGAAATAGCTTTGATAAGAGAATTTGAACTTGATAGTAATATCAATTAATTTCATCATCTTTATTATAAGATAGCTTGTCTGTGATCTGTTTGAACTTTCATATTGATTTTTGATCTGATTGCTGATGATCAATCTGTAATCTTTGAATATCATTTGACAGCTCCCATTCTTACCTCTTTATAGATTTCATTTCAGTATTTAAAGCCTCAATATACTCAAGGAATTGAGCATACTTCTGCAAGATTTCTCTGGCCCAATAATGAAATGAGTTCTTCTTATTATATAAGAAGCAGACTCAGAACATGAATTCAGATGATTCCTTCCATCATTCATATATACAGCTTTGAGAATAAATCTTATAAGATGCATGCTATATTCTATATTCATCTTATTGATGAAGAAGAATAACAGAGATTTCATCTGATCAGATAACATTCTTTCAATTCTTCAAGATTCAATCTTTATACTTCAGATAGAATTGAAGTCAATCTAGTCACATCTTCTTGATGAGTTCTGACTTTCATATAGACTTTGTTTTTCACAGACCTGCTTTGTAAAGAATCCTTCATATAGTTATAGAAGATATCTCAATTTCTTCATTACTGAATTCATTGATAAGATCAGTACATATCTTTTCTCATTCATATTGATTACATTGAATCTTTGCAAGAATAGTATTCTTAATACTATCATTTCTCTGAGTTGATTGATCAGATTTGAGGGCATCTCAAAGCCATTCATTACAAAGTATAATATGAGACAGTTCAGAATCAAATCCATGTTCAATTGCATGTTTATATATACAGTTGATTTGACTCTTTGAAATCTGAGTGATTTCTGTGATTTCAGTATTTGACTTGCCAAAATAGGGTGATTTAAGAGCCACCACAAGAGCTCTTGTGACAATATCAGTATTGGGTGCCATATGAATCAGCAGATGAAATATTAGAGATGAGATATTTGAGAAAAAAGAGGAATCAATTCAGAATATATGGCATTCTCATATAAATAGAATGTGGGGTCATTTGAAGCTAAATATAATTACTCATTAAAATATTGTGGCACTTCTTAGTTGTATAAATTGAATCTGAGCAGCGCAATTCTTTTGATAGCGCCCTCCATAATATGACACAATTGGAATAATTAAATATCTAATGTCTAGATTTTAATCGCGTGGTTGTTGATGAAGAAAGCCAGTGATATTTTGCGCAGCGGCGTAGACCACCCACTATATCCTCTAGTGGGTGGGGCCGCGAGGACTAGTTGTAAGGTATGCAGCGTGCGTCGTTGATGAGAGCATGATGGACAACAACAAAAATATCTGAACCATCCAGGAACTCCCTCTCCCAGTCCCCCTAAGTTTAACCAGGGTTCGAAGCGCCCAATCCACATTGCGCATTAGCGTCGCCTGGGGACCTGCCGTGGCTTAGGGTAACCTGACACAAAGAAGCATCTGGCAAATGCTGCTTGCGGATTTACCTATTGGCTGTCCTGTACGGAGGGCGCTATCAAAAGAATTGCGCCGCTCAGATTCAATTTATACAACTAAGAAGCGCCACAATGTTTTAATGAGTAATTACATTTAGCTTCAAATGACCCCACATTCTATTTATATGAGAATGCCATGTATTCTGAATTGATTCCTCTTTTTTCTCAAATATCTCATCTCTAATATTTCATCTGCTGATTTATATGGCACCCAATACTGATATTGCCACAAGAGCTCTTGTGATGACTCTTAAATCACCCTATTTTGGCAAGTCAAATGCTGAAATCACAGAAATCTAGACTGGCCGTGTGACCATGCATGGGACTGGGACCAAATTTTTCCTCAGTCCCATTATTAGATATCTTAGTCCTGGTCCCATATAGTGTTTAGCAAATTAGTCACTTTACACTGTTTATATTATAAATCTAGTCCCAGATCATGTTTTACTAATAAATTAGTGATTCTGGTCCCATTTGGTCCCATTTTACAAAATGGGACCAAATGGGACCATGATTTACCCTATATAGATTGGCAGTGATAGATAGGTTGGCAGCGGTAGGTAGGTTGACAGTGGTAGATAGGTTGGCAGCAATAGATTAGCAGTGATAGATTAGCAGTGATAGATTAGCAGTGATAGATAGGTTGGCAGCAGTAGATAGATTGGCAGCAGTAGGTAGATTGACGGCGGTGGGTAGATTGGCAGCAATGGGTAGGTTGGCAGCAGCACTAAGCAAGATAGAGGTAATATCTCCACCAATCATATCATCAGATTGATGTATTATATAATCATCAGAATGAAATCAAACTTGAGTCAAAATCATGATCAGTCCCAGATCATGTTCTGATTTTGATAGTCAGTCACTTTACATGGAATATCAAGATTTTTTAGTCCCATTTCACTCATGTTTTAATAATTCTAGTCACTTTACACTCCCATTCTGGTCCTGGTCCCACTAAAATCATGCCAAGAAATAGACTGAGACCAAACCAAACCAAACCAAATGTGTAATTCATGGTCCCGGCGGCCAGTCTACAGAAATCACCCAGATCTCAAAGAGTCAAATCAACTGTATATATAAATGTGCAATTGAACACAGATTTGATTCTGAACTGTCTCATATTATACTTTGTGATGAATGACTTCAAGATATTCTCAAATCTGACCAATCAACTCAGAGAAATAATAGTATTAAGAACACTATTCTTGTAAAGATTTGATGTGATTGATATGAATGAGAAAAGATATGTACTGATCTTGTCAATGAATTCAGTAATGAAGGAATTGAGATATCTTCTATAACTATATGAAGGATTCTTTGCAAAGCAGGCCTGTGAAAAACAAAGTCTACACAGAAGTCAGAACTCATTAAAAAGATGCAACTAGATCAACTTCAATTCTGTCTGAAGTATAAAGATTGAATCTTGAAGAATTGAAAGAATATTATCTGATCAGATGAAATCTCTGTTATTCTTTTTCATCAACAAAATGAATATAGAATATGATATGCATCTCATAAGATCTATTCTCAAAGCTGTATACACAAATAATAAAAGAGATCATCTGAATTCATATTCTGAGTCTGCTTCTTATACAATAAGAAGAGCTCATTTCATTGTTGAATCAGAGAAACCTTGCAGAAGCATACTCAATTCCTTGAGTATATTGAGACTTTAAATACTGAAATGAAATCTATAAAGAGGCAAGAATGAGAGCTGTCAAATAGTATTCAAAGATTACAGATTGATCATCAGCAATCAGATCAAAAATCAATATGAAAGTTCAAACAGATCACAGACAAGCTATTTTGTGACAAAGATGATGGAATTGATTGATATCACTATCAAGTTCAAATTCTCTTATCAAAGCTATTTTTCTTTGTAAAAGAGTGTCAAATTGATCATCTGAATACTATTGTGCAAGAGGATAAGACCTCTTCACACAATCACTATATTCAACATTATATGTATGATATTCATGGGATTCAACAGCTGCTTTGATGTGGGAATTCATCTGATCTCAATGCAATTGAGACAGCTTGACTCTGAATGAAGTGCAGAACAATAAGAAAAGAAGCTTCTAAGAATCATACAGAAGCTGTTAGAGTATGAAAGCAGGTATGGAAGAATCTGCCACAAGAGAAGATACAGACATGGATTGAGTGGATTTCTGTACATATTGAAAAGATTATAGAGTTAGAAGATGACAATGAGTATAGAGAAGGAAGACAGCACAGACAGGTGGAGGAATAGAATACTCATCTGGTTGGCAGATTGGCATGCAGATTGGCAGGCAGATTGACACACAGATTGGCAGACAGATTGGCACACAGATTGGCAGGCAGATTGACAGACAGATTCCATGTTGAATAGCAGTGGAGACAAGGAATAATCAAGAGCTGAGTATTCAGTATAAAATACAGTGTGAATTTCTGCCAAGATTTGTGGCACTGTCTAGTTGTCTTTTTGCCGGCGCAATTCTTTTGATAGCGCCCTCTGTAGACTATTGACTGGCTGGGACAGCCAAGTGGGCCTTGCCAATATCCCCATACCTATCATGGCAGCCGTCGTGCAGTGTGGGATGTTGACGTGATGATAGGCCTCCGCGGATACTCTCAAGCATGGAGAAGGATATCGCTTCCTTTATGTTTGCAGTTCGAATAGCCGCCGTAAGTTCTTTGCTTGAAACTTGAACCAAAACCGCTCTCCGCACTTCTCTTTCTTACACTTCTTTGAAACTGGCGCCTCGCTGAGTTTGCAGCTATTTAGGTTGTGCTTGGCGTCCTTCGGTAATTTATTGGCTTCTGTTCAGCGACCACAGCGACCACAGCGTTCCCAGCTGGTCAAACCAAGGCCCAACCATTGCGCTAAACAGGGGTCAGCATTGGATTGTTCATCCAAATAACGCCGCCTTACGAATATGAATATTCTGATTCCTAGGGGTGGGATGGGCATCATCGTACTATTACCCTCATTCAAACACACAGCCGTGGATGATGGGAGACGTCCAAATCGACCAGGCATCTATGATCAAACCGTCACTGATCAGGGCTAGCCATGGGGGCGTCTTTGGCCTAGCCCGCTCTGTTCTCAGCAGTTCCTCTGCTTAGACTTTTATTTAAGCTAGCTCGCGAACTTGTGGGAATTCTGAGGTCCCTCCAGCCCTCTGATCGTCAGCTTGGGCCTTTTGTGTAAAAACTCTGCTTCGTTTTGGCCAGTGACGACACCTGTCTATCAGCAATGGCACCCAAAGCCACACTTGAATTACAGGGCCACTTTTCTCATCATATCCTTTTTAAATGCCGAGTTCCACATTTTTATTTATGGCTGTGCCCCCTTCGTTTCAACAGACGCCCATCCGTTGGGAGCGTTTATTTCCTTCAAATATATCCGTACCTCATTCCCTGGCATGTCCATGGGTATCTCTAGAACCAACTGAAGTATTTCATCCCATTTGTTCCCTCAGCAAGCGCCAGGAATCCTCCTATATAATTCCAACCCCATACAATCCTGGAGCGCTTCCATAATCGTCTGGCCTAATCATTGGACCCATCGAACCTTCGACTTCCGGCTTTGATTTCCCTCCAAATTTTCACCCTGAGCACGGTAGGGGTCTGAAACCAGATGCCCAAAATAGAATTGGCGTGGCAGCACTCGAAGACTTGTTGGTTGGAGTGATCTGCGTCTGGTCCGCCTTAGTATCGATACAGGATATATGTATATAAGATATCCTATATCTGCTGGGGAGGTGTCGATATCAAAAATCCAACAGATCGGGCCATTCGTTCAGGTCGATCTTGGATTTTTTTCAGAACTATATTGTGATTAAGAGCTTTGGGCGATTCTTCCTGGCTGGATCCAGGTTACCTTCTTTGCGCGCTCAATTGGTTCTCGAGCAGTTCCAGTGGCTTTTTTACCTACACTTCCTTTACATAGCTTCCGACGCAATCATGAACGAGTCATCCACAACTTTGATGACATTTCTTGTGTAAGGTTACCTTGTCTTTACATTCTTATGGACTCGGGCTGACAGAGAACAAGCCGCACTCCCCCCAATACTAGATCTGTCAAGCTGTTTGGATCATGGGACAACTTCACGAGGGCATATCCGATGGAAAAGGATAGTCGAATTGGCAGGGGTCATTGGAAAGGATGTCATACCTTTACCAATATCATATGTGATGGAGAAACAAAACCGCCAACTCCAGGAAGGAATGGCGGTCTAAGGATGGGCGGCACATATTGGTATTATGTGAGTCAAAGTATCATATAGAAGTTCCAGAAACGCACAAAGCTAACCTCTAATCATAGTACCAACTTGACAATGAAATTGATTTTTTCAATGAAGCCGAGCCAGTAACTACTTCCTGTGCTCTTTTGCCAGGTCAACCCTTGAACGTTCTCAACGTTCCTATCAACTTACCCTCGTCACATACCCATCTTGGACGCGGTTACAAGCCCGCTTCCCAAATATCCAACGATGGAACTATGAATCCCGCAGACAAATATTTGAATCCGAGAGCTCCACCGAGGCCTGTTTTGCTTCGTCTCACTACGTCTCCAGCAATGCTCATGCGTACCGACCACGGCTTAGCTTCCCCCCTTTCTTCTGGATCCTCTATATCTCCCGTTAACGAAAGAAGCTTCTCCCATCCTCGTGCCTTGGCAACACATCGACGATTCCGTATTGGCAGTAAACTATCTCTAGACCTAAGAAGTGCAATTAATTATTCCCCCAAAACCAATTCTCTGCGATCTGCCATCCTGAACTTTACCTCCCCGCGGTTTGGTGAGGGCGACGAGAACCGTGGCCGTCGCCGTCATAAGGTAAATAAAAGCCACATCATAAAAGTTCCCGAACCAGGACTGGACTCATCCGCCCACTCCGGTACCCCATCTCCCACGTGGAGTGTTGTTGATAGTCTCAACAAGCCGTTACCCCATCCATACGTTGTTGATAGAAATCTATCCAGCGAATATGCCAGTGGAAATCAATTTCTTGCGGAAAGCCAAGGGTGGTCGACGCTGAAAGCCGCATGGACCGTTGAGCATCCATTGATCGATAGGCCTGGCTCTGGAGAAGCTGAACGAAACCGCTACCTTGCTGTTGATGCGTATCCAGAGTCTATGACTTCACAAAGAACGCCCAGGATTATCATTCCTCAACAATCATCAGGTGACATTTCAACTTCAAAAACGACAGCTCCGTTGGATCTATACGGAAAAGCTTTACCGAGCCTCCCACACAGCCCATCTTCCATTGTTGACGCAGAATTGCCGCAGATGGAAACTGTTGACTTCTCCCTTGGCGAAGAAAAATACTTCCAGAGTCATTTCTCCGACTTTACTGTTGACTCTCCCGGTAATTCGTGCTCTCCGGACTCTTTCCTCCAACCGACTGGTAGTCGGTTCTCAGAATACAGTACAGATACAGAAAACGCTTCGCCTTGCTCTATGACATCTGCATCAACATTTAATAACGACAATACATTCTCCCCTACCACGGATGACAGCAATGGGGGGCTTTTCGAATCCGCACTTACCGATCTATCTGCTCACAGCTCCTCCCTCTTTGATATTGCTTCCAACCCATCCCCGCAACCCAACGTGTACATAAACAACGCGCACCAAGATCGCGAGACTAAATCCCACGACTACCATACCGACAACCTTGTTATATCCTCTCTTTACATCTCCAAATCTCCTAGTAGGGAGATCAATCCCTGGACTCTCGAAGCCAATAAAAACGCCACCAACCATAGCCAGACAAGTAATGATGAACAGCGCGTAACACCTCCCCGGAAAAGCTTAATCCTAAAGCATAGTAACTTTACACCCAACACCGATTCGTTTTTTATGGATGATAACCCTGAACTCCTCACCCCTCGCGCAAACTGTACAAATCACTCCGACACGATGAACAAGGACAGTGAGTCGGTTTCGAGGCGTGGTGGTGGTGGTGGTGGTGGTGGTGGCGGGCAGCAGCCAACAAATCTCCGTGTCGAGTCTACAATGCAGGAGTTAATGGATGAGTTGAGTTACTTGGGCGATATGATCGAGGATAATGCTGTGAAAAGCTTCTAGATAAGAGCGTAACTCTCCTCCCCACAAAGATCCTCCTAGTCTTTATTCATTTTTCCTTTCCTTCCGTTCTTTAAGTACATTAATCTCGTTTTCCAACCATACATGGGTTCATGCGTCCCAAGTTCATCCATCTCATTGGGAATACGGAGTTACTACATTTCCATCATGGCGTTTTTTCCTTCCTTCTTGTATCACCATCATAGATCGCAACCCATTTTTACTTTTCTTGGATTTTGTTGGATTTGGTCGCGTTCGGGGTTTGGGCGTACTGTCCGGTCATTTAGCCACAGGCGATATTGCCTCGATCGAATAACGGCTACTTATGTGTAATGCAGCACTCGAAACATTGTTGATGTGCGGATAATGTAGGGAATACAGTCTTTGAGGCGTTATGGGATTTTCATAATACCTTTGAAAGTTTTTCTCTCTTATTTGTTTTGGTTTTTACACTGAAGTCTTTTAATGGCGTCTGATAGGATCCGGCGGTTATTTGTCAATTCTTTGAAGGCCCCGATGGAGAAATAATGATGGAGAAAAAAAAAATGAGGAAGTGGAATACACAATATCATTAATTGCGTGCCGAATGTGCTAATGCTAACTTCTAATTTGATGCCGATCCGACATATGGTAGTTATATGGTTGAAATTATATACAAATATTTTTTCCGCCGCAACCAACTTGACACAACCTTTGGCACTCCAAAAAAAACTTCTTTGTCCCCTATATAATACAACCATCAGAATCTACATCCCCTATTAAATAATTGCTTGACTTTATGGCTAATCCTTACAGTGGCATTTTCATGTACAATTTCCAGTTCCAGCTAGCCTCAATGGACACCGCACATTAAACCTACCAAGCACAGTCAATTAGCGCGCATACAAAGTAAACGAAGTAACGCACCAGGAGTAAGGGCGTGAGGTCCTCAGAAATAACGGAATTTACACTTTCATTCTGTCCCAATACTCTCATCAAACTAGTCCAACCGTCATGGACGGGGAGCATATCCCGAAGTTGGCCTCAGTAGCTGAGAAAACACTCGCGTCAAAATGCAAGCCTGGGTCAATGGCGTACTGTCCAACAATGGACCTGGTCGCGCTGACTAGCGTGGATGAACGAGTGGATGTTTTCAGGTTGAATGGACAGCGGGTGTTTGGGGGTGTTTATGGTGACGGTGGACGTGGCGGAGGTGAGCGGGGAAGGGAGGTGAGAAGGATTAAGTGGAAGGGAAACGGTAAGGGGTTCCATGTTATTTTCTTTTATATTTCAGCTTCCTCTATCCTTTCCTGGTTTTGATTCACCGAATGTGAATATCCGTATTATTTGCTCTTGGATGAGGAGTTTTCTATGAACACGTTCCAAACCTAACAGCTACTACAACCAGGCCATCTCCTCGCCGTCGCCTGTTCTGATAACATTATCCGCATCTTAAGCGCGTACAGCGGCAAGACGGTACATCAATTACCATGCGGCCACTCTGTGACATCTTCAGTTGCAACTGCACCTTCATCGTCTTCCACGTCTCCACTGGGCTCAGCTTCATCCGTTTCTTGCCTTGGCTGGGGAATGAACTTCACCGATGGCAAGAACGCGTTGAAATGTCTTCAAGATGCTGAGGGAAGACTTACTGTCGATGATCTACTGTCGACAGAAATGCAATTATCGAAAATCGCGCAGTTGAAGGCAGATTTGCCACGAGAGCTAGCTATGCTGGATATGGAGCGGTCATTGCCTAAGCTGAGCACGTTACCGTCGACGGGGAATGAGTGAGTCTTTTTATTTTGTTTGTTTGCAATGTTTTTTATATTGATATACGTTTGTTTCACTCATGCATCTTCTCTAGCGACGATGTGTTTGGTTCACGAGCTTCGATTGATTCCATCTTTCATACTACCAATAAAAACACCGGTGACTCTGTCGATGTCCTGCTAGCTGGCTTCGACGACGGGACTATTCACCTCCGCATTTTTGACTGCTTCGATGTCGGCTGCTTTCATGTCGGGAGCTCTCTTGGGAGCGCTACTAACAGCAGAATTCTTCTTCACGCTTTTCACCCCATCAGCTCTACTCATTCTCTTTTGTTCTCAACCGAAAACGGGATGCGACTCATCACTCTCGACCTCCGATTTATTACAAAATCTGGAAGATACTTGTCGCTCCTCGCGTCGAAAATTACGCAGCTACAAAATTTGCTACGGTATATCAAGCAGGTGCAGGCACAGATTCAACTCGAGTGGAAGAATTCTCAGGATCTTCCGGGACGGTATATCAGAAATGTAACTGAGGACTTGCAGGACAAATGCGCGTGCGATTTTGTGACCGCTGCATACCACCTGCTTGTGACTGGGGACTGTTTCGAACCGCTGAGAGAGTTTCTGGTAGACGTCCTTGGCGAGAGGGTTTGTAACCTGCACAAATTTTAACGCAACTTCTGGGTCTAACTCATTTTTAGGGCCATAAACGTTGGGAAAAAGCAGTTACATCAGGCTACGAGGCGCTGAGGCGACTGACCCACGAGTGTCTTCTTCCAGCATTGGAGCGGGGTGGAGTCCTCCTGAGTCGGTTAATAGGGCTGTCAAAATTCCACAAACTCAGCCCGATTCTCGGGCTGGAAACTGCAGATCTGGAGAAATGCCAGGACACCATAGACTGCCTTGGCCTCCTCTCCCATAAAGTGCTGATCCATAGCAGTCGCGAGCTCCACGAGTTTACCGCCTTCTCAAAATGGCTAAGACATGAAGTTGACCTACAAACCGCTGATCCTCTATCTGCCACCTATGAAGAACTGACGGAGAGCAGGGATTCTCTCGACCATGGACAGGTACTAAGTTACATACAGGGAGCGATGGCTCGTAGCGTTCTTCAGGATTTCATCCAGCCTGTCCCCACACAGTCGCCTCCTGACCGATGGAAGCCGTCAGGGCAAGACAGCTCCTTTTATGAAACATATAAGAAATTACTAAAGCAGCAAGATCAAAAGAAACGGGCTAATCAAATCGATATGCCGCTACTTGGCGATCTGACAGCTCGTCTTGGACTCCAAAGTGAAAAGGTGTTCAAGCAGATTGCGGAGACGCAGCGACGAGGCATCCTCCACCGGTCGCCATTGGCTCTTGGACCTGATTGCGATGCGAAGGTTGTAGATATGACGATGAATTTCGGGGTACGCTGAAATGAACCTCCCCAGCTCAAGTGATGATTTGGGTATTTAGACTTACCATTGACTTTCGTGGCGTTCCTAGCATTTCGAGAACTCTGCATACCCATCTGTATATATTGCGACGAAATCAAAAAGCTCTCCATGGATATGTAAGAAACCCAGACACGTGAAACCAGATGTTGACCTTCCAAACAGTTATTTAACTTTCATATTTTTGTTTTGCGCAGTGTATCTTTATAGGGTCATCATCGATACAGTAAACGGCGTCAGCTCAACCAAAGCCACGCTCCTCTCTGCAATCAGCCTAAAACGAGGGAGCATCACAGCCGTAAAATTCGTCGAAGACGGTACACTAATGCTTCTCTTATCTGACCTGGGAAACGTACACCTCCTCAGTTTCCCTTACATTCCCAACATGGACACTCCATTCCACCCCAACTACATCCGAGTAGGCGATGACGGTTCTGAGACTTCTGCTACATCAGATTCCGTGACGCCCCCAGTGCAGGTAACGCTCCTGCATCTCGCGAATGGGGAGCAGGATGCGGAGCTTGTGCGGCATACATTCCCACAGCAGGAGGGTATGGAGCCAGTTGAACTGGAGGTCAATGGACGGAAGGGGAGAAGGGTTGTGTGTGTTTTGTATGCGGATGGACTGCGGTATTCTGTGTTTGATATGGATAGCTCAGGGGTGGCAGAAGAGGAGGAGGAAGCTGGAGATGGGGAGATGGAAGTAGAGGATAAGGTCATGGCACAATGAGCATGGCTTTCGGCTTCTATATCTGTTTCTTACGGCGATTACATATGATATTTTCGTAGGGAGAATAAATGTACGACTATGTTTGTTGAGGTACATATTAGCCAGCTTTTTGGTCCTTGTGACTTAATAGAGCGCAGTGAACGCATAGGCCTACGCAGTAATTGACATTCAATTAAATGCTGGTGGGTTTGTTTGTTGGATGAAGCGACGGTGTGCAGGAGAATTTAGGCTGTGCGGCGCAAATCAGGATATAGGACTGATAGGCAGTATGTCGGATATTCAACTATTAGTACCTGCGTAAGTAATAACCAGTCAGTGTAGTTAGGTATATACATGTTTTTCAGCAATTGCCCCTGCGTTGTCAATACCCCCAATGGTTCTCAGCTTAAATAAGACCTACCCCAGACAAAAGGATGCCTGTTTGGCGAACGTTAATGCCAAGCCCAAACTAGTTGCAAAATATGTATGTTTGGAGTGGCCGCCAGCGGAGTTTGGCGGTGGAGTCCATTAAAATGCAACAGACCATGTTGACTCAGCCTAACTGGTTCCGTTTTTCGACGCCAGAGCCGCATCCTCATCTGTCCTCCTCCACACTGACTGCACGACCTCCAAACAACATCCTGCTTCGACTTCACTTCACCTCACCTCCTCACACCCCACCCACTATCTTCCGGAGAAGACAGATATACCAGGCTAAAGGGAAAAATCCCTCCCTCTTTTCTGCTTCTGACCTGAAGTCTTTTTACCTTCTTATCCGCTCACTTTGGCTCTTTTATCCGTATATTTAGTTTTTCCTCTTACCTTCTGGGCGGGGCAAACACTTCTAGGTTACCATAACAAAACAATCCCCAAGAAAGCCTTGTCGCCGAAGCAGCGTACATTGTTCGCAATTCGGGATCCTTATATTTTCTATACCTTTTTGTACCTCCTGTCGTGCTCAATCCCGCTTCCCCGCAGTCATTTCCCTGCCGCTTGTTTGCTCCCCCATCACAACGGCACCCCTCTTCTGTGACGAACCACGCGACTACGGCAGGCGTCGAATTCGGCAATATGGATGTTAATCAGGTGTTGACCAGCACCCTGTCGACGGGTATGTGTCGCGGTCCAAGCTTGTTTATTTGAGCCGAAGACCCACTCACTGACTTGTGCCTTGTTTGTGTGTGATTCTATATAGATGCTGCAACGCGTCAAAGTGCCGAGCAACAACTGTTGCATGCTGCTGAAGTTGACTTTGTATGTCTTCCCCTACTTTTACGCTTCTATTGCAGTAGGAAACGTAAAGATTTTGTTTCGACTTGTACATAAGCTGCCACAGATAGTTTTTGTTTTATAGCGCTATCTGTGGGAAATTTTTAATTTCATGCTTGCTTACTCGTTTTCCAACTATATTTCATTTCGGCCCCCGTATAGGCTACCTACCTTACGACGCTCGCAGGCGAACTTGCCAATGAAGCTGCTGCTCCTACCGTTCGAATTGCTGCTGGTATCGCGCTGAAAAACTCCTTCACCTTCAGAGAGCTTGACCGATTACGGGAAGTCCAGGGAAGATGGGTGCACCAGCTTAGTCCGGAGATTAAAAAAACCGTCAAGGAACTCGCATTGAAGACCTTGAAAAGCGACGATGCCAGAGCCGGCCAGTCCGCAGCGCAGCTCATCGCTGTCATCGCTGCCATTGAGCTACCGCGTAATGAATGGCCAGAGCTAATGGACACTCTTGTGAAGAATGTCAACTCTGGTTCAGATCACATGAAGCAGGCATCGCTGACAACGATTGGGTTCATCTGCGAATCCGATGAGCCGGAGCTTCGCGAAAGCCTAAGTGCGCATTCAAATGCCATCCTCACAGCCGTTGTCCAGGGTGCGCGACGAGAAGAAACTAACGCTGAAGTTCGGAATGCTGCGCTTACGGCATTGGGCGATGCGATGGAGTTTGTACGGTCGAACTTTGAAAATGATGGCGAGCGAAATTATATTATGCAGGTTGTCTGCGAAGCCACACAAGCTGAAGATACACGAATACAAAGCGGGGCTTTCGGTTGTTTGAACCGAATTATGGGTCTTTACTACGAAAAAATGCGCTTTTATATGGAAAAAGCGCTTTTTGGGCTCACAATCCTTGGTATGAAGAATGAGGAGGAAGATGTTGCGAAGCTTGCTATTGAGTTCTGGTGTACGGTTTGCGAGGAAGAAATTGCTATTGAGGATGATAACGCTGCGGTTAGTTTCTTTCTTTGTTTTTTTTTTTTTTTTTCTTTATAAAAATTTTCTTTTGTCCCTATCCGCACCAGGATTTTATTCTGAGCAACGGCTTCCTAACTTCGCATGCAGGCCCAAGCAGAGGGATCCACTGAAATCCGCCCATTTTTTGGCTTCGCTCGTATTGCCTGTAGAGAGGTTGTTCCTGTTTTGCTACATCTGATGACCAAGCAAGATGAAGATGCCGCTGATGACGATTATGATACCTCGCGCGCTGCTTACCAAGCCTTGCAACTCTATGCCCAGTGCGTTGCTGCTGAAGTGATCCCCCCGGTCCTGACATTTGTAGAAGAGAATCTAAGAAGCGAGGATTGGCATCGCCGAGATGCCGCTGTATCTGCGTTTGGTGCCATTATGGACGGTCCAGATGCTCAAACGCTCGATCCATTGATCAAACAAGCCCTCCCAGTTTTGATCGGAATGATGGATGATAAGGTAATTCACGTTAAGGATTCTGCTGCTTATGCACTTGGCCGAATCTGCGATTATTGCTCTGAATCTATTGATCCAGAAGCTCATCTGCAACCTCTTATTTCATGTTTGTTCCATGGATTGGCTAGCAACCCAAAGATCGCAGGCTCTTGTTGCTGGGCCTTGATGAACCTTGCGGAACGATTTGCTGGGGAAGCCGGTGCTCAGACCAACCCTCTATCAAAACATTTCCAGGACAGTGTTACCTCACTGCTCACTGTTACAGAGAGGTAAGCTTTCAAACTGAATATTTCATTTCATGTAATTTCAACTAACCTTTAGTTAACTGCTACCCCAGACATGATACTGATAATCAACTTCGAACTGCGGCTTACGAGGTTTTGAACTCCTTCGTGACCAATGCTGCTAATGATAGCCTTCCTATTGTTGCTAACCTTTCAGATGTTATCCTTCAACGACTCGAACAAACAGTGCCTATGCAACAACAAGTTGTCAGCGTTGAGGATCGTATCACACTTGAAGAAATGCAAACGAGCTTGACAAGCGTGCTCTTGGTAAGTATATTGCTTGTCTACATCCGTCTGTTTGGTTATATTGAGACGCTAACAAACCAACTCTAGGCTATCGTGCAACGATTAGAAGGAGAGATCAAGCCTCAAGCTGACCGTATCATGCACGTTCTATTGCAAGTTCTGTCCACGGTACCTCCAAAGTCAAGTGTTCCAGATACTGTTTTTGCCACTGTTGGCTCGATAGCCAGTGCGTTAGAGGGCGATTTCATCAAATATATGGATTCGTTTATTCCGTTCCTTTACAACGCGCTAGGTAACCAGGAGGAGGCTGGTCTTTGTGCCATGGCAATTGGACTAGTTAGTGATATCACTCGATCATTGAGTGAGAAGGCTCAACCGTACTGTGATACGTTCATGAATCACCTGCTTAATAACCTGAGGGTATGAATTCATTCTCCGCTCATGTGTTATACTCACTTGGCAAATTTTTATTGACCATTTTCCTCAGAGTACTACCCTCAGCAATCAACTAAAACCGTCCATTCTCGAGACGTTCGGAGACATTGCCCAGGCTATTGGATTGCATTTCGAGACATATTTAGTAGTTGTCGCTGGCGTGCTACAACAAGCATCCGGTGTTACTGCCAGTCCTGATGTATCATACGACATGCTTGATTATATTGTATCCCTTAGGGAAGGTATTATGGATGCGTGGGGCGGCATTCTCCTTGCATATAAAGGCACACCAAATGGTACGTTCTGGTTAACCCTGGCTTGTCCACTATTGAAATTTTCTCAGATCTAACTTTTTCAATTTTGTAGCCAATGGCCTGCAACCATACGTCGAGTCGATCTTTCAACTTCTAAATATAATCGCTCAGGATAATAATCGGAGCGAAGGATTACTTCGAGCTAGTATGGGTGTCATCGGGTTGGTTTTCCAGATGTGATGCTGTCCTAGTAGACATCGCTAACAATCCTCGCCAGTGATCTCGCTGATACATTCCCCAATGGTGAATTTGCGGCTCTCTTCCGCAATGATTTTGTTTCCAACTTGATTCGGGAAACGCGAACAAACAGAGAATTTGGTCCTCGCACAATTGAGACAGCTAGATGGGCTCGTGAACAGGTCAAACGCCAAATAGGCCTTGCGACGGCACAAGTTATGTCATAAGGCACCATTTAATGGAAGTGACATGTATTATCCGTGCGAAGCACTCCGCCATATTACGCACATTGGGCGTTGTCCAGTTAATACCCGTTCTATCACCAAAATAACTGCTCGACGAGGCACGGGAAGCGATGCCGACGACTGGAGCATTTTCACGAAATGGTAAGACGGAAAAAGAATGAACGGCACGCCACGCCTGTGCGAGTTTTCCCAGCTCAGCTAGGATATTGGATAGCAGTCGAATTGAAAAGATTTTTGAGAAAAAGAAGCAGGAATCTGTTTTATTCTTTTTTAAACCCTCCTTTCTCCCCCCCCTCAGCGAAGTTCGCATCTCTGGCATTTTCAATGATTCGGCATACTTTTACATCTGACCTGAGCATTTCACACGTTCTGATATGAATGATACCGCAGCCCCGCGCCCTTGTCAGAGCAAGCCCCTCGCAACCTTCATAATCACCCTTCCCCCTTACTGTATGCCTCCAAGCACTTTCGTGTACCCCTCCCCGTCAATCCCACACCTGTTCCCCGGCACCCCACGATCAGATGCAATTGACTCACATTTTCAGGAAGAATTCCCTACTACCTTCCCCATACACCCCTGTACGCATGCACAAACGACGCGCATCAAATTCGCAATCTCTCACTCCCCCTTTCTTCGCCCCTAACTTCCCGGTTCTTCCAATTTCCTCTTCTTTTTTCCTTTTTTTTTTTTTTTTTTTCATTCACGGCCCTGCCCACACTTTTTTAACACATTCTATTTACCTTTTACACTAGAAATCATGTATGCCCCAAAATCATGTATCCATTGTTAATTATTTTTATAAACTTCACTTTCTTTTCTCCTTTGCCCATACAAACTATTTATCATATCACAACACCAACGCATTCATCCTTTTACTTTCCTTCATTTTTTTTACCTCTTCTCTCCAAAATAAGTTAATAAATAAATGGGTGGCTTTTGAATCTAAGAAGATATATTATTATTTTATAATCTTGAAACACATTTCTTTATCTTCTGCTTCATTCAAGTAGATGCCGGAATTTTTCCAATATGTACTTCGTGCAATTATTGGTTTCAAGTAACGCTTTTATGAAGGGGATCTTTACTATATTTTCGTTGTTTTTTTTTTAGTTTTCAAAATTCCAAGCCTCATAATTTATGAGGAGCTAGCCATGACTCCCAAAAATAGTCGGTTGTTTTAGTACTCTCTCGCCTGATTGGTGGGCAAGACGTCCACCCCAACGTGGGAGGGGAATTAAAAGACGTACAATAATAAAAGCCGAGTTCAAGGAGCCTTTGATACGGATTAATAACTAATTACTCAGGCGAGAGGCAAAATGTACCTCATCGAATTCCCAACGGAAATACTCCTACTCCTTGGGCAGATATTGGTGTCTGAGAGAGATGCCGCTTACAGAAACGAGGTGTCTGGTCTCAACGCACTCGCTCAAACGTGCTCGCGTTTCTACCAAATCCTCAATCCTTACCTTTACCGGTTCAATGCACATCAACAGGACAGCTCCGCCCTTGTGTGGGCCACCCTGAGAGGGGACAGACGCACAGCAGAGCTTTCCTTAGACAATGGCGCAGATGTGAATCTTATTGTTCTCGAGCGCTCTGGGGTTTTGAGCAACACAAAGACTCGACAGCCTGGCTTGCAGATGGGTCATTTCGCGAGGTTATCTCCTTTAGCCACAAAACCCACTCTGGTCAGCTCTGGCCTCCTAGCCCTCGTATTTAATCGACGGGCAACAAGAGCTCTCGCTTTTGGATCTGCAGTAGGAGGAGAAATCATTCCGTGCCCCAGGATTCGAGCGAAGTACGACCAGGTTATCGAATTGTTGATCGGTAGGGGAATTGATACCGAAAGAACAGATGTCGGCAACGAACGACTAGATTTCTTCCACAAAGGAATGACACTTCTACATCGAGCTGCCGGCATGGCTGATGATACCGTGGTTCGACTGCTTATCGAAGGGGGTGCCAATATACATGCGAGGACCACGAATTCACAACACACGCCACTACATCTAGCATCGAGAACTGAGGAGTTTGATTTTGACACTGTGGATGCTGTAAATGCACACAGACAAGATCGCAGATCTAAAAAGCAACGGATCGTACGGCTTTTGCTAGAGAACGGAGCTGACGTCAATGCTAGATGCTATGAGGGTGATACCTCACCTCTACATTTTGCGGTCAATTCCCCCGCACTAACTCAAATTCTACTTAAATATGGAGCCGATCCCACTGCCAAGGATAAACATGGAAGAACACCGTTGCACCAGGCAGCTGTCGTTCCGCCATACGGCCCTGACCATCGTGATATGAAATGGGTTGGTAGGAGCGCTTGGCGTCCCGATATGAAGACTGTGATTAGGTTGCTAATCGAATGTGGAGCGGATATCGAGGCAACAGCTAAAACCGGATTCACACCGCTACATTATGCTGCAAAATTGGCACAGGTTGATGCGGCACAGGTTCTTCTCGAAAGTGGCGCTAATATCGAGGCAACTGATAAGGGAGAAGTGTGTAATTCCCCCATGTGGACGCCATTGCGTCATGCAATCCATACCTACGTAGCAAAGGATTGTCAATTGACTCGTTCTCGGTCCTGTACTCTTGTCACCATGTTGGCTAAAGCTGGAGCAAACGTCAATGCGAAAGGGGGCGATGGACTAACCCCACTCCACCACGCCGCGATGTACGGTATTATAGATATTGTGCGCATACTTGTGAGATTTGGTGCGGATGTTGAGGCGAGAGACTGTCAAGACACGACACCTCTGCAATATGCAATCTATGGGCGGAATGGCACGATTTCACGAGAAATGGAGAATAGGCCTGCTACTCCAGCTTCTGGTCGTCTCCGTTATAGGACCCAACCGGCCTATGCGGCAACCGTTGAATATCTCTCTTCGTTATAGGTCATTCTCTGCGATCATTAAATAGCGTCTGGACTGACTATACATCATCGAATTACATGTCTTCCATTCAGATTCTAAGTATGAGATTGTTTCACGTGATTCGAACAAGGGCTACTCTGCTGGAAACCCTAAACCCTAAGCGGGCCGCACTAGCTCTCCAACCCAAAATTTTTCAAATTCAAAGCAAAATCAACATCGTCAGCCTTCTGTATTCGCAGCACTCCATTTTCCAGAACTCACCGTCAACACTGACCATCGAGGTATGTGGCTCTATTAACCATTTCGCAATCTTGTCATGTTTGCTTCAACGGCCCTATAGCTAGTCTGGGTAAAGCAATCACCATGGACTTTTACTCAAAGACACGACCCCAGCGTTTGACTGCTGGTTGCATGGTGATACGCTTTTACCCCTAACGGCACGGGCTTAAGAACCCTTTCTCTCCCTGATCTCCAATTGAGGTTAAGTGGAGGAGGGGCACTCTTTGCGCTCGAAAAGACTGCTGAAGGCTAACTCTACTTTTGTTGTGATGTACGACGGAATTGTTTCCTGTGGCCCTCTGCGGGAAACGGGACATGGTTTCGTAGTACAAATCATTTTCCGTTATGGATATACATAGATACCTCATTTCCAACTCCTCCGTCGATCTGAGAATCTCTGTGCCAAGCAGTTCATAAATCGCCAAGATGGTCAAGACCAGTGTCCTCAACGATGCGCTGAATGCCATCAACAACGCTGAGAAAGCTGGCAAGCGCCAGGTTCTCATCAGACCTAGCTCCAAAGTCATTATCAAGTTCTTGTCTGTCATGCAGAAACATGGTGAGTTTTGATGTTTTTTCTCTTTTTTTGTCCTTTTCCCCGTCTACTACGTCGACATTTCACTTGCATGAACTTCATTTTGTCTGGCTGGCGTGAAGGCCACAACATACATGTACGGAGACGAAATATTCGGGTTGATAACTAGGCGGCGATCTCGATCATGAAATCCACTCTACGACGTCCGCCCTTTAAATGCCCGATAGATGATTTTTTTTGGCGTTGATCTTACAAGTTGCCTGTCTATTATTTATCCAACCGTGGTTGGTAACATTTAATTCGTCGCCACATTACTTACTTCATTTCCGCTCACAGGCTACATTGGCGAGTTCGAAGAGGTTGATGACCACCGCTCTGGAAAGATCGCCATCCAGCTCAATGGACGGTACGTTCCCATCATTTAGAAAACATTTGCCGTGCTTCCCACTGATGTCTTCTCCGCCAACAGTCTCAACAAGACCGGTGTTATTTCCCCCCGCTACAACGTTCAGCTCCGTGACCTCGAGAAGTGGGTCGTCAAACTCCTTCCGTCCCGTCAGTTCGGTTACATTGTCTTGACTACCTCTGCTGGTATTATGGACCACGAAGAGGCCAGACGCAAGCATGTTGCTGGCAAGATCATTGGATTCTTCTATTAGACTAAGAGAAAACGAGCTATCTAGCTATGAATAAAGTTCTTCTGATTTTCTTAGAGCGGCCTTTTGCTCAGAGGACATAATTCATTTTTTTAAACCCGCCAGTATTAAATCCCTTTTCTGTAGGCTACCTGCCATGCTTGGGCCAATATAGTAACCCTGCTATTTGCGGTTGTATTTTGTCAATAACTCATATGGTGCTTGAAAGCTGAAGATTCCTTTGGCCTCTCTGATTGCTACTCTGCTGGCCGGCGATTTCATTGCATGATCGCCGCAATCCTGGATAGCCGAGGTGGTGAGTTCACCGCCTAAATTGATGAGTTGATTGATGATTTTGCCACGAAATATATCAATCAATCAACAAAATGTTAAATAGAAGCAATTGGATCCTTTGACAAGACGCATTCCCATTTGAATAGAAAATTCCGTTCCGTTTATCCTATCCGCTACCTAGAAAGTGGTGAATCGTTCCTTTAAAGAATTCCCGTCTGTCCCACTTCTAATGCCCCTCGACAGAATATATTTGACCCGGCATGGGGTATGCTTGCTACTACCCATATCTGAACGACATCCATCATGCTCGAACTAACATGCGTTGCCATTTCCAGCACCGGCTAAACTGGACTATAGATCTGGCCACAGGCACCTATCGCTCGACATACCCCACTCCCACGGGCATACCCGTCGACCCAACCCTGACGGGACCTGGCCTGTTGCAAGCGCACGAACTGGCCACCTACATCAACAGTGATGAATTCTTTCCAAAACCATGCAGGATTTACTGCAGCCCGTTCTACAGATGTCTGCAGACTATCCAGCCCACAGTGGAGGCGCTCAAATCCCGGCAGGAACTCGAGCGGAAACCATATGTGGATTTAAATGTGAGGATTGAGAACGGCCTAGGGTGAGTGTATTCCCGTTACTCCCATATCAGGGATGGAGGAATGAAACTTCAGCGGAATGCACTGCGAAGTTTTGACATAACTGATATTTCTGTCCATGCGTTCAGGGAATGGTTCGGCTCCTCATCCTCGTTCACGCACCCCGCTCCGGCATCGCCAGACATCCTCCAATCCCACTTTCCTACCCTCCTACCCTCCTCAGATACCGGCGAAGCCAGCCCCACGTCCTTCCAACCATCCTACGTACCACACATCTATCCCTCCCCCAAGGGCGAGAACATCGCGACACTCCATGACCGAGTCGCAAAAACCTTAGAAGCGATAATCGCACAAGTTGATACGGAACTCGAAGCTTACGAACGTGATATCCCGGCTGAAGAGAAGCAGAGCCATGCCATTTTGATATGCACGCATGCTGCGCCGTTGATTGCCATGGGGCGTGCTCTTACGGGCAATATGCCGGAGGATACATGCGTCGAGGACTTTAGGCCGTTTACAGCGAGTTTGTCGACGTTCGTAAGGAGATCTGGTAGTGGTGGTGAGAGCAGACCTGAGAATCTGGACCGGGAGGGGTCAGATACGGGCATGATTTCAGGGACGAAGTTGCGACGGTGGCAGGATGGGGTGGGAGTTGGGGGTGGTTGGGATTGTGTGGCGAATGGAGAATGTGGGTTTTTGAGTGGCGGGGAGGAGAGGGGATGGTATGTTTTGAAAACTATTTTCCTCACACTTTTATCATAAATTGTGTTTGCTAACGGGAACCCAAGGCGCTTTAACGGGGAGGAGGATTTCGACACGACCCCCGCTGCAGCGGTTGTGATTGACGTGGAAGGTTCGCCTGCAAAATTATGAGGTCCCTATTCCATGAAAGTTCTATGAGAAGCTTGGATCTAAAGATGGAATGTCGATACCCACTTCAGATCGATATATGATGATAGATATGATGATAGACCTGATAAGTTATAGATATATGTTCCCAGGAGACATCATTTTATCCCCCCCTCCCCTCTTCTCACCCCCTTTTCTTTTGTTTTATTACTGGTTGTTCTAATTCATTTTTCTTCGTTTTCAATTTCCTTCTTTCAAGCAAGTTATATTTCTGCCACTGTTCATATTGAAGGTATGTATACCGAATGAAACCCTTTCTAATTTTGGCATTAACTAGTTCTTTTCATAATAATTATTAATATGATAGCTAAGAAGTTAGTTACTAGTAACTATTCTCTAGCAAGTGCACTAAAACGATTATGATCTAGATACAAGTACGAAAATCAATGAAGCCAAACAACTCCGGATTCAACGACGTAAATCAAAACAGGACAGAATAAAAAGGGAAGGAAAAAAAGCCCACAGCTATATCCCGTCATTGCGCATGCGTCCATCAGAGAAAGAGCCCCTTAGCAGGTATATTCCATATACCAACCATTGGTAGCATCCTGCTCCATTTTGACACTCCCATCATAGTCCAGAGAAAGAAGAAGGCTCAGCTTCTCCTGACACTCTACCGAGGTGACAAGGTGTGACACGTACCCCTTATGTTGTGGCCAGTTGGTGAAATCCGCAGAACCAACACTCTCCGCCCCAGAAGGCTCTGTCGGATAGATACTAACTAATCCAGAATCCTTTACGACAAACTTGCGCTTCTCGCCCTGATCCCATCTGATGGCGCAGTGCTTGGCTCCCTTGGGTACATCGAAAGTCATTTGCTGATCGTGTTTCTTGTCTCCGGCCTTGCTAAGTTTGATGTAATGTCCGATCTTTTCGCTGGGTTTGCCGTCGACCATGGCGCGCATCTCGGGCACGCGTAGGACTCCGCTCTCACCGGGTTTGCAGGAGCTTCGGCCAACTGGGCAATCTGGGGTGCTGGAGTAGCCATTTCTAGCTGGGATGGCGGAGACTGTTTGCATGCTCAAAGCAGCCAGGAGGAATGCGGTTGCTTTAAGGAAGTGCATTATTGCGGCTGAAGTAGTTTCGGTGGTTGTGAGAGCGGTTTTGTGGGATGGAATAATATCAAGGGGATAGTTATCGTTGGTTTGAGGGTGGAGCAATTGGTATTTTATTGATTTAAGTAATGCAAATATGGCATTCGATTGAGGATGTCGAACGATGAGAGGAGATGAAAAACCGCATTCTGGGAGCCGGCGGAGGAAGCATATTTATACAATTCTTGCTCGCATTCATTTGAGCTATCCCTGAGCTATTGAGGATGGTTGAATTCCACAATGATCATACATGGAGAAAATTCATATAACCTGTCTAGGCAAAGATATCAGCTCCAAACCCAGCCCACCTCGATCCCCACCCGCGAATAACATCTGACGCTTGCTAGTTGGCTCGTGAGCAGATTGGCTCAGGGCATGGCAAACAACTTCGACAAGCCCGTCGAATAGACTGACAGTGGGTCAGGGTGCAGGGAGTCAAAGTCATGGAGTCGGCCCTAGCGACTTGGATCGCGTTTGTTACTGGCTCCATGCTCAGTAGCGACATAGCCGCATTCAGAGAATTTAAATATAGCTACGGCTCAACTTGCCAAGCTGCCAGCCTTATGCAACCTGGAGCAGAAATTGGCTTCTTACAAAGACAACAGGGAGGATGAGCTGTCGACTTTGTTTGCTTACCATCCTTGTGCAACGACGTCAAGTCCCATCGTGCGATCAGGCTTCCGTGATCCCCATCCTGCGGACAAGGTTTGACGATGATAAGGCCGAAGTGAAAAATATCACGCGCAAGTAGGCTTCCTTTGATTACAGCCAAGTGCAAAGCAACTTGAAGTCCCCGCCCGATGGCCATTTCCTCATAGCCCTGGGTCAGCATAGCCTCGCGGAAGCAGTTGGAATTTGTGTCTGATTGTCAAACAAAAGGATAATTCAAGCTCATAGCCGGTAACTAACAAGTGGAGGATACTGTCAAACACCCCCTACACAGACGTCACATATCGATCGTTGACACACTACCTGAGATTTAGATTCCATTTGATCGTAATCACTGTGCGAAAATTTCCAATTGCATATTGGAATCATGTTCAATTTAGCGGCGTGGCATTCCCGGATATGAAAGGAACAGACATAGTTTCAGGGACTACGAGAGTTACTATTTTGAGATCAAGAGTGGAGAGAGTCCACTGGTGAACCGCTCTGTATAGGTTACGGAGTGCATTCCAGTTTGTTGACTAACGATTTGCTCAAGATTTATAAGATAGTTAACTAAGCTTGATTCATTAACTAGTTATTCATTTATTTTCTTATGATCGCCCTAATCTTAAGTCGCTTCTCAGGTAGGCTGAGCTTCCACACAGCTTCAACTAATCAGCGCGGTTTATTTCCCCATTCGGGCCCAAATTCCACCTCGATGATGCATTCGGAACCCTGCGTACCATTTCTCTCTGATGCCGCCTTCGGCTTCTCACCGTCATTTGAACAGTCAACCCGCACTCAACCCTGTTCGGTTGGGTCAGAAAAATTCAAATCAGGTCAACTGAAAACCCTTCATGCTGTTGAATGAATTATGGCCATTGAGTCTTTTTCTATCTATTGCCTTTCTCCTTTGGATGAAATCGCTTCACCAGAATTTCTCCGAGTGCCCTTCACCAATATTGACTGTGTTGGCCGCATAAGTCCTGTCTCTACAGACAGCGAAACAAAAGTGGTAGACCCAGCTTCCTACTATTCTACATCCATCTCTCATGCCTCTCGAGTATTTCACCTCCAACTCAAAGTTGTTTTTGATTCAGTTTCTCTTTTCATACTTATGTACAGAAATTTGCTAAACTACTCCGGTTATCCTCATATCTTCTGATGTTACTCCTTGAGGATTGGTCCTTACACCGTGGTGGTTTACTGTCTCATAATCCCCTATCCGTTACTGGGCTGTTACCGGGAACCACTGGTGAGCCTATGTCAAAGGTGTTTATTCGCTTTCCAGCACGCACATGTGCCCTCATACATTTATTCATTCATGCACGGAGTTAGTTGCACATCTGGCGCTCATGCCCAAGAGCACTTCATCATCAGGGATGCTGAATTGAAATGCAAGCATCAATATCGGGTAGAGTGGACTTTGCTAATGATTGAGCGATAGCAAGTCTCTAACTATGAAAAAGCAATCCTTTCGTTTCTGTTCTATAAGATATGGCGGTGAGCTTTGTTTGGTTGCACTACCTGATTGAATCTACTTCGAGCACGATTGACAGCATGATGATGTCTAACAAAGACTTTCAGTCACAGAAGCTTGCATTTTAAATCACTTATTATGCTACATAGCCACAAGACATGTATTAAAAGGGAAGATCGTCTGCAATGGAGAACAGTGATTCCTCCACCATGCATAAGTCGAACCACATGCTAGGTATATACACTTATTTCCATGCCATATCAAGCAAACTTTGCTCACAAAACAAAAGCCGCAACCGCCACGGCCGCACCACCGATAGCGCCCCAGTTGGCCGCATGTGTGGCTAACGGCATTGCCAAAGCGCTGCTGCTGTCAGTGGTGGGTGCATTGGTCCCAGTCGGCGAAACACTCGCACCGCCGGTGGGTGCTGGAGTCGCGGTAGCGCCTTTGAGCTTCTCCAGGCCGGCTGTAATTGTGACTTTCAAAGGAACAATATATTTGGCGGTGGGGATATGGGTAGATGATGATAATTTGGTGACCATGCCTTTGCCTGTTTCAGAAACTAGCACGAGATTGGTGCAGTCGGCTGATGCGGCTTCGATTTTGCACTCCATTGAGTATCTTACGGGTCTGGCGCGGAATTTTGTGAGCTCATACTCTTCTGCCTCTCATTGGAAGCAGATGCAGAATGAGGAGGACTAAAGAGGCTGATTATGAGGAACTTACCCATTGTCACCCTCCCCATCGTAGCGCATTGCTAGGCTTGGCGGCATTTTGGTGTAGCTTATATCCCCGTCAATGCTGCATTTGGTTTTGTCGGACCCCGGAGCACACTTCAGGTCAAATACCGTCGCCGTTGGATCCTAGATTGAGAGTCCATAGACACGATTAGCCTTCCATTTGCTCTTCTTTTGCCTTCTTAAACCACCTGCTTAAAAAGGATACTTTCTTCGATTTTCAATCACCACCACAGTTCACTTGGAAATGTGGTGTTCAGCATATTTCTTACCACTTTGACTACAGAAGCCACCAACTGCCGTTGACTAGATGGCCCAGGAAAGTCCAGTTCGGTTACAATGCTCTTTTGAGCCTGGGTAAGGCCGAAAAGACCAAGGGCTGCCATGGCCAACGTGATCTGCAGTTTTGCGGGGATCATCGTCGCTATCGAAATGCAATTGCGGCAGATAAAGGCACGAGGGTATCGAAAAACAAACAAAAAGAATGAGCGACGATGAAGTTGGTTCAAGCGAGTGTATGCTGCTTCCTGATTTATTTATTGTCGCTCCCTCGCTCAGGAGGCGGACGAAGAGAATATATAGGAGAACAGAATCGAAAGGGGGCGTCCAAGCCCACTCAAGCAACAAATCTGAAGTCCCAAGAAAAAAATACTAGAGGCGATGGAGCCTAGCATCACATTCCAATCGAATAGTTCATTCTTTGCGATGACCGAGGCGGCGATTGAGCGTTTTTTTAACGAGGCCTTTAGCCGGGAAAAGACTAGCAAGTCCTTTAAACAAAGCGACAGATGCCTTTACCTCACCTCCGAGTTGTTTAGCAATGAGATGTTTCACCCAGAAAAGCCACTCCGCCTATTGTGGCTCTGGGCACTTGGCTTGAGCTGACAATTGTGCCTGACGCTCCTCATCCTACCAATCGTGGGGTTACAAAACCGAAAAACTTAGCAGAAAACCCTCATATGCATGTACGGGGTATGGAATCCATAGATATCTATACGGAGTAAATACCGTGCAATTCGCTTGCGTGGGTGTCATACTCATGAGTTCAGAATATACGGAAATGTGGAAAACAAAATGTCCTTGCACATGCTAGATACGCCATCATAAATACTAAGATCCTAGCCACTAGTTATGGCCTAACTTGACAATCAAACTTTTGGCACCAAGCCTCTGAACAAGGATTGATACTCCACCCGGAGGTTAGGCGAATTACGCCAGGTCAAGAGCCACTATTTTTTATAGGTTTAGCGCATAAAATACATAGTTTTTAGTTACATCATTATCATCATATCATCAGATCTTTGAAATATTTTAGAATAGAAGAGAGAAATTACTTCGTTATAGAACTCTCAGATCATCTTCATCTATCATGATAGTATGTAGTAGTAGTAATAGTGATATCTACCTTTCTCATTCTAAAATCATCTTTATAATGCAGTCAATCTCTGTATGTATGTACTCCGTACAGTACTAGCACATTTTTAAATCATCTCTACAATATTCTATCTTCTATCTCCGAATTGTTGATAACTTGATATGATGATCTCGCTAGATAGCGTTAGATCTTGATACAATTGATAGATATTATCGCCAGATATCATCGCTAGGTAGATACTAGCATTGGTAGATATCCTTGCTAGATATCGGTGCTAGGTATCACAAGAGCTTGATATCATACAAAAGCAGATGGGACCATGAATTACATCTTTCATTTGATTTGATTTGATTTTGTTCCATGCAGTTTTTGATGTGATCCACCCCGCCCCCGACCGGGCCTGGCGTTAATTACGGCGCCCATAAATACTGCCATCCCCTCGCTGCTTCTGTCATTTCGCTCGATTATCCGCCATCTCACTCAACCTCACCTGAATCTGCCAGAGGTTCACCCTGCGCTCACCCTAGCTCTGAATGCTGGCGAACTGCAAATTTCTAACAACCAACCTCACTGCTTGCCTATGACATCTGGGTCCTCTCATGCACATTGGAGTTCTTTGATCGTATTACGAGGTAGATCAGAATTCAGCTTCTTCCACCCAGAGGACACATCCCGCCGCTCACTGATCGCCAGGTCGATCAAAAAAGCCCGCCAGGGAGGGTTGTGTTCGTGCCGAGGAGGGTCGCCATCTAGCTTTGCGCTCGTTGGGCATGAGCGGGTAGCGGTCATCCTCTCGGCATGTCTGAGGGTTGCCCCAACCTATCCTCACAATATTTTGCACGAATCGCACCTTCTGCCAATTGGTGATACGTAGAGCTACCGCGAACACATTCTCTTTTATCACGCGCCGAGCCAGGCAGCCGCCTTATGGAAAAACCCCTTGTCATCTCTCGACTCATTGTTGGCTATAAACAACGGGGAGCAGGAAGAAGTGTCGGTTTTTGACAGAGCGGTAGCAATGAATTCCTCCTTTGTCATCTTTCCGCTATCCACGAGCGCTTTATTATCCTCTCTTTTCTCCAAGACCTCATCGTACTGCTCCAGCTCGCTCATCTTCCGCGCTGCGAATGCCTCAAGCTCTTCTTCATTGTTGAATTCATTCTCGCGCTTTGCCCACTCAGTGCCAAAGTATTGGCGCAGCTGCGTAAAAGGAAAGCTGCGATGATCGTTGAAGCCAGACGAGAGGAGCATGTGCAACCACATTGCCCCGGAGGATTGCGACCACCTGACAAGACTGGAGAGCTCTTTCTCTTCATGCCCTGGCATTTTTGACTCTTCCTCCTCTAAAATACGTGTGAAAATCTCCAGGCACTTGAAGTACCGGCCAGCAATCTTAGGTGGCTTGTCATCCTTACAGTCCCACGCGCTGTTGACGGGTCTGTCTTGGAGAAGCCACCATGGTGCTGAGCCAAACAGCTGGGCGGGACCAATGTATGACCACTCAAGGTCCACTACTCCAACAACAGTAAGGTCCTCCCTGCTCTGGACAATCAAATTCGCTAAGCCAAGATCATCACAAATCAGTTTGAATTTGCAACGGTCATACTTTGTATTGACCAAGTCAGATATCAGGGCTTTTAGGACCTTGAACGCCACATATTTATTTTTAGCATCATATAAACCAACAGTCGAGTTCGGCTGCTGGACAAGCTGCTCCCAATCCTGCTCGACCACATATTGAAAATACTCGGCTGTTGTTGTAAACCCCTGGCGTCGGTCTCCTATAGACTGTTTATTTAGTAAAAAATACTTGGTTAAGGTCTAGGGGGAAGGATGCAACACGGAAAGTGATATGTCATACCAAAGGTGTTGACCCCTCCATTTTGTAGAATACTGTGTGCCTTAAACGTTAAAGGGCGTGCTGGTGTGGCACTTTGGGTTTTAACTCCTGGCCATGGCAAGCTGCCAATCTGGTCGAAATCAAGTTTGAAAAGCTGAAGTAGATAATTCGCCAACTGCCTGTAGATAATTTCAATGTCACTATCATTGATATCCTCCCTCATGAGTCTGGTGGGACGTTCAGCGTCGGTATCGTTGAGAATGTCGCTGAGGCTCACACCATCAATGAAGTCCATGATAATGAACGGACCCAGATCGAGTGGGTTACTGGCAGCGTTGCCCCATGCCTGAATTCTTGGGACAGGAATGGTAGTCCTGTCGTGGATAAGACTCAGGGCAGTCACCTCCATGGCAACCTTCTCATCGGCGTAGTTGTCACAGACCATCCCTACACGAGGGAAACGAACCATCCAGGTGGTGCTGTCGCTGAAGACCATCTTCATGCCGGCATTGAATGCGCCATGGTGAAAGGGACCGTCGAGTTGACAGGGAAGCTTATTCGGATGGAAAGTCGACACCCATTCGCAGAGGAGGCCAGTCCTAAGGGTCTCATTCACCTGATCGACCCAGAGCTGGCCCTGCATCTCATGGACGAGATCGATCAGCGCGTTCGTGTCCATGACACCAGAGAAATGGTCGAGGTTGAGCGAGTAAAGGGATGAATACGAATCCGGTGGATGGTGAGCGGCGAGACGTGAAGTGGACGAGGTCTCCAACCTGTTGTTCTTGGGCTCGAAGCGCTAGCACTGCCAGGAGCTTGAGTGGAACAGCCCGGAATGTGCAGAAACAATATGTTATGCACAGCAACAAGGGCATTTTGATTGGCCTTTCGCACCGCGCGGAGGGATGCAAGCCAAGCTTTCGTGGTCGTGCAATGCGAAGACGAGCGTCTGTTCATGAGAGCATTGGCAATATTCTCCAAATGCTTGGATGCTTAAGAACTGAGAGCAGATATTCCTTGGTTGCCCCAAAATGGCTTGATTTCACATTTGAGCAGCAAATTTCCTGCCCAATTAAGGCAAAACCAAATGTTTCTCGACTAGTTATTATGAACCGACAAGTTTGGTCGCATGGAAAACAATCAGCAGGTGTTACAACGGAGGCTGTTTTACTTGACAAAAGCAGAGGCAATGGCAAATGCCTATCCCATAAGACATTCGCCTCCTCTCTTCTCCCCTTCCCCATCAACCTCCCCATCCTCCGGCACATCCGTTTAAGGAAGGCATTTCCCCCCATTATCTCCTCCCACTCCTCCACCGTCTGGGGCACCTGCTCCCCCTGCTCCACCCCCTGCTCCACTGACACCAGTGGCATATCAACCACTGGCGCAGGCGCCCCCACAACCTCCTCCACCAACCCCTCCACCATCAAACCCTCCCCAGCCAACCCCTCCACCACAGTGCCCCCGGAGCTCAACACCCCCAAAACCCCCACATCTTCTTCTTCAACCACCCCCTCCTCTTCCTCTTCCACCTCCGCCCTGGGAAGAACGCGCATCACCACTGCCTCCATAACCTGCATCCCCACAGGCTCAACTGCCGCCCGGTGCTGGGACCACAGGGCATTTGCCCCTGCCCTACCTGCCCTACCCCGAGCGGGCAGCATCGCCAGGCGAGGTGCGTCCAATCGCTTTACCAAGTGACGAAGGCGATCTTTGTGGCGGGCCATATCCTCCCCGGCCGCCACCCCCGCGAAAATAAAGGCGCGCCCGCGCATGATGCGCCTCAGTAGGGGCATATCACACACCTAGCATCATTATCAGTATATCAATATTGCTAAGGGCGCTATATAAAATGCTGAACAGAAAAAGGAGGAAAATAGAAAATGCTAAATGGGAAAAAGAGGAAAATGGAAAAGGAAATAAGAATTAAAGAGGAATACTCACAGGTTTGCAGGATTTACCTGCGGAGGCACAAGCCTCACAATGTTTTCAGGCATTGGGGCCCAGTGCACATCAAGAATTGATGTCTCCCAACTTGGAGACACAGCGCTCGCACGGAAATCGACTGTTGTGCAATGTGATTAGGGCTAGGACTAGGGCAAGATATCAAGTGAAAGGTGAATGGTGCTATACTGGAACAAGCTAGTGGCATATGTGACCACACTAATAGTGCGGCAAGGAACACCAGCGATAATACACAATAAGCACCAGGGAACAACTTACTTGAAATCGGGATACCCAAGGGAAGCCATATTGTCAAGGGGGGGGAAGCAAGACAACAGAATGTTTAAAATTTAAAATTTTAATTTAAAAAATCACGGCAGGGGCAGCAGAGAATCTTGATGATGGTCAAGTTAAAAGAGAAGAGGAATCTTCAAGGGGAAAGAAATTCTTTTTGCTTCTTCACTTGCAACCCCTGGCAACCACAAACTCGCCAATTCTACCATATCGAGAAATTGATAACAACGCGTATACTATCTATCTAGCGGACGCGATCGAGATGCTATCATCAAGCAACAATATATCAACCAGATACATACGCGACGCGAATTGATACTTATAATACTATACAAGAAGTCATATATACACAAGTTGCTGAGGGCAGCTCTTATGAAAAAGGGGGGCAATTGTCATGCACTCACTTATTATTTCCTTATATATTATCTTTGTTTATTGTTACCTTTCATTGCTATGTTCTCGCTACCACTATTTCTATGTATATATATATATATATGTCCGCATGTATTCCGCACATCTTTCTTTTCTCTTCCTTCTCCTTCTTAGCGATTAGCTACTATCCACTACTATTACTACTATCTATTACTACTTGCTACTATTATCAACAGGAGGATACTATTTTGTCTCTGGGCTCAGACTTGAAGAGAAGGAAATTCAGGAAATTCAGGACATGAATGGCATGGTGTGATCTTCGAAGCAAGGAACTGGAAAACTCGTTAAGAAACCCTTCCCGGTGTCCTTTGGCTTGTAGTAGGTTTAGCGACGAAGCAACAAAACAATACGGGGCTGCCATTCTCAACTTATTGTTTTTGAGCTTGCTTGAGACCATGTTATCGGTAGGTATTTTGATGCTTCAGCGAGGTAGAGTGCTTTTGTTCATCACAATAGGACGATGTCTCAAGAGAATTCCTTGCCAAATACTCCTCGATCTGCTGACTTCGCATATATTCAATAGTTAGCTGTTTAAAAACCCGTGTCATCTTCCTCGTACAGCCCAAGCAATGGCTTCTGAGAGGTAGGGATTGGAGAATTCCCACTCGACATGAATCGAGAAATGCCTGGGGAGTAAGGAAGTCATGAAGCTACTAAATGTAATATCGTAGTCAACTAGACCATGTTAACTACATTAGTCATCTGTATACACGGTGCAGACATGAGGCTGTCTGAGTATGATGAGGTGTTGCTTTTTGCAATTAATCGAATTGAGCTTTTATGTCACTTTTTGGTGGAGCTGTAGCTACTACAGTTTATGGATAAATACAACTGAACATGCAAAATGCAACTGCAACGGCTCTATTCCGTATTCCGCCAGGACAAGATCATCAGCCGGTTCTCTCGAGCATCGGTCCCATTCCAGATACCCAGGACAGTTGCAAGAAATACCAACTTCTTCTCCACAGCTGCTACCGGCGAGCTTCAATCCACTGTCACGATCCCGGATCTATTTGTCTCGTTCCTGGCCCAGAAGCCAGTGCCAAACCCCAGCTATGCAAAAGTAAAATGGTCGCAGGAGGTGTCCATGAGAAAGTATGTTTTCTGTACCACTGTAACTAAAGATGATTATCTTAGTACACAACAGCTATTGCGCAGTTACTGACGCCAGGATATGGTATGTACGGGGTGTAGTGGTAGAGAGTGCTACTATCCAAAGCGTGCACAAGCAGACTTTGCATATTTCGCAGCTCTGCTCGCCCCGAAAGCAGCTGAGCCCGAATATCAAACTATCTGTGACTATATATCTTGGGTATGTTCACGATTTCAGACTGATGTTTCTTCTTTTCCTTCCCCGTTCGCCGTGGATTTGTGCTAACTAACTACCTGGGACTCGAGCGGATTGTTTTCAGATCTTCTATTTTGATGACAGTATGGCCTTTTATTCCTGTTGTTCAAAATGGAGCCAAACTAACCACCTCTTTACTGCATGGAGTGTTTGATGATGGCCCTCTCTCGAACGACCCCCTGGATGCGCGGAGAGAGCTGGACGGTTTACTGGCGGTGATGGCATCGGATGGAGATGTTGTTCTCCCTGACAACGATAGATCCAAACTTGTATTCCAGAGTATATGGAAGAGAATAATTGAGGTAACTCATATTGAACAATTTATACAATTCAATTCCAGCTTAGGCTAATACATACGATTCCAGTCCTCCACAAAGGGTAAGTGTTCTGTCGATAGGCAATGGCCATAGATACTCCTTTTAAGAGAGATGTGTCCGTCTGGCCAGAAGGGCTAATCTGCCTTCTTTCCCTGTCAGCATAGGCGTCCAGCAAAGGTTCCTGGAATATATCAGAAACTATTGCGATGCCGTCTTTCGGCAGGTGAGCGGACAGCAATTACTCGACAATAGCAGTATTAGCGAATATATAGCAATCCGCAGCGAAAACCTCGGTGCTATGCCCTTTTTCCCCTTGATAGAGTACGATCTATCACCTTTTCCTTTTCTATTCAAACCGCTTCCCTCCCGCATCTGTCAAGATACATAATTGTTTTCAAAACAGATACCACCAATTCCTCGACCTCCCAACTGAAGCCGTGGAACACCAATCGATAAAGGAAATCGAATCTACCGCCGTGGAAATTCTGGTGTTGTAAGTTTCTTATTTTGCTCTCTCTCTCTCTACTCCCTTTTACCATCAAAGTCACCCAATCCCAAGTACATGCAACTCTTACCCCCCCTTCCCCCGGGAGCCCCTTTAGGCACAACGATCTCCTCTCCTACCAAAAAGAATACGTACGTAAACCATCGCCCCCCTTGAACTATCACCCAACAGGATTAGTTGTAATTGTCCACGTACACGCAACACCTAACCATCCCGTCGCGTATCGGTTGATTTTTCACCCAGGCCACGAACCCCACCAACCCTAACATCATCACCATCTACCGCGAACAGCACGGCCTCTCGCAGCAACAGGCATACGACTCCGTCGACGCCCTGCTACGCGAACGGTATCGACGGTGGTATATCGCGCACTCGAAACTGCCGATCCTAGGCGAGGAATTGGATGAGCAGATGCAGCGGTATGTAGGCGGGTGCCGTGATGTGGTTGCTAGTAACCTGCATTGGAGGTGAGGTTTTATTTTTTTAATTTTTATTTTTGGTTTTTTCATTAAAAATTTCCCTTCTTCCCCTTTTTGTCGCACCCCTTTTTTTGACCAGTGATGTTGAGTGGTGCTTGTAGCTTCTGGACGGATAGGTATTTTGGGAAGGATAAGGACGAGGTTAGAAAGAGTAGGAGGGTGAAGTTGTTGGCTTAGTTGTAGGTTATGCAGCATGCATCACGGAAGCATCAGCCGACGGGATCGTCGAAGAGGGGGCTAATAAATTCAATATATGGAAAACAAATGCAATTTTTAATGCTAAGCTTCAGAGCTCAGGTCGAGAGGAAAATAACACGATTTTCTTCTTTTTCTTTCATTACTTTTCCTTAAGGAAAAAAGAAAAATCCGGCCTATTCATACATGCAAGTACGGCGGAAAACATAATATCGTTGTAACTCAGAAAAGGTTGCAGGTCCGTAAACGGGATATTTATATCCGACCAAAAAGTAAGGAAAATGTAAATAAACATAAATAGAAACCAGTTTATCTAAACAGAACATCATATAGGAAATAGAACATATAAAAGTGTATATGAACAAAGCTGGGTATAGAAAATCAAAAGCTAGATATGAAGGACGCAGAACAGAAGGCAAACAAATCATTGATGAGTAGACAATATTCTTGTGAGCTTTCAATTCATGAACAAATTTCACGTTTCGATGGCACTATCACCCTCTTCCAGGTCCACCGTGGGATCGGCGGGGGTCCCTGGTTCAATGACTACGGTATCCCCAGGCTCTTCACCAGAAGCGTTATCAGGAACTTCTGCGACATCATTCTCCTGCTCCCTAGCTCGGTTTTCCTCTGCCTCTCTTACGGCAGCTAACTGATTTTGTCTCGCGGTCTCTGCTGCGTTTCTTGCCGCCACGCGGCGTTCTCCAACACCTGGCACCAAACTTGCAAGGAGAAGAGCAAGTGCTCGCTCTGCCGTCCTAAGTCTATTATACACCGCCGGCTCGCTGTGAGGCATAGCTGTGGGATGCTGCCTTTCCACTGTGGAACGAAGGTCTCCATTGATGGTATTTGGTTGCATCGGATGCACGGCAGGATCATTTGTGTTAACCCGTCCAGAGGCTCTGTTTGCATCTTGAGGCTGATGTATATCCATAGGCAACAAATATTCGAGAAGTCTGTGTAATGGATCCAAGGCTGCCCTCTGGAAACGCTGTGGTATATCGGTTTCCGATACAAGAGCTGTTACGGCGGAGAGTGAAATTAAAACAATCCTGAGCCACGTACCATCTTCGGTGAACATGTAGCAAAAGAAATAAAGCCGGATGAAAAGCCAAAGTCGTCCCAGTATCCGAGAGAGATTCGCTGGGCCTAAAATTATTCGATGTCGCTCCTGCTGTTGTAAGATTGCTTGATTCACAGCAGGTGGTATATTCGTTGTATTTGGCGGCGCATGTGACGTGTCATGTGGAATAGGGGTTATGTGCGGGTGAATGGTTGTCCTATGAGTGGGGAATACAGACGTTCCCGTGTGGATGGTGCCATATCCTGAGGCAGAAGCTGGAGGTAAAAGTATTGCATGATAGCCAGACGGGGAAGATAGTAGGTAAAGGGAAGTCTGCGTAGGATCTTGAACAGTTGGTGAGGAATTAAGCAAGGAATTCTGCGGTGAAAAAGTAAAGGAACGGGCTCTTGAAATCCGTATTTGATCCACCCGAGTACTAAGAGATGATAGACGTGCGAGGAGATTTGCAGGCATGCTATCTCTTCGGCCAAGTGGATTACGGTCCTGTTCATCCAGAATCTGATGAAGTTGAATGCGTATGCTAGAAATTTCTTCGACGACTGGGAGATGGCCACGGCGTAGTTGGCCTTCCATAGCAAATATTTGTTCTAAGATGGTTGCGATTGTTCGTTGTCGATTTTCGTTTGCACCTCCCACACCGGTTCCACTCTCCCCGAACCACGTGGGACGACTGGGGGGAGGAATGGTTGCTGTGTGCTGAACGGGAGAAATGCGAGGTGTGGGGTTCTCGGACATTGTGGTCCATGGGGATGGCGATTGGTGCGACAGGGTACTGGGCGTCGAGCCCACTCTCTCGCTTTGTAGGTTCGGCGCCGGCAACCCGAATCTGGTGCCGTATAAAGGCGAATTGACATCAACGTATAGAGGTGAATTCTCTACAGTATTCTGGAATGGGACACCGGTCGTATTTATCGCTGGGGCAACTCCGGTTCCTGAAGGGCGAGTCGGGTCAACCAACCGTGAATTCTGAGTGATTTGAGCCGCCAGATGTTGATGTTGTGCTATAACGTGCTGGCGTATAGCAGCCACCTGGCTGGTGAATGCCGCTGGGTTGAACTGTGCTTGCCCATGCGGTCTCTGTACTGTTGGCTCAACATTGTTTGTACGGAGCCGTAAGTTGGACGGCTCCTGCGGTGGGTTCGGGAGGTTTGAAATATCGTTTGTAGGAGGGGGGATAGTAACTTTGACCTGACTCGGGGGAAGAACAAGATGAATCGTGTGCACACGACCCTATTGCCAACCGAATGTTATATGAGTCTGTGATATCCGGGCAAAAATGGGGTCGAGGACAAACTTACGTCTGCATGCTGAACAATATTGCTTAGCCGCTCTTCATTGTTCAGCAGAGGTTTCCCCCTGTAAATGAGCCTTTGTATATCTGGACGAGGGCGGCTGGGCAATGTTTCAGACAGTCGAGTTTTCAGATCTAAGATCTTCATTGCAAGAGGAAGGTTATCCAGAGTAACCCGGGCTGGGACCTCGAGGGACGGAGAGAGGATATGAAGATCAACCGTCTGAGCAGGAGTGCCAGCTGCATTACCAAATTCGGCTACACCGCTTATGTCCTGGGATTGGATATCTGTGGACATTTTGCCTTCTGCGTGTCAGGTTGCTTCGAGACTCCTAGGAGTACTCCCGGACGCACCAGAGAATGTGAGGCAGTCAGAATTCGAGGACTTGAAACAAGGCTACGTAGTGATATTTGACGTCGACGGTTCCCCTTTCAGGACGGGGCAAGGTGAAGGTGGATATAGTAGCAGAAGTGACAGCCCATGCAATAAAAAATAAACAAGAACCAAAGAAAGAGTGAAATCAAGCACCGTATCCGTAGTCGGGGTGCGGTAATCACCTCATCCGCACATCTGCACGCCGTCTGACTCCTCTGATGATGATATGGATATGGCGATGGCGATGGCGATGATGTTTATGTTTGAGAGTCGTCAGAGGGGCTGACTCAGGCTAACTCAGCACGGGCTAGCTGACTCAGATCCTCGGCACGGACAAACTTAAATCCCTGGAATTCCCATGGTTGGTGTCGACGTCAGAGATAATTAAGTTGGTTAGTTTTTTATTTTATTTTGGTCCGCTAACAGTGCTCAATTGGATTCATGGTTATGATCCTGCACTTCCGTGGCATGTTGGGGTGATGATCTATCGCCTGACATACCTCGAATTTAGGAAGCACTGAAGGAGGTCCGTTGTCCACCATGTTCGGTGGACGGGCAGCTGTCTATCGGAATCCCGCGAGGTTCGCGAGAACATGGGAGGTTATTGCGGCGGAGCTTGCCCCATGCAGAGCTAGTAACGGGATAATAGCGTTATCTCGAAGAAGGCTGTTTTCATCGTCATCTGGACGCTGGCAACAAAACGGCCATGGAGGCAATGGGTCTCAGGGGAAAGAGTCATTCCGGTCGAGATTGCGGACTGCGCTAGGGAACACCAAGATCGAATGGCATCCAATTCCCGTCGGGTTAGGTATCGGGTTCTTGGGGTTTGTCCAATTCTTCAGATCCAAAAAGTCGGAAAAAGAACGGCTGGAACGTGAGGGTAGCGAGGGGGAAGCTTCAGCGCGGAGGAAAATCCGTCCCTCTGGACCGTGGCAAGTTCAGGTCATGTCCACCCTTCCATTGAAGGCTATGTCTCGGCTTTGGGGCCGTTTCAATGAACTATCGATTCCATACTATCTCCGCATCCCAGGTTTCAAGCTTTACTCCTGGATTTTCGGTGTCAATCTGGACGAAGTTGGAGAGCCTGACTTACATACCTACCCGAACCTTGCTGCCTTCTTTTATCGCGAGCTCAAACCAGGCGTCCGTCCTCTCGATCCGAACCCGCTCGCCATTCTTTCTCCCTCCGACGGGCGAATATTGCAATTCGGTATGATTGAGAATGGGGAAGTCGAGCAGGTCAAAGGCATGACATACAGTCTAGATGCCTTACTGGGACACGAAGAGTTTAGCCCTGGCCATGAGGCAGTACATCCTACAAAAGCTCCAATACACCATAGCGTACACCGCGAGCGCACCAGTAATAAAGTCCCGGATAATGTGGCGGCAGACGAGAATTTTGCTAAGATGAATGGAATTACCTACACCCTCCCAACATTACTCTCAGGCAAGGGAAAGGGCGCATCTCCGGGAGATAAACCACTAGACGCCTCTATGCACTCCACCACCAGCTCCGAGGCTAAAGTCAAAGCCGACCTTGCCAAAGGCAAGACAGCCTGGTACATGCCCACACCTACCTCAAACAAATCCCTCTTCTACGTCGTCATCTACCTCGCGCCAGGCGACTACCACCGCTTCCACTCGCCGGTGTCCTGGGTTGTCGAAAGCCGCCGCCATTTCGCCGGTGAGCTCTTCTCCGTCTCCCCGTACCTCCAACGAACCCTTCCAGGCCTATTTACGCTCAACGAGCGCGTCGTCCTCCTCGGCCGTTGGCGTTGGGGGTTCTTCAGCATGACGCCTGTCGGCGCCACGAACGTCGGCTCCATCAAAATCAACTTCGACTCCGAGCTGCGCACCAACAGTCTGACGACCGATACGGCCGCTGACCGCGCTGCTTCCGCTGCTGCGATGCGCGGCGAGGCCTACTCGGGATTTTCCGAGGCAACGTATCGCCACGCGAGCGACACGCTGGAAGGCCATGCGCTGCAGCGCGGTGAGGAGATGGGCGGTTTCCAGCTGGGAAGCTCGATTGTATTGGTTTTCGAAGCGCCGTTGGGCAAGCGGCCTAGCTTTGACTTGGGGTGGAGGGGAGAACAGCGCGAAGGTGGATGGAAGTGGAAGATTGAGAAGGGGCAGTATGTACAGTATGGCCAGGCAATTGGCGAGGTGGAGGATGTATAAAATGAATTGAAATCTGTTCTATTACAAAATGTTGTTAATAGATTGGGTGCGGAACATGTGCAGTATATGTATGTACAGTGCAACACATGACTGTAACTTCCTCATCTGGACTTCAGGATTTGTACAGAGAATGTCTGGTTAGCCCCAGTCGTGAAAGCCAGGTGGACACGTTGGGATGGCGTTACGGACTGGTTACGATTTGGTTACAGAGTTTATGCTTAGTGGCTTTAAGATACAGTGATATTTCCATTATACTCGGGTTTCTACACCCGTACTGTCAATCCGCTGAGGGCGCTGTACGGACAATATCTAAGCGCAAACCTTGAGCAACAAATGTCGTGTGAAACGGTTAGTTTTAAGAAACCTCCGCTTTGAGCATTTTGCAGAAATATCAGGCCACCCTCCAAAAGGAGGCCGCCAAAGAAGGCGGGGTTGTCGAAATGTTGGTAGCTATAGACACGCTAGGGGCCGCAACATGCCAGGACTTCAGAGTACCAGAACTCATTTGCTTCTCTCTCTCTCTCTCTTTTGTTTTTTAAAGTCTGTGCACGCGCATTTAAGAACCGCCATTCTAATTCTAGTAATATTTTGTGTTCGGTGGTAGACCCTGTTTTTGATCATCTGCCTGCAAAATCTGTCAGTGGCAAGGAAATAAGGAGGATGATCTTTGAGGTACCAACAAGCGTTCTCCCAAAACTCTCAACACAACTGGTTTCAAATTCAATCCAACCACGTTCCTTCTCTCTGATGTAGGTACTGTCAGGATAAGTAATCGCAACATCAAAATCTATCCACATCACTCTCTCAGGGTCACCAGGTACAATCAGAATGTTCTTAGGGTAGGAGTCATTGTGCTCAACCAAAGCTGAATGAATCTGTTCAATGCCATGGACCGCTTTGGCCATTCGCTCCTCGGTGTAAGTAACACAGTTCAATGGCAAGGGGTGTGGCAGGTACTCGATCAGAATTGCACTTGGGAGGCCAGTGTCATGCTGAAAGGCATCCAGATGGGGGGAAATAACATCTGGATTCAGAGATACCACATATCCGTAAAACTGAGGTACGTAGCCCGCATCACATATGCCAGATCGCTTGAGACTGCAGTAGGCCCGGATTTCGCAGCGAGCACGATTCAAGTCACGAACTCCGTCATCGGCATACCCAGGGTCTCCATTGTTATGGAACTGGACAGGGTCAGGAACTGAGATGCTTGGGATGTAGCAATAGCCAAAGTACATACAACTTTCACAACATAGGGTTTGCCCTCGTAGCTCACATGGAAAATCGATGATGACTCTGATATGTTCAGTTCTTGGATAAACTTGAGCTTTGTGGGGTCGATCTCAATCCTCAGACTGCCATCGAATCCATCCTCCTGCTCGTAAATGGTACCCTCTGGGCCACGAACCAGATCGGTGTGACCAGGCATGATGGCGGCCAGAAACCGAAGACAGAGATGCTAGCTGCTAGTAAATCTCTATGGGTGCAAGCAGAGATGTTGCCGGAATTAGACTGTTCCGGAAGCAGTGGCAGCCGCCAAGCATGCTCTTGTTGGGATGGAGCTCAAGATGCGCATGGATGAGTTGCACTCTCCTCGCAGATTCCCCTCTGCCGTTTCCTTTTTTCTTCTGCCTTGCATTGAAAGACAGCGATCAGATCCAAACCAGAGATGACAACCGCTCTAAGAACCGGCCAACTAGTACAGGGTCGCCTGGGAAGCTATAACATCTCAAATCAATTGCACCGAGATGTCTGGACTGCTATGTAAATATGCTTTTATTATCCCACGGTTCCTTTTTCTACTCAACTTTATTTATGTGACTCACTAATGGACAACAGTGGCACCCGCTGTTCTCAGAAATACATTGTGAAATCGGCACCTCCACATCGCCTTGATAACGAGCGCGCGATCCTGAAAACACTTGGGCATCAATCTGGCGTTCGCAGGCTAGTCGATGATATCCAAAACCCACCATTGCTAGTTTTGCAATATTACGACGACAATCTGTTGAATTATTGCCGGACTAAGAGTGTGGAGGGACGTGAGCTCAAGACCGTTGCCAAAACTGTTCTTCAAGCTCTCGCCGCCCTACACAACCAGGGGCTCGTCCATACCGGTATGTATCTATCTCTCCCAAAGGCACTGCCCACCAGTAACTTGGCGGCTGATATCACCGTTGGAAGTTTAGACGTCAAACCTGACAATATATTCATAAACTACTCTGACAACCCAAAGATAATCAGCGAGGTTGCTCTGGGTGACTTTGGCGATACGTGCCATGTTGGCCCAAACCCCGACCCCAACGAAGATGGACATATCATCGGTGCAGGAATCTTTAGAAGCCCGGAAGCCATGCTGAATTTGCGCTGGGGGCCGCCAACGGACATCTGGTCCTTTGGTGCTACTGTATGTCTAAAATTTTCGACAATTGATTACCCCATCATCAGCTGATGCATAACTAAACCGTCTGTAGCTCATCAGCTTAATTTGGGGAAAGGGGTGGCACATCTTCAAGCCCGAGAACGTCGACCTGGAGGACGAAAAATATCCGGTGTACATCCTGATTAAGCAGATGAACTTTTTTGGGCCACTTCCGGACAAATTTACGGAGATCGCAGATGAGGAAAGGGCGACCATGGCAATGCAGCTGAAGGGTTATGTCGAAAGTATGAGCAGTGCACAGCGGAAGCCATTTGCTCGGGCGGAGGACGCTGTGCTCACCAAGGAGACTCGTGAATTTCTCTGTAGGATAATGAAACTGGATCCACGGGATAGACCGACGGCGAATCAGCTGCTGGAGGACGAATGGTTTGATGGAATCTAGGTTGCTACACTCCTGACTACAATGGCAGTCCCCGCCTCTATGTGGTTGAAAATAACGCAGGTGATACTCCCACCAGAGTACGTTCCATGACAGATCCGCCATCCCCAAATGAAGGTGGCATTATTGTCATTGACATTGACATCATCACCGGTTGAGCTTTAGAACATGCCTGGCCAACACTGAACGATAAACCTAAGAACTTTAGTGGAGCAGATATTTGTTTTGTTCCTGCTGTATTTTATAAGCCCCAATATACTGCAGTTACCACTCCTTTGGCATCCTGCCTCTGCGTCGGCTGCGACTGCTTCGATATTCTCCAACGGTGCCATGTGCATTACCGGATCAGCATGTACAAAAAGAATTCAAGAGCTCAACGATAAAATGTGATCGAATTGAGTAGCACCTCATGAGCCCCAGCCCCCGCAAGGTCAAGGTATCAATGGTGAGCCCGGGAAATGAGAGCAAAAGGGGGGGGGGGGGGTGTGTTAGTTCACACCCGTAACAATGGAAGCAATAAATTAAGCGCCGTTGTACTTGGTTTTCAGAAACCGAGCAGAGGTACTGCGTATGTCTGCTCAACTTGCGCCAAATCTCTTCAGAATTGACAAAAGGTACGTAGCCTGCACACTGCAGATGAAATCCTGATGGAATATGGCAGTGAAATATACATGGCGGCCATAGATTAAAGGTTTAAATAAGGGATTAAAAAAAAAGGAAGGAAAAAGGAAGGAAAACAGGCGTTTTTCCTCAAAAGGCAAGTTGCTTTACAGGAATTGTAGAGCTGCGTCAAGTGGGGTATGCTGGAAGACGAGTCGTGTCACTGGAACATCTCTGAGATAATAGTGACAAATATTCTCTGGTAAAATCATTTGGATTGAGCCTGAGGGTTTCGTTTTCTTTCTTGCTTTTTTTTTGGGGGGGGGGGTGGGATTAGTTATTTCCGTTGGAATGTCATTCATTGGTTGGAAGGAAAATGGCGGTTCAAAATGGTTTCTTTGTATTTTTATTTCCTCCTTTTTTCATTTTCTTGACGTCTTTCATCCGGTTTTGCCGGTATTTGACATCCGCAGATCGTAGCCGATGCATTGCCAGATGGGAGTCCCATTTCAAATCCGTTGAGGGATTGTGGAGCCAACCAGACTACGACAGGGATGGTGGGAGAGACCAGTTTGGGAGGTGTTAGATAGCAAACAAACAAAGAGCCATACGGACTATTCGACTCGACCTCAGTAGTCTGCGTATTGTGAGGCAAACACGAGCTCCCGCTTCCGAAGACTGGAGAAGGGTTCTTGATTCAATGAAATATTTTGGCCATGGATAACCGATGGGGAATTGGAAGCTGGGATTCATTCTTCCCCCATATTTCCGACAGGATTTTTTTTCTCAGCTAGCAAGTTCAATGCAATCAATGAATGGTGAAAGCAGGAATCGGGTCCGATTTTTTTTTTTTTTTTGAGCATGCAATCGCAATTGCAAGCGAGATCGCATTTCTGCTCCGTCTCCATGACGCATCTCTTGAATTTCCATCTCTGTCCGCCTCATCAATTTTCAGCCGGAGCTGTGCGGGTGCGCTAACCTCCTTCCATAGTATCTTTCTCCAGATCGTCCACACCATACCATGTCAATACCTGGTTGTCCCGGTTAATCTGTACACTTTCTCCTCTCCACGAGCCCACCTTGAATGATGACAATGGATGATGGGTTTAATCACCCCCATCGTCCGCGGACTAGCGAGCCAACCAACTGGCAACGCCTGCAAGTGCCCTGTTCTGTCCAGGTTCTTTGGCTTAGTAGCGGGGCAGCTAGAGCCCCGTCGTGGAAAAGAAAAAGAAAAGAAAAGAAAGCACAAGAAAAAGCAGCATGTTGGGTGGATGGACCGCGCATCGCATGAATGCATGCATGCATGCCATGCTATGGCTCATTCCCATGCTTGCTTGAAAGAGTTGACATCTGCCCGAGATCGGGTTTTGGCTACTTAGTGCATCAAGTCGTCAAGTTGGGCCACGGGAGGAGGAAACGGATGGAAGCTGTTCCAGAATATCAGACCCAACGTGATTGCAAATGGCGTCTGCCAAGGCTCAGACGCCTTGTGGGGGTCCTTGATTGGCCTTGGCGCTTCGAAGAATTTTCGGTGGGCTTCCTTCGTATTCCTTCGTTTTTTTCTCATATTTTCTTGGTATCTTCCCCCGCTTCAGCGTTTCCCCATTCCGTGTTATCCTCGGCTAGCAGAGGTCTGATTGTGTATGAAGTATTCGATTACGTCCATCTTTCGTCGATTTTACCTGAATCTGATAATATCGATGATTTACCACTGATCATCCCTTTCCCCCATGCTAGGCTGATTTGTTCTTCGTTTCTTTTTTCTCGCGCAGGGACAATCAATGATCCGCATGTGGCAACGCACCAGTCAGAAAGGAGTTAGCAACAGCGGAAACAGCAAACAAGAAGAGCCTTGCAAGGTGGAATTCCGAGGAGGGGGAGGGGACAGAGAAAAGGATGCGTTTCCAGCCGAATCCGGATTAACCTATTGAAACAACGAGCTTTATGAGCGAATTTCCCCGGCAAAAATAAAATCTAGATGCCCCATGACGTTTGTGGAGCGAGGAAGGGCAGCGGATGGATATCAGGGATATTCATTTTGGGGCGGGGGTGGTTGATGATCGGATGAAACCAACATGTCTGTTCCTACAGCACAAGTAAACTCGTAGCTGTGAATAGGATTGGGTTATTATTGCTATTACAACTCTTGTGTCTGAGCTCATGTACCGTACGCAGGTACAGTGCAACAGTGCGTGTTTTGAGGTTTGTGCAATCATGAACTGGTCAAGATGGTGATCGGACCTCAGTTGCTTCCACGGACCCCCATGCGTCTCTGTACTGTAATCCCGCTTCCAACCACCACACACCCCCGCGCGCATGCGCTCCTCCGTAATACCTAAGGATTGCCAAGAGCGCGGCGAGAAGCGGCAATCAGGTAGGTAACGAACGACTGGGTGGGATTGCGGAGTCGCACAGTCTCCATAATGAATGGTTATTGAGATTGCTGTTCTGGCAAGCACACATCAATTTCCCTTTTCCGGAAGCATGATCTGCCAGGAGATTAGTGAAAAACATACAATAAGTTAATATGGTGAATATAAAATGACGTTTGACAACCCAGATACACAAAAACGTCGTTCTTCTCATGCCCGTGCTTCCGTAGTCCGTGCTGTGGGTTTTCTAGGCGTCTCCAGACATCCCCCGGCCATTCACCCTTCAGCTTGTCCCATCCCCACCTGCGCGCTAACCCGCGCCAAGTATTCCTCCCCAGGGATGAGTGGCCTCAGTGTAACCTTAGATGGGCATCAGTGGCCAATAGTGGGTAAGGGGGCCACACCCAGCGGAGACAACGTGTTTTCATGGTGGGAAGGAGAGGAGCAGTCGCTGAGCACGGTGAGCTACTCATGAATTGCCCAGGAGTACTTTCTGGACTGCTGTTCGCAAAATGTGGGCAATGCCCCTCGGTGGGAGGGCAAGGAGGGACTCGGAGAGGGGTCGTCGTCTTCTCTTTCGTTTTCTTTTCTCTCGGCTGTGGCTTGGGTTTCGGGGCGACAAGAACAAATAGAGTGGTACTGGGCATAGAGTTAACGATTTCCCAAACCCAAACCATGTTCCAATGACGAATCGAACCCTGGGAGGCGAATGTCGTAAATTTTGTGCCTCGGGTGGCCAAGCGGGGCCAAGCCTTTCCCCGTTGTGGTTTATTTTTATATAACTCCCCGCCTGTCCCTCAACTTCCTCCGCTCTTCCTGTTTTCCTCTCTTGTTCCCATCTCGCATCTCCAGTCTCCGTCCATCACTTTGCTCGGTGATTCACCTGTCTAGGAGAATCGCAGGCTGATTACGGAATTTTCGGGACTGATAGTTGCCACTGTTCTGTGCCCTTGTATACTTGGGATTTATCCTCATCTCTAAGAATCATAGCTTAGACAACTCTGCTTTCTATCCGTGTCTGTCTAGTGGTGAAAAATAGTCAAGAAAGTATAAGAGTACGGAAAAATCATCGTCATCAGCATCATCTGTCTTGACAGGCCCTCTCCTCTCTCCAAATGAGACCCGCCTGCTATTCCTCCGTCGCTGTTCGCTCGCTCTGCATTGCTCCCTAACATTTGCTGGTTTCCTATCACCATCAATAAACCCACCACTACCAATATCACTGCCATATATTGAGTATTGCAACAAAATCTCAATTCTACCATCATCATCATGGAGAAATCTGAGAAGCTCGCTACCCAAACAAACAGCGAGTCAAACTGGAGCACGGGTTCCCAGGAGGTCCACCTCTCTCTCCCCGCTCATAGCCTACCCTATGACGCCGTTATCCGCGAACTAGGAACTGACCCCGAAGATGGCCTCTCGACGGGAGAAGCCAAGCGCCGTCTGGAAATCTATGGCCCCAACATGCTCGACGGCGGCGAGGAGGTCTCCATCGTGAAGATTCTCGTGCGCCAGGTGGCTAACGCAATGATGCTAGTTAAGCGGCCCACTTCCTTTATCCCTTTCCCCCACTGTTGATTGCATGGAGCGTTGTTTGTCTGATCCAATGGCATGTTGCCATCCTTTGTAACAGGTCCTTATCATGGCCATGGCAGTCAGTTTTGGCATTCAATCTTGGATTGAAGGTGGCGTTGTCGCTGCCGTTATCATCCTCAATATCATTGTTGGTTTCTTCCAGGAATACGCTGCGGAGAAGACGATGGATTCTCTGCGTTCCTTGAGCTCCCCTACGGGTAATGTTTCGCGGGAGGGAACTACCTCCACCATCCCGTCTCTTGAGATCGTTCCTGGTGACATGGTTGAACTCAAGACTGGTGACACAGTCCCTGCAGATATAAGGTGAGATTACCTTGATATCATTTCATACTACCCTATAGATCGTACTAGCAACGTAGGACTAATGAATTTTATATATGTATATTTCTTGATTCGTGAAACAGACTTGTAGAAGCGGTCAACTTCGAAACTGATGAGGCTCTACTTACCGGCGAATCTCTCCCCGTGCAAAAGGATGCAGACCAGACCTTTAAAGAGGATACCGGTCCGGGCGATCGCCTGAATATTGCCTATAGCTCCTCAACTGTGACCAGAGGCCGTGCTCGCGGTGTCGTCGTATCTACCGGCATGAGGACTGAAATTGGGTCTATCGCTGCTGCCCTCCGCGCAACTGATTCAAAAATTCGTCCTGTCAAGCGTACCCCTGAAGGTGAAACCAAAAAGCGCTGGTACTTGCAGGCATGGGCTTTGACCGGCACCGATGCCGTCGGCCGATTCCTCGGCGTCAACGTCGGAACGCCGTTGCAACGAAAGCTCTCCAAGCTGGCTCTGATTCTGTTCGGAGTGGCCGTCTTATTTGCTATCATTGTTATGGCTGCAAACAAGTTCAGCAGCAAAAACGAAGTTATCATTTATGCTGTCGCTACCGGTCTCAGTATGATTCCCGCATGTTTGGTTGTTGTCTTGACAATTACGATGGCTGTTGGTACCAAACGGATGGTCGAAAGACACGTCATTGTTCGCAAACTTGACTCGCTCGAAGCATTGGGTGCCGTCACCAACATTTGCTCGGATAAGACTGGAACATTAACCCAAGGTAAAATGGTGGCGAAGAAGGCATGGATTCCGTCTCGCGGGACATACTCTATTGGAACCTCGAATGAACCATTCAACCCGCACGCTGGGGCCATGGGCTTCGAGGCGCTGCCTCCTGTGGAAGCAGCAATCAACGACGAACCGACTGAAGTCACCTCGCCCGAGGACCTTCTCAGAGACAACGACGATCTTGTCCAGTACCTCGATATCGCGTCCATGGCCAACCTTGCTCACGTTTACAAGTCGGAGCATGGTGAATGGCATGCCCGTGGCGAACCTACAGAAATCGCCATCCAGGTCTTCGCATCCCGCTTCAACTGGAACAGGGACAGGTGGACTAAAGGTACGGACGCGCAGTGGCACCAGAAAGCTGAATTCCCCTTCGATTCGAGTATCAAAAAGATGTCTGTTATTTTCGAAAACCTGAAAGATGGCCGTCAGATGGTATTCACGAAGGGTGCTGTCGAACGCGTTCTTGAGGCGTGCACTTCCATCGTTTGGAAAGAGGGCGAAGGACGCGTCCCGTTGACCGAGGAACACACCTCTCAGATCCTTGCGAATATGGAGGTCATTGCCGCTCAGGGACTGCGCGTTTTGGCTTTAGCCGGACGGGAATACAAACCCTCCCAGCTGGAGGACGGCGATTACAATCGTGAAGACATTGAAAGGGAATTGGTTTTCCGGGGTTTGATTGGCCTGTACGATCCCCCTCGCCCCGAAACCGCGGGTTCGATCGAGGAATGTTTCCGCGCCGGGATCTCCGTCCACATGGTCACAGGAGATCACCCTGGTACCGCACGCGCCATTGCTGCTCAAGTTGGCATCATCCCCTCTGATATGAGCAAGGTGGCGAAGGACGTCGCTGACGCTATGGTCATGACGGCTGGCCAATTCGACAAACTCACTGATGACGAAGTCGACGCCCTGCCCACTCTACCACTGGTCATTGCCCGATGCGCCCCAAATACCAAGGTCCGCATGATCCAAGCCCTCCATCGACGCGGCCGCTTCTGCGCCATGACAGGCGACGGAGTCAATGACTCGCCGTCCCTGAAGCACGCCGATGTTGGAATTGCCATGGGCGAATCTGGCTCCGACGTCGCCAAGGATGCATCCGATATCGTTCTCACCGACGACAATTTCGCCTCGATCCTCAACGCCATCGAGGAGGGCCGCCGTATCTTCGACAATATCCAGAAATTCGTCCTGCATCTACTGGCCGAGAACATTGCGCAGGCCTGTACGTTGCTGATCGGGTTGGCGTTCAAGGATGTCGATAGGCAGTCTGTGTTTCCCTTGGCGCCCGTTGAGATTCTCTGGATCATCATGATTACGTCTGGAATGCCTGATATGGGTCTTGGTATGGAAATTGCCGCTCCGGATATCATGGATCGTCCACCACAAAGTGTACGTCCCCCCCCCCTCACACAAGTTCTACTCTTCCTGCAGGGTATCTCTGCTTACCTTTCTTTTCTTTTCTTTTCTTTCTTTTTCCTTTTTTCTTTTTTACGGCATGTTTTTCTAACCAAAGAAAAAAAAATTCTGTAATACAGAAACAAGGTATCTTCACTTGGGAAATCATCGTCGACATACTCGCCTACGGCCTCTGGATGTCCGCTCTCTGCCTCTCCTCCTTCACCCTGGTCGTGTACGGGTTCGGCGACGGCAACCTCGGCCGCAGCTGCAACACCAGGTACTCAGAGCAATGCGATACCGTCTTCCGCGCGCGCGCCACGACCTTCGTATGCTTGACGTGGTTCGCGCTCTTCCTCGCGTGGGAGATGGTCAACATGCGCCGCAGCTTCTTCCGCATGCAGCCCAAGTCCAAGAAGTACTTCACGCAGTGGATTCACGATGTGTGGCGAAACCAGTTCCTCTTCTGGGCCATCATGGCCGGTTTCATCACCATTTTCCCGCTGCTGTACATCCCCGTCATCAACACAGTCGTGTTCAAGCACAAGGGCATCACGTGGGAGTGGGGGATTGTCTTTATCGAGGCGATGTTGTTCTTTGCTGGCGTCGAGGCGTGGAAGTTGGGGAAGCGCATCTACTTCCGCCGCAAGGATCGGAAGGCAAAGGCCAAGTCCTCGTCGGGCGATATGCGGATTATTGATAGTGAGCAGTAGAAACCGACTTCGGCGTGGTGGTGGGGGAAGTTGCACAGTTTGAGATTGCTTGGCGGGTTGGCTTCAACCACTCTTTCACACCCTTGGGCGCAGCATTTAGCATTTCGGTATCGCTTCTCGCCCACTCGATTCGATCAAGCTCTGAAATACTGTCGAAGAAATTGCATCGCAGGTGAGGAAACAAACAGAAAAAAGAAAGAGAAAAAAGAGAGAGAGAGAGAGAGAGACAGAGAGTGTGAGTGAGTGAAAGCGCACTCTTCAACAGAGGGAGATAGCAAGCAAAATCACTGGTCATGCGATGCGGCTCCGACAAAGTTCAACCTGACTGCGTTACGATTTTTTTTTTCCTTTTAATGTAGGTAAGTAGGGTAAAGAAAAAGGGAGAAAGAAGAACAAAAAAAAGTAATTAAGAATTAACAAGGAAGAAGAGAGAGGGAAGGGAAGGTAAGGAATGAGATTGGTAAAAATTGGGAAAATGCAGAGGACGATTTTGGCGTGAAAGAAGAAAGTTTGGCGACTGCCGGGGAGGGAACCATGTCAGGCCAGGCAGGCGCGGGGATGATAATGATAACTCATTCCCCCGCGTCTCCAGACTGTTGGAATCTCCAGGAGCAAGACCCTTTTCTTTTTCAACGAAGATCAGAACTAATGCGTATTCTTATCATGGAAATCGCATGAGCCAGAAGAGCGTCTCTTTTTTTTTTGTTTTTGGCTATCAATCAATAGGTTTGTTTATTTTATTTATATGGTTAGATAGTGAAGAAAACAAAACAAAACAAAACAAAATTGCCCATTGTTTTGCGTTTATTTAGCTACAGCTAGCTATTGATTTACTTTGCAGCTTGTTGGATGTGTGAGATGCATTGCGCTAGTCTGTAAATAGGAATCGACAAGCAGGTCCCCGTTTGGGCTAAGCTTTAGCCGCGAAGAAGCGGCGCAGTTGGTTCTTCGGCAGTTATGTATGTATATATAACGTCCTCCCGAAGGGCATGGGGACGTGCTAAGCTGGAGAGATCTCTATATACACAGTGGAAAATCGTAGTTATGGAAGAACCTGCTGAGAATAATGTCAGCGCGATTCTGGCTGTTCAGGTTCGGGTTGTTCGGTGTTTTAAGGCGCCTGCTTTGCCAGCCTGTCTGCTTCTAAGAATCCTTTCCCGGCACTCCGACGTGAGCTGGAATCCAGTGAAGCTGCAACTTCCTCCGGAGCCCGTCGAGCGCTCGTATGGCTTCAGCGAGGATATACTGGCCGTTCTAGCGGGGCGGGGACTGGTCTAGCTAAGGGTTTCTTTCATATATCGCTTGGACGATGGCAGCTTGCTTGTCAGTGACACACTTGTGGCTTCTCTTTGATGGAGCGTATCATCCTTAGAGCTCTGCCGCAGCCCTGAGAAAATGGTATCTTTCCTTATCCTGTTATAAATCGCCCTCCAGCAGGTGTGCGGTCACAACATGAAACTCAATAAACATCCATGTCCTTTGTTACCACCATGTCTTGACGCCCGTGTAGTCCGCCGCTCAAGTCCTGGGTGTGTGAGCTTTGTTGTAGCTTTTCCTTCGCTGCATCCTTTAGACAACTCTGCATCTCTACAGACACAGACAGACAATCTGCAAGGGTTTTAGTTAACCTGGGTTAGTTGGTTATTTATAATAATGACCATAAGTTATATTGTTCTGTCTGCAGGCCAGCTCTCACCAGCTGGGCTGGCTTTCTTCATAATTGACGATTTACGTTCACCTTTCTTTCTCTCAGCCCCGGTTAATAGTGTGTCATGCTTAACTATACATAGATTGAGTTACATCTTCTTTGATATGGAATGTTTCGGGTTACATTTGAACGTGGTGCCAAAAAGAGCTCCTATCCGAGTTGAGCGTCCTTTCATAAAACAATGAGAGGCGTCAAGCTAACAAGAACATTGTGACGAAAGCATCAACGAAAAGTTTTCAAACCAGCCTTCTCGTTCCGCCACGATAAGGGTCTTCATCAGATCTTTTGGAACAAGGTGGTCGAAACCCAAAGGCCGTTAGGATTGCTGATTTGGCACAGCGTACTACTCTGGATGTTATCGGCCTTGTTGGAATGGGCTATGATTTCAACTCAATCCTGAACCCGACAAGCAGGCTTATTATTGAATGTAGAAAATTTTTTCCCATCACTACCAGCGTTTACTTTGTTTGTCTAGGTTTTTCCCTCTCTTATTAGCCCAAGACTTTTCACCCGTTTACTGGTAAAACACAAACCGCGATGTTCGAGGTGTTCAATACGTCCGTAACTTCTGCGAACGCCTTCTCCAGGATAAGCGGCAGATGATAGAGAAGAAAGAGGGAGAACACATAATAGATATATTTTCTGTTGCGATGGAAAGTGGGGAATTTACCAACCGGGAACTTGTTGACCAAATCGTGACTTTTCTTTCTGCTGGGCACGAGACAACAGCCTCTGCTTTTCAACTTGTTGTTTATGTCCTCTGCAAGCACCCTGAGATCCCAAACCCGGCTTCGAGAAGAAGTTCGGTCCTCCCTGCTATCCATCTCACTCGAGCTCCCCACCGCCGCCTATCTCCGCCTCCCTCATTGACTCTCTCCCTTACCTACATGCGGTTTGCAATGAAACACTCCGCTTCTACCACCCCCCCCCCCCCTGTCTATGATACAACGTGAGGCAGTCCGAAACACAGTGCTATTTTTGACACGCTCATTCCAAAGGGAACCGGTATTGGTATTTCGCCCTCAGTCACGAACCACGACCCCGAGCCATGGGGACCGGATGCGGGAATATTCAATCCGGAGCGCTGGATGGGTCCTGGCAATGCAAATCCAGGCGGCGCAACTAACAACTATGCATTTCTAACATTTTTTCCATGGTCCGCGAAGCCGTATTGGAGCATCGTTGGCACAAGCGGAGTTGGCCTGCTTGGTGGCGGCCATGGTTGGGGAGATTTGAAATGGGGCTTTTGGATCCGGGGAAAGAGCTCAAGTTGAAGCACGGGGCTTTCGGTATGCCGGAGAATGGGGTCGTCGTTAAGCTGAAAATTGTCCAAGGGGGGTGAGTTCGGGATCATACGACAGAGCTCTATATCACGGAGTGTCTGAGCCGAAGCACTTACAGAAATGAAACGATGTAAATGCTGTATGCATCACTCTGTATATTCTCAATCTTTTTTTTTTTTTTCCTTTCAATGTGGACGTTTGGTGCAAAGAGCCAGGTATTAACCATGCCAAGCACATCTCACTACCTCCCATTATCAACATTGACCTGATTCAGCTCACTTCAGGCTGGAATGGGAAAAAAGCAAGGGAACTGTTGTGCCAGGACAGATGAATTTTTGCCTTGGGATACGTTAGTGTGCATCCCAACATCACCCATGGCTCAAGGAAATCGCCCATATCCGCCAGAACTGGGTGAATGCAGGGACTATGATGGATCCCTGAAAAGAAACTAAGCCGACTTGCGACTTTGGCCTTAGCAAGGGATGTTGAGATTGTTTTATATCCCTACTATTTCTATAAAACGCCAGGTTGTTTTCGGCGAAGATAACTATGGCAGCACAAGGTCATAGACAGAGTGAGACTGCTACACGCCAAGAAATGGCTAAGCCTTGCAGCTTGTGAGATGGGTGTCATATATATTGATCGTTCACCAGGAAGGTTGGTTCATCGTTAGTATCTGCGCAGCACAGGCTTAAATAGGTGTGGCATTACAGTGAGCGATAGGGATGCCAACATATCGTTTATTCTTTGGATTTATTTTCAGTAGTATTGGTATTTTGGTGCTTCTGAAAGTGCTTTTATCCGCTATACCACTTTCTCTCGCCCTTGAGCAGGCACGGCTGAATTCTGTTTCCGTTGTGTTCAGCCGCAGTGGCTCGTACATGCCAGGATCATATCCCACTTTCAGCGAGGCGATTTTCGCTCCTGATTTTCACTGCTGATTTTCACATGGCCATCTTCCGTTTTGGCTGTAGAGGCTTCCAGGCAAAGAGAGCTGGCAAAAGCGGTACTGTACTGCGAGATCAAGATCGAGAATGACCTCACATTTGTGGCTTATTTGTACGGAGTAGACACTCAAGCACATCCCTTGATAAGGGAGATGCTTAGGGAGCTGAAAGAGTTTAGTTTACCCGCTACGCAACCGGTAGGCAGAGGTGACACGAGAGGCCAGATAAGCCTCTGGATGTAGCCAAGGCTTTATTGCAAGACCCGTACATGTACCCACAGAGGACGCGCCTGGGGAGCACCAATTTGCACACAGGGGGACCAACCAGAGACCGTTGGGGCTTCTATATGGACGCTCAAGATTCAGGATCAGGAGAATGAGGACCAGCAAGCGGTCTGGGATGAGGAACACGCTCTGGTTTGCTTTTCTGCATCGGCTTCTTCGAGGCTATCTTCGAGGCTATGTGGGTACGCAGCCCAGAGTAAAATCGTTCAAAGCGAGTCCTTGGTGGACCAGCGACCAGTCAGCGACCAAAAGGCTGGTGATAAAACGGAAAGCAATGGATCCGAAATAATAGGACGAGGGGAGAATAGGAGTAAGAATGGAAGCAGAGAGTAAGGGAAGAAGGGGGGGAAAAGTTGAATAACCAAGCAGACATGGGCACATTCTGCTGATTTGAATTCTCACACCTTTGAACTAAACCTACCCCTGAATCCTGGCGTCATCCATCGGTAGCTAGCTAGCTCTTTATGGATTTATTTAGGCAGAATTCGGAGGAAGCAAGTTACTGCGAGAGATCGAGCAGGTAAGAATTTGAAAGACAAACAGGGAGGAAAAGAAGCTGAAAGGAATCATTCTTTTTTTTTCTGTGTACAGTTGATTATTATATCATCATACTAAATTGCCTATTGAAGACACCTTTGTTCTTCCATTCCTTTGTATTGCTTCTCTGTTCTTTATATACTTACTATCCAGTAGCTTATTGAAATCATTTTTTGCTGGCTCTTTAATACTTCGAAGTGACGTCGCATCTGCCGCGGCTGGGTGTTTATTTTCTCTTCGACCTCCGTTTTTTTTCGGCCAGCTATCACCAGCTCCAGGATTGTCGGTCATATTGGAATAATCCTCTGCAGAGTGAGTGAGTGAGTGAGTATGTGAGTGAGTTGACTCTCGTCCCTGCACCATTTCCACGTCACATCCATGCGTTTCTGCAAAATAAACAGCAGCCTTCCTTGACTCTTGCCTGCCGCCGAGATCTGTGTCGTTATTTACTCACGGATATATCTTCATGTCTGCATCCCACCAGACACGCGGTCTGCGTTTGTTTGCTGACCCCGAACTGTTGTTTGCCGCAGCTTTGTTGTTTGTTTAAATACTCTCTCGCGGCTTCTCCTGCGTACATCCAAACATCCGCACGCTGCCACTCGACCACACTCCTTGTCCTCCTCGCATCCCCGCATCACCACCTGCATTGCTCCGCCGCTAGCCTCCTTCGCCAATAAACAAATTACGGGAATTGTTCCAGTTCGCAGTCGCCTGCGTCTTAAGTCAGAAGTAGCCCCCGCGTTACAAGCCCCGGTCGAGCTTGGTTCCGACACCTCCGCAATCCTCTTTTGCTCCGCTGTTTTACAGCAGCTCAGGTCCTCCGGGGAGGGATCATCTATTTTTTTCCCCCTATAGCAATGAGTATGCGCACGAGACGGCAAAAGGTCGCGACATCAGGCGGAGGTTTAACGCCACCTACGCTTGACGACGAGGTGGAAGATACCATGGCCACCGCGAATGGCTCTGTGCACAAGAATAATAATACTTCCCACACCACCTCCTCCTCTGCCTCCAAGCGGAGACGATCCCGCTCACCTGCTGTGCCAGCCGAACACAATGAGAATATATTCCTCTTTTACCCTAATATAATCGGTGGGTCCTTGGCACTTCTGGCTCTGCGTTCCGTCTTCTTAGAACTTTTTGGTTTCCGCTCCCAAATGCTAACCGTCTTCCCCTGGTTATCTTCTTTTTTGATGCAGGTTACTTCCGCGTTTTCCTTGCAATCGCCTCCCTCTACTATATGCCCCTTCACCCACGAACCTGCTCTCTCCTCTACAGCATATCGTGTCTCCTCGATGCCCTGGACGGCGTAGCAGCTCGCCACTTCAACCAGTCCACCACCTTTGGAGCGGTGCTGGATATGGTGACAGATCGATGCACCACGGCTTGTCTGTTAGTGTTCCTGAGTTCCGCATGGCCGCGATGGGCGATTCTCTTCCAAGGCCTAATCAGCCTCGACCTGGCCAGCCACTACATGCATATGTATGCGACGTTGACAATGGGTGGTTCGGGCCAAAGCCACAAGAAAGTCGATTCGAGCAGGAGCTGGATTCTGTACCAGTACTACAATAGCAAGGTGAGAGCTATCTATCTCAACAATACCATTACCTACGACGCCACCATTAGCTGACATTGTTGTGTGCCCACACTCGGGCAAAAAAAAACGAAATAAAAAGACCGTCCTCTTCGTCTTCTGCCTCTTCAACGAACTCTTCTTCATTGGCCTCTACCTCCTTTCCTTCTCCTCGCCAACCCTATCTCCCTCCCTCCTCCAACCTGTTGGCGGGGAAGGAGGAGCAGGACTAGGCACTGCTTCAGCGCAGCCAGGATCACCAGCTGTCGCTCCACTATCCAGCCTCTTCTCCAGTCCCTGGAGCGCCGGCGCCCTTGAGCTCGCCCGCGCGAACAAGATGGACAGCTTCTGGCCATGGGTCATCACAGGCATTTCCGCGCCGATCATGGCGGGCAAACAATTCATCAATGTTGTGCAGATGGTCAAGGCAAGCCGGTGGCTGGCTGAGGGGGATCTGATGAGGAGGAAGGAGCAGCAACGGCAACAAAGGTTGTCCACGGCTAAGAAGCGGTGATGATACAAAAGCAGAAGGTTTATTTATGTGTCGGTCTTCGCTGCTTTTGGTCAGTAGAATCGATGAAATCGAAATCGAAAGCGAGTTTCAGATAACATTTTGAGCAGTTCGATGGAAAATCCCCCCTTTTTTGATCATTATTTTCTTCTAAGGTATCCATCCGCACGGGACAGAGACAGCATGGGCTCAGCTCAGTTTCCATTCACCATTCTGTATTTTTTTATTTTTATTTTTTATTTTTTTAAATGTTCTTTTCTGCCTTATATTCTCCTTCTAGGGCAGGGACATTTGCAAACTGGTGAGGGAATCGATAACAACAGAGTGACTTGTATAAGCCAATCTATCGTTTCTCTTCGGTATTCTTTTTTTCTCACCCCCTTTCCCGCTCGATATTCCTTTGGTGGATGGGATGGATGGATGCAAGGATTGGTTGATTTCGATTTAAACATTCGCTTTTGTTTTATATTCATTTTCTCCTTTCACCATTTCTTTCCTTTTTTGTTTTCTCTTTATTTCTTATTATTATTATTATTACTACAATTACTACTGTTTCTTTCTCTCCTTTTCTTCTCTCCTGATTCTTTGACCTTTGTCCTTTTCTACCATTATTTCTACTTATTGCCATAACATTCAGAACTCTGTTTTTTAGTTATACCTTCTAGTATTATTATTCTCTCACCTCCATTTTTTCCTCTAATATTTTTTTTTTTTTTTTTTCCCTCCCACGCTTTGATGTTGTTTCTACGTTTTTTATTTTTATTTTATTTTTTCCCCCTTTCCGATTTTTGTAAATTGCCACGCCGTAGAAGATATCCCTGTACTCTTTTCCTTTTACATTTTTAATTTTCAAATATAATTTACTTTTGTAGTTGGCCTTCACAAAGTAGCCGCGTCAAAGAGCTTCTCCACGTGATTGGCGTCTGTTGCTCTTTCTTAACCGCGCGCCAATTCTCCGCAATAAAACCTTCGTTGAACGCCACATTTATACACCGCGGGGAATTTCTTTCTGAGCTTCCAGATTACTCCCGATGACCTTGTATCTGTGACTAATTCCCCGTCGCCAATGCCCCGCCACGGCCTTCGACGGGGCGTCAGCGGCCACTCCGCTTTCCCGAGTGAAGATGGAGCTTCCGCCTCAACTCCATCAAATGACCGACCCCACCGCCATCCCAACTTCGAGCCTCCGGTTCCTGCCCGGAACCCGCGCGCGGAAATATTTCCTGCAAACGATGGGCATCCTCGTCTGCATAATTTACCCATTGGTGGCGACCCTGACCTCGCAGACACGGAGGAGGACCTAGGGGAGAGTGGGGAGGAGCATGATGACGAAGATGAAGATGATGTCGATATTGACATCGAGGACGAGGAGGGTGATGATGATGAGGAATTGAGGCATGAGGAGGGCGAGGTAGAGATGGAGGGTCAGGAATATGATGATTACGATGGTAATTTTTTTTTCTCGGGCTCTGTGTATCCTTTGCATTTATAGTTTTGTTTTTGTTTTTTTTTTCTTTTCTGTAGGGCGCGACTTTTAACAATGCTCCGCAGAAAGGCACACCGCTCCCCCCATCCCCGCCAACCTGCGCGAGATCTCCTCTCTAGCTTCCTGGACAGTATCAACACATAAACCAGGTTGCGGCATCGCAGCCCTCCGCCACCCATCCCCCTCCCAGTTCTGGCAATCCGACGGGCCCCAGCCACACACGCTCACGCTGCATTTTTTCAAACGCGTTGCCATCGTCCGCATCCGCGTGTATCTCGACTTCGAACTCGATGAGAGTTACACACCTACCAAAATGATATTCCTGGCTGGCATGGGCGGTAACGATCTTGTGGAGTTCGCGACATGGCAGGGAGAAGCGCCTACGGGGTGGGTGGATATCGACCTCCAAGGGGCGGGGGGACGGCATGAGAAGGTGGGACGGCGGGGGAGCAAGAGTCGTCAGAGGAGAGGTAGTAGGAGGAAGGGAAATCTCAGCAGAGAGAAAGGAGAGGTGGGAGCGAGATCGGGCGCGGGGACAGGGGCTTCTGTCAGCCAAGGACACGAGGCCCATTCTGGCGATGAAATACTCGATGATGGGTCAAATGGCAATAGCAGCCCAAAGACTGATTATGAAGATGGTGATGGTGACGGCGACGACGATGACGACGACGACTATGATGATATTACCGACATGGACCCATCGTCCGGCAACGTCCTCAAAGCCATGGTAATCCAAGTCCGCATCAGCGAAAACCACCAAAATGGCAAAGACACGCATGTCCGCGGATTCCAAGTGTTTGCGCGTGATGATCGCCGCCTTGCCCGAGAAAGACATGAGGGCGCACGCAAGTCTCTCAAGCCCCACGGTGCAACTGGTGCCGATGCTGCGACTGATGCGAGGAATGTTAGGGCTGGTTCGTCTATGCCGGTTGATCAAGGCGGGGGCGCTGCGGGCGATGACGAAGTGTTTGGTCCGGCGTTTGATGAGGATGATTGGATGGGCGAGATGGAGATTCGGTAGTGGTCTTGGGATTCAGAGGCAGGTTCGAGGAGTTTTACGTGTGTCTGAATCGTGAATTGGGTATACGTTACTGTGTGTTATACCTAACACGATTTTTTTCCACTTCTGTTTTAGTTATTTATTGCTTGTTTCCTGCGCATTGCCTGGCGAATGAGGAGAAACGGGGACTATACATAAACTTAGAGTTTTCCGGGTTTTCTCGAGGGCGTTCAGGCGGATTTGTTGTTCGTTTCTTTTCTCGTTCATTTTTGTTCGGCTCCAGTTGTGCATAAATACCCTTGAAGTATTTCTCTTATTTCTTGACCTTAACGACGGGTATGAGCTCCCGCTGCTGCACACGGATGTATATACCCTGTATGGCGAATTGGCAACGAAGAAAATTGTTTGCCTCACTTCATCGTTGTTCTGACCTTGTTATTGTGCTAATCTCAAGGCTACTGCTTTTTATTTCGTTCTATATTTTTATGTACGCGTGCGGCGAAATAATACTAATAATTCCGTTCAATAAGTAAAAATTCTCCACGCTGCACCTCAATTAAATCCTAATTTCGAAGACCCTTTCGCAGTTCCCTTTTGCCCTGGGCACATTGCTGTAAACAAGATTACACGATCTCTCCTTTTCGCCTACAAGATCTTCTCCAACTCCGCAGCGACCGCATCGCCCACCTCCTTCGTGGTAGCTTTACCGCCAATATCAACCGTCCGGACACCAGACTCAATGACATTCCTCACAGCAGTCTCGATAGCGGTGGCTTCTTCAGGCCGGTTGAGGGAGTATTGCAACATCATAGCCATGGAGAGAATAGCAGCGACCGGATTGACGATGCCCTTGCCCGCGATATCCGGCGCGGAGCCGTGGATGGGTTCATAGATGCCATTGACCCTGCTCTTCCCGTCCGGAATGCCGCTCAGGCTCGCACTGGGCAGCAGCCCCAACGAGCCCGGGATGACACTCGCTTCGTCGGAGATGATGTCGCCGAACAGGTTGCTCGTGACGATGATGCCATTCAACTTCCGCGGGTCCTTCACCATCAGCATCGCCGCGCTGTCGATCAGCTGATGCCCATACTTCACCTGTGGGAACTCCTTGTCCATAACCTCCGTTACCACTTTGCGCCACAGCCTACTTGTCGCTAGTACGTTGGCCTTATCCAAGCTCCACACGGGCAGCGGCGGGTCATGCTGCAGCGCCAAGTGGCCCGCGAGACGTGCGATGCGCTCGATTTCCGCACGCGAGTATGGCTCCGTATCAAGCGCGTGACCATCGCCGTTGTCCTCGCGGCGATCACCAAAGTAGATACCGCCTGTCAGCTCGCGGATGATGTTGAAGTTGACATCGCGGCATACCTCGGCCTTTAAGGGGGAGATGTCGACTAGGGAAGGCGCGGCGAAGTTACAGGGTCGCAGATTGCCGAAGGTGCCCATTTCTTTGCGGAGGCGGAGAATTCCCTGTTCTGGGCGGACGGCACCGGTGCCCCATTTCTGGATCAACTGAGTTAAGTTTTGTTTCTTTTCTGTCTCCAGTACGCGGAGACAGGATATCGGAGAAAGGTGCTGCATACAGGTCCTCCTACTGCTCCTAGGATGACGGCGTCTGCGCTTTTAGCAGCATTTAGCGCTTCGTCTGTTAGAGCTGTTCCCGCCGCATCAATGGCGGCCTATATGTCGATACAGGAATGACCCAGTTAGCACTCTGTCAATAGCACAGTCAGGGTGAATGGCCATACTGACTCCTCCAAGCAAATGGTCGTGGAAATTGAATTCAATGTCCGGTCTCTTCTTCTCAACGACACGGAGGGCCTACAATAGAGTATGTAGATGTGATGAGCACATGGGTCACATATTTAGTCGTCCTCGTAACTAGAACGTATCCCCAAGCTGCACATCGGCTCTAATACTCCAGGAGTGAAATAGATAAACAGGATGCCTTCCGTGCGCACCTTAATAGCTTCCGCAATCACCTATTTAACCGAATATCAATTAGTTACTGCATAGCACATTTCTTGTGCAATGACAAGCTCAAGGAGTCAATTCCCCTTACCTCTGGGCCGCAATAGTCGCCAGCAAAGACGACAATGTTGTATTTCCCCATAGCGAATGTTGGGGATATATAGGTGTCAAATTGTTTGTCCCGCGATGGACAGGGTCGGGCGGGGGGTTCCTAGATAGATCTACTGAAACAAATGGCAATTGGGAGCAGAGATAGCTTGTCTTTGAGAAGCAATGTGCCCAGGAGCAGTAACAGTGTGTGATACAGCCGCTGTTCGACGCTGGATGATGCTGCTGGATGCTTCTGCTGGATGCTTCTGCTGGGAGAAAAGACAAACCGCGGCCCGAACACAACAGCTGCCCCTCGGCGCCGCCCTCCGACATCGGGATGTCTCGTGATAGTATCCTGGGAAAACGAATGATCCAGGGACTGAAGGGCATTCATATATCTAAGTAGTTTGTCTTGTATATTTTATTATAAATTAATAGGCTATCGCACTTTTTATAGTCGCTAGATATCTGTATCCCAGGATATAGAGTTGTCCTCATGACGTCTTGATACAAAAGATATATAAAATTGAAGTGAAATCCGCTTAGGAGCCCGAAAAGACCCAACATAAAAAGGGACTATGAAGCACAGAACACATGAGGATCCCCCATCCCTATATTTCAGTAAAAACGCATCCATAGTAACCAAATGCAATTCAAGAAAATCCCTTATCTCCGCCGCTGCCTCGGATCCGTCGCCTCCTGCCTCCTCCACTCCCTCGCCTCTTTCGTTCCCATACTCCCCAATCCCCCTTCAAGTCTCCTCTCCCAACCACCAAGCCTAATAACAAGACAAGTCGCATTGTCCCCATCGACTCCCACCTCCGTCGCAAAACCGACAACATCCCTCGCCCCCTCGTCGGGCGTCCGCGCCTCCTTGATCACATCCACCACCTCTTGATCAGACATCGCCCCGCTCACCCCGTCCGTCATCAGCACCAAGAATGAATACTCGGCTGGACCCATCTCCACGCGCCGCAGCTCCGGTTCCGCAGAGACCCCGATGCGCTTGGATTGCATGTCTCCGAACGCGCGCGTGTTGGCAAGCCCGCTCATGCGCTCCTGGCCGAAAGAGTCCGTGACGAACGTTGCTGCGTAGCGGCGTAGTCGCCTACCTTCGATCAGAGCGGATGGGTGGTGGTCTGTCGTGAGCGGGATGGCGAGGCCGGTTGCGGTGGAGCAGAGGAGGATACGGGTGTCGCCGACGTGTGAAACGATGAGCGAGGAAGGGGTTGACGGATGCCAGAATGGCATTGGGCTAGGGGTGGAAATCATGGCGATACTGGCTGTGCTGCCGCCTTTGAAGCGATGGGGTCCGCCAATGACAGGGTGCCGGGGCCTGCTCGGGCTGTGCAGGATGTCGGCTTCATTGAGGGGTTTCTCGGCGTGGACGAGATCGTTTTCATCTTTCTTGGCAGCTTGGGTGGAAACGAAGTCGAAATCTGCCTTTAGAAAGGCGTATTCAAGTAGCTCTTCGATCGTAGCGCCGCCATGTGGGGATGCTGTGGTATGGTGAGAAGCGGTTCTGGATGAGTGGTGCTCACCATTGTAGAAATGCGATGGGCGGAATCGCCGGTAGTAGCCCCCTACTAGATGTCTCCAGTTGAGCACCAATTCTTTTTCCAGCTCGTCGATTTTCTGCCTATTAGCCCGCTGGATAATCGGCAGGTCACCTTGGAGATGTAATGACTCTCTCTCCTTGGTGCTGTGTATTGAACCCCTACCACGATCCTCCGATTCCCCCTTGATCCTTTCACCAGAGCTATGAAGGCCCCTCTCCGGCACTCTCTTCCCAATCTCAACCTCTCGCTTCAAACTCGATTGCATCTCAAACGCCACAGCCGCATCCTGCACATACTCATGCAAATAATCCCTCAGAAACTCACTACACTCACTCCCACCATGTCCGTCAAACACCCCAAAGTAAAACACCTGCGGGTCCCCACTCGCACTCTCCGCTGCTTGATTCTGGTCGTCCACTTCTCCCTTCTCATTACCCGCTCTTCCACCGGTAACAGTCGCCCCTCTAGCTGCCGCAGCCGCAGCAGACCGTGCGCCAATCGTCAACGACCGTGGAGCCCGTCGCGCAAAGGCTGGTATATCAATCACTCCGGCTTGATATGTATCTTCGTTCGTGGGGCGTGTTCCCCGCGCAACGTTGACGCCGAAATGGTGTTTTGCGCTGCGCAGCGGGATGCGGACGACGGTTGTTTCGCGCGAGATACCGATGGGTGGCTGCACGGTGGCCGGGGATGGGCCTCGTGCGTTACTGGCAGTGTGCGGTGTCGAAGCTGACCGGGGTAGTTTGTGGTGAGGCCCTCGAGAAGCGCGGGAGTCGGGGTGTAGAGAGGAGGAGGGGAGGTGGGTTACGAAGTAGTCGTGAAAGTGGCGGCCGGTGCTGCCGTAGGCTCCATCATGCTGCTGTCGTCGTTGGATATACTGCGAGGCCGGCTGCTGGGGCTGCTGGAGCTGAGATTGCGCCTGAAGCTGAGGTTGATGTTGTTGGTGCTCAGCATTGGTGTTGTGGTGACGACGTAGGAAAGTCGCGATGAAGCCTGAATTTGAGCGCCGTGCGGGTTAGCAGGCATCTTTTTTCAGAGCTGCCATGCCCTCTTTTTGTAAACTAATTTCGCAAATGTAGGAAAATTCAGGAAATGCAGGGAAGATATTTAGCATTTCTAACGTACTGTAGCTATCAGTCAGCGTCCAAGCACGAACTGTTGCACGCTTTACTGCACCAGAGTTCATTTGAGCAAAGACATCAACGGCGAGGATACACGATGTAAAGATAAAGAGAGGAGATGCGGCAAGCTCGGGGACTCGTTATTAATTATTAACGTCAACAGTAATGACAACGGACACCAGTGGTGTCTGCCGGCTTCTTGAGGTGTGCCAGTGGCCAGTTTTGCTCGGAATTAAGAACTCGAAGTTGCAATGTGATGGAGTTAAATAGTTAACAATGTCCGACGAAACTATTTATTTAGTTAGTGAAGACGCTACATAGTCCTTTATATATCGACCCAGCCCTCAAACCTGTGTGGAAATGAAAAAAGAAAAATTGAAGCCAAGAACAATCTGCCCAACAAAACCAAGAGCCGGTTAACCTTGGCCCATGTCACAACGAAGCAACGGTATCACTGCAAGGCCAGGCTGGCTGTTGGCTGGAGCAACAGGGGCGAATATCTCCACTCAAAGGCTACTTGGGGGATAAGAAAGCCAAGAAGTGGGGGAAAGAAACGTGGGAAGTTCGAGATCACTAAAATTGGCCATTGTTACCGGACTGTATTCTTACTAAATCCACTATTTGCTTCCTAAAGCTACGGATCCCATATTCAAGGAATCATGACCAGGTGGGGGTGATTTTGACAGCAAACTCAGCAAGAGGATCAAACATGGAAGGACTCGAATTACTGCAACTCGATTTCAAATGGTGCTGTACAAACATTTGCGCCAGTCAGGCTGAGCATGAAAAATCATGGCTTGATCATAACAGGGGAAAAGGCATCCAACCCAAGCGGGGGAAACGGTGAACACATTAGTCGGGGAATAGCTCCATCATCATACATCGCTACTAGCAGCCTTGGGCTCGAAATATCAGACCTCAAAATGATAACCAGAAGAAAGAAGAGCAGAATGAAATACCTAAGCAAAGGGGTAGACCTGAAATATTAGCACACCAACGGCGAATACAGATGGAAAACTACGTCCATGTCGAATCCTTATTTGCAATGAACGAAGAGACCAATTCCTGCGAGTCTGGCAGAGACAAGGAGGCATAAAATGAAAAAATATCGAACAAAAAACGACGGAGGAAAAAAAGAAAAAAAACCAAATCCCCATGCACCACAATACTCCTTTAAGACGGGACCAACTCTTCGACACATCTAACCAGGTACTCCAAGCTGGCTCCAGATCCGATCTAAGGATAAGTTGCCAAATAACACATCCATTCCACAGAACCGAAGATCTCAGAGGATGGCCGACAAAATTCGAGACCCCACAGCTTAATGCAGCAGTAGCAGCAGCAGCAGTTCGTCCTACCATTCACCGCCATCGGCGAAAGCATAACATGGCCCATATTGACAATCTGCATCGGTTCATTCATCGGTACAGAATTATTCCGAAACCAAATCGTCGGCGTAACGCCCAGCTTCACGCGGTGGCATTTCCTCATCAGCGTCTGCGAATCGCCAACGCAGCCGCTGCGAACCAGCGTCGCATCGCGATTGAACATCGAATGCGCGTCGAACAGGTCGCCGACTTCCGCGCAGTGGAGCTGGAACTCGTACGGGCCGGAGAACATGGTCAGGGCGAGATTGTGCGCTTCTTCGATGATGGCGACGAAGTCGGTCCAGATTTTTGGGTGGTTGCGCTGCACGAGGGGCGAGAGGAGGCGGAAGAGAGCCGTTGCGTGCTCGTTTTTACGCTTGTTGTAGAAGTTTGTGAAGAGGGGTTTGTTGCGGATGCGGTTGACTTGGCGGCGCATGGCTTCGTAGAGGAGGGCACGGACCGTGGTGGGGGCGTCTGCGATGCAATATGTCATTCAATATTGTTAAGGGGAAGGGCGAATTTATGGTAGAGAAGAGGGGAGACAGGGGAGAACGGGGAAAGAAGTGGAAAACATACCTGGATACAAGAGCGACATCATCTGGCCGATCTCAGAGTCTGCAGTGGAATCGAAGCCGATAACGACACCCATGCGAAGAACCTTGCTGATGAGAAAAACGTTGATCGCTTTGACCAGGAGAACGAAGCGCGTCGTTGGATCTGCCAGAAGGCCTGATACTGAGTCTGGATGGGAAGCCAGAATCAGGTGCGCCATGGTGTCAGAATCAATCGCGTTATCTGGATGCTCGCTTGATGAGTTGATATACAGCTGTCCAAATGCCTCTGATTTCTGGAATAGGGAATGAAACTTGTAGCCAAAGTCCATGGCACTCAAGTTGGTCTCCTCCATGATCATCATACCTTCCGGCGGGTTCCTGGGCAGGGAGGATATGGGAATGGCTTTCTCCTCCGCAGCAGCCTTGGGCCCGATAGGGGGTACAAACGCATTCAGACGATCGATCGCGGACATGTTAGTAGATTTTGCAGTAGAACTGGCGCCACTTGTGGCATTAGTAGCCTGATTTCCTGCAGAGATAGGGGTGACTGGATCCCCCAGCCCAAATTTCGGAGGCGGGTTATTAAAGACGTGTTGATAACGGGAGACGCGAGTCGCTTCCTGGCCGTTCGTCCAATGGTGCTGCGGAGTGGTGAAGCTGAAAGACAGAGCGCGATGCTGGGACTTTACGGTGGAAGAAATCGTTTTGCTCTGGGTGCTTATTGTTGACTTCTGCTTGCTAACGGTGTCTTCTAGCTCGGCAATTCGATTCTCCATCTTGCGAATCACGTCGCGGTCACGCTGGGCTGCGGCACGGGCTTCCTCAAGTTTACCTTTGGTTTGCTGTAAATCTGTTTCTGTGGCGCTGAGAATCCCCTGGAGTCGATTGATGTGATACCGCAGAGAATCATAGGTCTCTGCCTGGTATGGCCCAATTGCGTAGGGTGTTAGATAGGGGTGTTGGGGCCCCATCATCTGCTCTGGCTGGACAAGTGGGAAGTTTATTAGTTGGCTAAGAGAGTCAGCAGTGTTCCCCATGGTCGATTGGCATCCCTGGTCAGAATTGACACGCAAACGTGCACGGGAATAGAGATGTTGAAGAAATGAAATCGGCGGTGGGCAAAGGATAGATGGGAGAGAAGGGTTCTTGGTCCAAACCACACTTCCGAAGACAAAACTCACTCTGTATTGTGAAAAGGTACAGCTATATTGGCAGTGAGATGGATTGACTAGTTGTCCCAGTCAAAAGTTGTGATTGAAATCACAGTGGAAGTAACAAGGTCAGATCAGTGGCAAGTAAGATATCAAAGAAGATTTGGGATGAGAAACAGTATGAAAGAAAAAAGATCAGTCATTCACAGAAGAATGACAGATCCGTGTTGTTTGTTATGAGAAAAGTAATTGATTAACGAAATATTATTAGCTACGCATCAACCGCATTGAGTGATTGTATTCCAACATGAAAGTAATAATGCCATGATATATCAGATGGATGGCGTGGAGAACGAGCCACATACTCACCGCGGAGTTGACAAGAAAAGGGAATTCATTGATATCCAGTTAGTGTTTTATATAACTAAGAAAATGCCCTAGAAAGCAGGTTTAGATAACAGATAGTCATAGCACCCGAGGACAACATATAGATGCCAGGAGAAGAAGAGCCAGGCGCATTATGAGCTAGAAAACCAGATAAGAACATCGCGATACGTGGTGGCTATGGTCAAGAAACAGAAGTCCCGAAGGAGCCATTGAGAAACGTCAAATGTCGAGTGTCTTCACTGGCGATAGGAAGGTTAGACAGGGACAAAAGTTGGAGGGAGATGGATAGTAAATAAAGCAATATGAAATATTGTAAATTGTTTTAACGACCTAGTTTGAAAATTCTTCTAGCTAGCTACTGCATTCTGCGGGAGCAGGAAATATTTAAATCAATGACATAATAAAAAAGTAAAAGTATGTACTCGCAAAAAGACACAACACATACCACTGGTGGAATAATATCCTCGCCCTATATTAGAAAGCACCATAAAGGGTTTCACGCTCGTTCGCGTTCGGGGGGAATAGTGTTTGGAAAATGGGAAGACACAAAGGTCGACGGCCCTAGACAAAAGTGTCAAAGGCTCTTTCTGAAAACATACCTAGCCTCCGTTTTAATTTCCATTTCATTTATGCTTTTTCGTTTTTCAGTTTTCTTTTCAATTTTGACCTAGTATCTCTGTAAGCGACTAAGCTCAGATCGCTTTGGAACGGGTAAAGAGGCTGCTGTAAACCGCGTCAACCACCGGCTGCGCGCTGATCTGTCTCCCTCCGAAAAATCGCCCGTTCAAACCCTTGATGGCATTCTCGCCGCCTTGGACTCGGTCAAACTTGAGATATATATCTCCTTGGGTATTCGGATCTAGTGCAATGTGAACAACGTGGCCGTATTTATCTTCGCACTCAGCGCGGACGTCGTCCTCCAACTCTTTAATCCAGGATTCACCCTCTTCCCTAAACGAACAGTAAGCATATATAGATATATATATATTAAAGCATGTAATGAGGGGTTGGAAACGTACTCAGCAGGGTCAAACATATTTCTGAGCAAAACACATCTGCTTGCCATGTTCACGCTCACGGGAAGCGGCTTAGCATTTACTTGCGGTTTGGGGACTTTACGCTTTTCGTCTGGGGTCGGCTCGACAGCAGGTTCATCTGTTCTCGCAAGTTTCCTCATCAATGCATCTCTGCTATAATTGTTGAAGTTCACACCGGCAACATCGGTGTCATCTAGGGCGCTGGCACCGCCCGCCGCCTTGTCATTGTCTCTGCCTCCAGCTCGATCAAAGTGGCCGGAGCCACCGGCTTGGGCACCACGGCCGCCGTGGCCAGAGAATAGCGAACCCTGAAAGTTATGATGGGCACCCTGTCCCTGGAATCGCTGCAATAAATTGGCGGTCGATTCAGGGGTGAACTTATCATTACCAAGACCAACCCGAATTGGGCGACCAGCAAGGTCGAATCCATTCATTTTTTCCAAAGCTTCTCGAGCTTGGTTTGGGTCGCGGAACCTATGAAACATTTGTTAACAAAGGGACACAGAACTTGACGAAAGATTGGGGATGGAATAAACATACTGGACGAAGCCATAGCCCCTGCTACGGCCCCCTTCTTCCTTTTGTAGCTGGACAAAATCAAGCTCGCCAAATGGCTCGAACACTTTCTGCAAATCGCTTTCAGTGATGCTGAAATGGATGTTACCAACATACAGCCTGTGGAACGGAATCGAATTTTGATTTCCACTAACGTTGGCCTCGGGATTGCGGGCCTGTCTGTTTTTCTCGGCTTCGGTTAGTTGAGCAATAATGGGAATCCCTAGAAGCTTTTGGCCAGTAAGCTGAATGGCAAGTGGGACCGATTCTTCATTCTTGAATTCGACATAACCGACGCTGAATGGAGAATTAGCGGGGGCTTTTTAGAAAATATAAATCAACAAGAGTGTTGCGGGATACTCACCCTTTCGATCTCCCGCTCACGCGATCCTTTACAATCTGAGCTTCCTTGACGGGGCCAACTTTCTCGAAGAAGGCAATGAGCTCTTTCGTTCTCAAGCGGGCTGCGAGTTGCTGCACAAAAACGGTTCGTCTATCGCGTTCATCTTCAGTAAGTTGGGGTTCAGGAGATCTGCTACGACGCCTGCTGGAGCTGGGACTCCGTCTGCGTCCATCCCTATCGCGCTTACTGGACCGTCTATCGTCGTCACGCTCGTCCCGGCGGGAGCGGCCGGTGGGTCTGTAGTATCTGTCGTCGTACGGAGATCTAGAGCGGGAGCGTGTTGTTCGGCCAGGCCCGCGATAGTAGTCTCCGCCGGACGATCGATATGGGTCGTCGCGGTCACGACGGGAGTGGCGTTTGCCACTATCACGGCTCCTGCTTCTCTTTCTGCTTCTATTGCTCCCGTTAGCACTTGCGCGATCGCTCTTTGGGCTTTTCATTTCCTCGTCTCCATCGGCATCTCTTTCATGGCGCCGTTCTCGGCTTCTGTCTCGGCGCTTGCGTTCTCTGTCGAGGTCGCGGTCGCGGTCGCGACGTTCACTTCGAGAGCCGTTTGATTCATCGTGGCTTTTGTCTGGGGTCTCTTCTGGGTGAGGGGGCGCGGCAGGAGCGGCTGTAGACTCAAGAAGAGCCTCGACATCAATACCTGACATGGCGAAGATAGGTTGAATACGACCGTCGGAAGGAAGGGGAGGTAGGAAGAATTGTTCACTTTTATTTCGTTAGAGAGGACAACGAAGAGGGTTAGGCGAGCGAACCCTTCTTGAACTACAGCGCTAACAGAAACAAGCCCTAAAGGCCCTCTTATAACAATACTTCGATGTTATTTCGAATAGCGCAGTGCTATGAACCTTCACTGTTGGTTCCGTTCGATGCCGTCTTCGTTTTTTGACGTTGTCGTCGACGAGTAGACGTTGTGTCCAAAGATCGATGCAGGCAGCGGCTATATATATCATGTGATTTAGATCGCCACCACTATGCTACTGGGCTATCCTGCAATCGCTATCTAGCCATTATGAATGAGCAGCCTTGAGATATCAACGAAAACTGAAATGGCAAGCTACTTACCGAATGGGGCACGATTATGAGAGCCATGTCGATCGAAGACTCCCCGTAACTACATACTAGAAGCAAGAAAATTCAAATTCATATGTTGATAAGGGGAAAAAAAATCTGGCAGCCCCGAGGGATATTAAATAGGATTCTTATAGTTATAAGATACAACGTTACATTAAAAAAGATGGATCCAGTCACATTGCAATATATCGGAGATTCAAAAGTAGCTCGAACAAGGTGGGGTAACAGAGAGAAGAAAGTAAAAAAGAATTAAGGGAATTGAGAAGAAACGAGAAAAAGATGATTATCCTATGCGAGATCGAACAAAATAATGGGACAGCGTCCGTGCGTAGTAAAAACGCGCCTGGACTTCGGTTTTCGTGTTTGGGGGGAAAGGAGTATATAGCCATATATATCAATTAAGTAGCAAGAAGGAGAGGGAAGAGAAGAAGCAGCGGGAGGCTGGCGGTTTGTTGGCTTTCGTAGGCATAATCCATGTACCGAGAGAATGCAAGCGACGGGGGATACTGAATGAGGGAGAAAAAAAAATCCAGTAACCAAAACTAGGGTTCTGAGTAGGGCTCTAAGTGGGGTGTAGATGATGACTGTCCTGTCTGACAGACGGGGCGCGACTTCAATTAAGTTAAATATGCTGGGCTGAGAATTCATTCGACCTTAACGGGCTGGAGAGGCGGGAGTTCTGTGCCAAATACTTTGTCCCAGAAGCGGCTGCTGACGCCGAAACCATTATTGTAATCGGCAAAATGGTGTTGGAGGTGATATTTCTTGAGTTGCTTGTAGTATGACGGGAGACTATTGGGGGGAAGATTTAATTCGTAAGCTTGGTTGAAAATAGAAAGAGAGTTGGGCATTGCTCTGGACAGCAATATGATGGATTAAACACATACCTGCGATGGTGGAGGAAGTAATGTGTCATGTCATAGCATACGTATTCGAATACTCCACCCGAGAAAACGGTCAAGGCTGCATACCAGTTATAGAAGAAGACGGACTTTGAGAGATAGTAGAAAGGTGTTGCAATTATGATGAATAGTGTTGGGGGCATGACAAGGCGATATTTGTCCATGGGGAGGTAGTGGTGGATACCGTGCGCAAGGAAGTGTAGACTCAGTCCAACGCGATTATCAGGCAAATATCTATTTTTCAACGAGTTAGCAAGTCGACCAGATAAGGATTCGCGGCTAGAGAAGGGAGTTCATGGGGCTTCATACGTTTCCATATGGAAAATAAATCGGTGCAGGCCATATTCAACCAGAGTGCAAAGGAACGCGCCCAGAATCCAGTACGCAGCTCCGACGGTATAATTCTGCAAGCCAGTGAAGCCCACAACCGTTCCGTAGGCAGCTGCCGGATACCAGATCAATGGAACCATCCACCACGCAGTCTTCGTCAATGGCTCGAGGAAATTCCCAAACAGGGGAGCGGATTCCCCGCCCTTGTAGTGTCGTGGGCGGTGAACCTGTTGTAGATAGAAATCCTTCGTGAAACCACCATACCATAGTTGTCCAAAGAGTGGCCGGTTTAGGTCCAGGAACTTATGTGTCCGATAATCCGCGGTTAGGTCGGTTTCGACATTTAGATCTTCCTCACTTGACATGCCTGTGGAACTGTAGGTCGGTTTTGGGCTATCCGTCGCCCCATCCATATTTGAGCCTTTGGCGGCGGCAGCAGCAGCATCGCCATTGCCATTCATCTTGGAGACTAGGGGGTTTTCGAGGAACCCAACATGATGATCCTCCAATATCTCATACGCAGCCTCGGAGTGTTCGTGGGATGGAATGTCGCGCATGATCTCAGAAACGTCCTGGCCGGCATAGTCCAGGATCAAGTCACCTCCGCCCGGGTGATCGTTGACGAAGGAGGTGACATCGTAGACCTTGGAGCCTCGTGTTACGTAGCACGATTTGGCCGTCGTATGTGATTTGAGCTCTGCAACAGAAAAGAGCGGCAAGGTTTTTCCAGGCATGACGGAGGGCTGAAAGGGGGAGGGAGGTGAAGGTATCAGTACGAGGAACCGCTGTCCAGCGATGTTCTAAGAGTGTGATGTTAATATACAGACGTAAAAGGCCAATGAGCGAATCCGTGGAGAGATGCGATATCGGGGTCGAAGTCGAGGTCGAGGTCGACGAGGAGGAGGAGGAGGAGGAGGAAACTGTTGGTTGTTGGAATGTTCATGGTTGGGATCGAAAAAACCGCGGCCCAGCTGCACGGTTCACGGATACCCGGGGGCTACCGTGGGCCGATTTGCGGGCGGCCAAACGAACTTGTTTGTTTACTGCATTCTATAAAAGAGAGAAAGATTTCATTTTATTTTTGGTTTGTTTATTATTACTAATGTAACTAGATTGAAGAAAACAATAATAATATCAATCAGCCCTTGTTCTTATCTCTGATTCTTCAAGATCTTAACCTTCTAACCCAGTCCTTATGACGTCCAGCGCACTCGCCCCGACCTGTTTGTTTTTGTTTCTGCGTGGGCTGATCACCTGAAAGCTTGGCTTGGCAACGGCCCCTGACCTTGTTGGCCCCTGGATGAGTGAGTGAGGATCGATGCTGAGGACCGCGAGGAATGTGAGGAACAGGCGGCACACAGCAAGGGCCAGGAGCTGGGTATGGGCTAGAAGAGTAAAAAGAAAAAGAAAAAAGAAAAGACAAAAAAGCAAGGAAAAATTCTCCGAAGGTAAGGGGGAAATGGGGGAAAATGGTGAGTTAACAACACTGGCGATGCAAAGGCCCAGAGCATTTGTTAGTTAGTACTTACGAAGAACAGTAGGAGATCATATACATCAAGGCAGAGGAAGAAGAAGAAAGCATCGCAGTGGAGTGCGATTGAAACCGCTCGTCACTCCTGGGCTTGACTGGACAAATATAGCAATCAAGAGAATACTACTCCGTAGTATCTGTTACATTTCTTCTCTGCTACAGCTGGAAGGCCCCCTCCTTGTCCTGTTTGTTTTGCCTAACTAACTCCTCCCTCGAGTGCAGCCCTCTAGCTTCGTGTTACTTGTTACCACCATGAAGGCGTCGTGCTGCCCCTCGTTCAGACCCCATTATTGATCCGGCGGGGTAAATCGGAGAGGAGCCCAGATCTACGGCCCAGCAGCGCCAACAGGACGTCAGCCAGCAGGTCCTTTTACTGCGTCGAAAGAAACCGCTACTTAAACCTGTCAAAGGAAAAATCACTGATGGTATGTCATGGGATCCGGATTGCAAATTGGTGACTTTCTATAGTTATCTCTTCGCCACAAAAGTAAGGAGCTTGCTCAGTATGGAAATGCATGTAACCAGCCAGTGCGAGGTCTCAACATGCATGTCGTCATGAAGGGGAAGGGGGTTTGTTGTCGTTTTTTGGTGCCGTCATCTGCACAGCAGCCAAAATAGAAAAAAGGCCCCATTTATTACTCCGAAGTGGGAATGTGCATCATCTCTGCAATGTCCAGTACGCAGCAGCATGCGCTTGAGTGGAATAAAAAAAAAAGCTAGTCCCAGCTCAACCTGGACGTTCATCATCGATCGCCCTGAAACCTTCTTTTCTTTGGCTGTTTAGAAAGCTTGAAATCAAGGTGAAAAGTCGACCGCCCTTCTGGCATCGGTGCATATGCAGGATAACCAGGCCGTTTTGCGTAAACCTTGGTCTGGCAAAGCCATCGCCTGCAGCTTTGCGTCTGCTGAAGCCTGGAACATAACTTTTTTTTTGGCGTCTAGCCTGTTTCCGAGTCGGAGAGATCCGTAGGTGCATCCAATCCATGTCAGCGGCTTAGCGGAAGGAATCAAATTCTCCATTCAATAAGTTCCCAGTCTTCATTCTAACCCTGCGGGAATGCTGGGCTTTAAATAATAAATAATGGTCAATCATATTTCTAAGGAGAATGGACCCCGTTTGGTAACCAATTGCTTCCGCTGTTGATCCGCTTCCTGTGGCGTGAGACTTCCAGCTTTCTCCTGCAAATCAGACTCCAACCAAGCCTCGAAGTGTGAACCGGCCGGCTTCCCGTGTGGGGGCACTTCTGCGGATAGATAGTTTTGTGGATTGAGGAGCTCACCACACTCCAGTAGATGATAATACATGACCACCAAAATTTCACCCACCAGAGGCCACCAAGCAAGCCGTTTTATGATAAACAAATCTAGCCCGAGGGCCGAGGCCTTATGGAGCAGCAACACCCTAACTCCAGTCCTGGTACCACCGCAGATAGAGTTATGCGGAGATCGATGCATACTCTGACGGGTTTGGAATTTCACTGCAGTCAGTTCAGCAAGACGTTTCTATCAATTCCAGCGGCAAAGGGGCCCTCCGGGATCCAAAAGGGCTGATAGCGCCACGTCCGCAACCGCTGCATCATCCTGTCGCCGCTGAGGTGTCCTCTCTTTCTTTCTTTTTATTTTTTATACTATGGAGAGAACCCTTCTTTTCGTTTGTTTGAACCCCAGCCCAGGATACCATCCCTCAGTGGCCAGGAATGTGATGGGCTGCAGGTTTCCACACTAGCTGTGCCACCGCGTCTACGACAGTCATGGTTGGCCCTTGGACAAGCATTCAATGGGACAGAATGGCGACCAGGGCTGACAGACTAGGGCCCGGTTAAATATACTACTGAGCCAGCAAGCCGGCGATGGGCTGGCCTTTTAGGCTGGGGCAAACCGGCCCCCGCGGCGAGTTTGAATTTTGTTTTGATCCTTCCTGTGGCTTGTCAACCGTGTCCTTCTATTTTACTCGACTCCCATCGCACATTTTGCTGGTTCCTTGGTCTAGTTCCGTATTTTCTTTTTTTCTCTATCTTTCGTCCTGCTGAGACAGTTAAAAGCGAGAAGTTCCGGACGAAAAAGTAAGGCGTCACAATCGATAGAGTTTGTTCGCAAAAAGGGCAGCGGGGATGCGATAATCACCCAAGAAAAACAAAGGACATACACTCTACCACGAAAGTTAGACGCCTCGCTGGTGATTGTTGAATAATAACACCTCCTCTTTCGCTGGCCAGACTCCCGGAACTCCAGGAGTTGGGGGCACTTTGTCGATCGCAGACAGGTCATCATCCCTCTTGAATCTTCCGGCCGTTGGAATATCATTCCGATCGCCCCAACAAAAGGAGAAACAACCATTGATTTGAATGCCTTTAAAAGCATCGCCGGATTCTCTCCTCTTCAGTCTATATCCCTCGAGCTCTAGATCCGTGGCACACAATCTCTACTAGAACGCATTGACCCTAAACACTGCCGAACGGCATATCGCTCTTCTTCAATCTCGTACTCAGCATGGACCCTCCAGCTCAGGATGCCTCTGGCAACCCGATCACATCATATCTGCGCCTCCTTAAACGGCACAAAACTACTCTTCCATACGGACACCTGATATGCGTTTCCGCTTCTCCCAACATAAGCACAATGGCCGCGCTTTTACGGCTGGCGCGGGCGGTGGGTCCATATATCGCTGTACTGCAGGTGCACGCTGATATCATCGACGACTGGTCCCAGGAGGCCGCGCGTAGGCTCTCGTGTGTGGCCAAGAAACATGGATTTTTAATTTGGGAAGGCGGCCGCATTTTGAATGTTCAGAAGCGCTCGGGGAAACATCAGGGTATGTCCAGCGAGCAGATCAATCGGGACATTGATTTGGCGCGGAAGCGCTATACGAAGGGTGTTGTCAGCGTCGCGGCTTGGGCAGGAATGGTGAGCACCTGGGTGATAGGGCCAGCGGAGCAGGGGAAGGGTGTTGACCGTCTCGTTCCAACCCTTCGAAGGGCCGCGCGAGAAGCGGTTGCAGTTCTGAAAAAGTCTGTCCGTACGGAAATCAGTGGCGGGAACGAGCAGAGAGACATATCTGACAACAATGGTGATGGCGATGGCGACGTAGAGATCAACGCCAGTTCTGTTGATGATGAAGATGACGAATGTCTTCGCAATGGCGATAGGCTTGGAGATAACCTAGACAGCATGTTCCCTGCCCCGCGGAAAGGGTCAGTTATATCCCTCACTTGCACGATCACCCAGCACACTGAGCTTTCCACTGCTCTGCCATCCGTTGGAGGGGGAGACCCCTGTTCAGACGACGACGAGCATCCGAATGACGGAAACCCTGCTGCTTCACTTCCGCCATATCCTCCTCCGCCACTCCATGCGCGCGGCCTCGTACTTTGTCTTCCAGCGACAGACGATCCGGCGTTTTGCCACGAATATAGACGAGCCAGTCTCGCAACCGCCGACGCCCATAGCGACTTCATCGTGGGGTTCGTCAGCAACGAGCCCTGGATCGAAGCATCCCAGACCGGCACCATCATCGGCTCTCAATCCAACTCCCATGACGCAGACAGCGAGGACGAGGACGACAAGAACGGAAAAGGCTCGGCACAACCGCCGTACGTACTTTTTGCACCCCTCGAAAGCGACCATATCTTATTCCCCGGGTCGGAGAGCATAACTCCCCCCGCAATGGACGCAGTTACGGAAGCTCATGTGGACAGTGTCCAGGTATACCTGAACGTTGACGACGAAGCTGCAGGGGAGCCGTCGCCGCCATCGTCTAACTTTCCTTCATCTCTGCGCCAAGCATCCACCTCTGAGACGCAACATCGCCAAATCAACACTCTGCACCAGCTTATCGGCCGGGCCATCTCAGTTAGGAATGCGAAGGCCAGCGTGCACCAAGATTCTTGGGACCGTGATTCCGAGCCTCTGTGTATCCCGATTATCTCGATGAATGCTTGATGGACCGCCTTGTCTTTGTTCTTTCTTCCCTTCTTCACTTCTTTCCTGCTTCTTTTCTTCCTCTTCCGGAGTCACATTCTTTTCGCCGCGCATTGTATGCATCTATCTAACTCTAACCAGCCTATCATTCGAGCTTCTAATACGCATACCTCCCGAAATCCTCTGCTTTCATGCTTTGCTTCCACCCCTTCCTATTGCCTCTAGCAACCCCCGACACGCTACCGCACCCTCCCGGTTTCAAATCCCTCAAGCAAATTTCAAATTTGTGTATGCCCCTGCGCGACTTGTTACCCTCCTCTTGGAACTCGTAAAATACCATATCACACCCCTTCCTGGAATCCCAATCCTCATCGCGCGAGGTTCACTCATTGAAACTCCTTCATTTCCCAACCGGCTTTCACTTCCAATTCCCGTCACTCTCCTTTTCCCTTCTAGGAATTGGTCTATTTGCTTCTTTGGTTTTTTTTTTTTTTTTTTTTTTTTTTTTTTCTTATATGATTTTCGCTTTTTGGACGTTTGTGTGATGAGAAACGTGAATATGAACGGTTGCACGAAAACAGATAATAAACAGATTGGAGATCATCTTCCCCCCTTCCCCTTAATACATCTCAATTTAGGCACGCAAGGGGTTTGGGGATTCAAGTTCTTATTTGATTTGATTTTGGCATTAATCAATGTAGATAAGCATTTTGATATCGGGTTATTCTTACCTTGTTATTTCAACTGGATATAGACTGCATCCAATATTCTTGCATTATCTAACTGTTCACCCGAAAGTCTTTCGACGTGTTCTCTATATCTGCTATCACAGAAGCTTTTGGAATATATAACTATTTGTTAAAATATTATGTTATGCAGATGGTTGATGATGATGATGAAAGCTCTTAGGTGGAGATTTCGTGCTAATTCGGCAAAGTCGATCACTTCCAACTGCATGCCTGGTATACTAATATTAACGTCTGGAGGTTCATACAGGAGATATGTTTTTATTAGATACAAGGATGAAATTTTGAACCCCTAGCAAATTGTACAGTACCTATGCTCAAAGATGGTTGAGGATTTCATTTATACAATTGGTGAAATGTGGCCGTATTCAGATTGGGTTAGTTACAAACCCTGGTTTTATTGGGATAAAATTTTTGCGCTACAGACTTGCCCATGTTGTCCAGCAAGAATTAGCTGTTCAATGTCTCGGACAGTTGATCTGCCGCTTTGCTGTCCTGATCTTCTGATTCCTCTCAATATTATCGTTCCCCTTTCAAGGAGCTGAACCCCGCCGTCAACAGCATTACTCTTCTTAAATGTGGAAATAGTTACTCTGTTTGACTCTTGAGCTCCGGGGACGCGAATTTTACAATGGAAGACAGCTTACCCCCGCTGTCGGATGCTGCAAAGCCCAGTGTACTCAAGAGCGGAGGGGTAGCCGGGGCTTTAAACCGCCCACAAGCAGGAGAGGGAGGCCATCATGTCAAGAAGACAAAATTATTATGCTCCGATGCTGATGTTATCTTGGAGTTTACCAGGTCGCCTCCTTCTCGTTCGCGCAATTTTGCGCAAGCGAAGTATCGCATGGGAGTTTCAAGCACGCTTTTGAAAGAATCAAGCATGTATTTCAGAGTGATTCTAGATCCCGACAAGTTTCGCGAAGGGAGAGAGCTTTTTGAAAAAACAGCTCAATTAGGCGCCAAATGTGGAGCCGGCGGAGCGTCCATGAATGATGCGGTTGCGCTCGTAGAATTGCCTACGATCAGTATTGAGTTACCACTGCTGGCTGGCGTCTTTGATAAGGCAGATCTAGTTGAGACTTTTTTAAAAGTGTTACAGTTTTGCGGCACCAATTCGCACAATGACCGTCAGACAGAAGAAATTCTCGATCACCTTGGCAAGCAATCGATTTCATTCGTGGCGAATCTGATCGTCTTGTCTGACAAGTTTGGCGGCCAGCAAGCGCTCAAATGGGTTTTGGATATTCCGCTGAATGGAGCTCGCAAACCCGTGGGCCAAACGCTGATGTCCAAGACGCTACGTCGGCTCCAAGCTTCCCAAATCGGGGACGAAGAGCGCACTCGCCATGCCATATATGTTGCCTTGCTTCTTGGGTATAATGACGAGGTTGCGATTTTCACCCATATGCTAATCATTGGCGGTTCTCGAGAGTGGATGGATGGTAGAGATGGATGGGTCGGTATTGACAGACCACTTTGGTGGCATCTCCCCAATGGAATCGAAGGTATTCTTTTGTGCTTCTCCTCTCTTTTCCCTCTTGACTTCGAATCCCTTGCAATCGTAAATAATCCCCTTCCTTCTCCACCGCGATTTAGCATCGAAAGTTGAAGTGCTCATATATGTCCAAATGGGACAAAATTCCCAGAAGAACTCCGCTTCCGCCACCAATCCATTCTCGATACAATCACAGATCTGCAATCCCACTTTCTCCGCGCTTATGGCGCCCTGCCACCGGAATCACCACAAATTACGGATCCCAGTACGTCTGTACTTCTACTAAAACCACCACAGCCTGCAACAAGACTCCAATGTCGTCGGATGTATGAAAATTCCCGCGCCTGCGACTCCTTTCACCTGGGAGAAATCATCCGCTTTTTCAGCACACGAGCCAAAACCCTACATCTTGAATCCACTTTATCATCACAAATGTATGATTCTGATTCTGACGGCGAAGCCGAAGAACATATTACCCGCAGCTCTAACTCCCCTCAACCCCCATCGCCGCCACCAACAAACATATCAAATATCCTCTCCTCCCTCCGCCAATGCCCCGAATACCAGATCGACCCCAACCACGCTGGCTGCGGTCTGCGCCGCCGCCTCCTCCCAGCCCTCGACTGCCTCGCCAGCTTCACAACTAACCACAGCAATGCCGCCGGCATCTGCCTAGCCCATTTCAACAACGGCAGCAACAGCGATAAGGCCACTTGCACCGACATCCCTCCTTCCTCGTCATCAATGAGGCACGCGAGTGTGGGCTCCTGGCGGAACCACAAGTTCCGAGATGCGGTTATGGTCGGCATTGGAGCCGGCAAAGTGGATTCCATCATGTACTCGAATGACGGGCGCGCAAATGATGCGCTCGAGGGCCTGTGTACGTGTGTGCCGGATGCGGAGCTGGCGAGGGCAGTATTCACGTCTAGGAGCAGGGTGTGGAATTTGTAAAAAAAAAAAAAAAAAAAAAAAAAAAAAAAAAAAAAAATCGGGGAAAAGAGAGGACGTGTATGTTTAGTGCCTAGTGGTGGCGGTGGGTGCGGAGGTTAGGGCAATCGGCTATCGGGTGGCGGTGGTGCGCAGGTTAGGGCAATCGGCTATCGGCTGCGTTCGGGTGGGAGTTTTGGTGTTCCGGTGTACCGGTTTGCATAATAGATACCCAGTCATGTCATTTAATCGTAAGTCTTTGTGTTCTGTCATAGAATGCGTTGAATACGATTGTGCGTGCTAAATAATATCCGTGTTTTCGCCCTGGACATCCCTCTGCTTGTGGGGGGGGGGGGGGGGGGGAAATGAAAAATTCAAGTCTGACTGTTAATTTTTATTTTTCCTAAAGTATATCAAGGTTTTGGTCTCAAAAACTATCACAAATGATATCATTTACAGAGGGCACATAGTAAACAAACTACTTATATTTAGAGAATGGAAATTATATGCACATGAAAACTAAAGTACACAAATCTCAAGCATCAGAAGAAGGGGAATGTAAAATTAGCGGAGCGACAAAACATAGAAAAGGAAAGGGAGGAAAATCCTTCTTTTTAAAAGAGACGCCTGATTGATTATCTTGCCAAATGAAATAAAAGATAAAAAATATATCGCCCAAAAACTCAACATGCTTGATGGCCTCACTCGGTGTGAATCGGGAGAAAATGTCTAAATTGAAAGATTGGGGCGACGGAAGTGATTTTTCAAAGCCGAAAGTTTGCGTGATAGAAAAGGGGGAAAAGGGTTCAAAGGGGTGGTAAAATTTCGTGGAAGCGGAATCAATAAGAAATATGTAGTTACTCGTAATAGCCGAAGACTGCCAAATCGAGCAATACCAAAAGGTCAGGCTGTCGCGCCAAGAGGACCAACACCAATCCGAACCCAAGCAGAGAAAATCGGGAAGGGCTTCTAGGGAGGAGATACATACATACATATGTATGTATTTTCAGGGGGGAAATGCCATTCCATTTCAGGTATCATAGTTGCATCTCCACCGATTGTCGTTTCAACGCCGAGACGTTTCGATGCACATCCTGGTACCAGCGCAGCACAAAAGAGCTAAAACAAAATAGTGAGAAAGAACAGGAAGAGGTAAACATTAACGTTACTTCCATCATATGCTGCGGAGGCACCACCACCGCGGCGTGATTTTTCCTTTGGAGCTAGCAGATGGGATTCTGCACTGGTATTTGACGACATTGACCCAGAGAATAAAATATGGAAGCGGGTTCAAGAAGTGAGGTCCAATGACCTTATAACTCAGCTGGTCGAAACGTGGCCAAGACTTTTCAAAAGCCTCTAGAAGAGTGGTGGTGGGCACAGAGGATAAAATATAGTTTCCCATTTCAGGAGGGCATATGAATTAGCCCCGGGAGGACGGAGGATCTGAAAGCTTGTTTCAATAATGCAGGGGAAAGGAAATGGGGGGAATGTGAGACATGCGCGTGAGACTAAATGTTAGTATATCGTTACCTTGAACATTGTTTGCCACTCGACAAGAACCTAGTTAATAAGAGCTGGTTGTGTTAGCACAAAACGAGATCTAAGGGTCACTGTGGCGTGTTAGTTCTGTTCACAGATGTTGATTACAAAATGACGAATATGACGACGAAAGCTTGGATGATTGGGTATCGTTATGTAGAACGCCAGAATATGCTACTCCGACCGATGTCGCTTGATGTCTGGAGTGGAGCCTTCGAGATCACCAATGCCGGAGTCTATGAAAGAACGCTTTGTCGATTTAGGGCTAACAGGAACAATGGACTCATCCGTATCAGGGACTGCTTTGTCTGAACTGATTGTAGTTTCATCGAAGTCTCCAACAACAGTGCGAGCGGTAGTCGCTGTTGTTTCATCCTGTTTCGGATTGGGGCTTTCCGCTGGGTATGATTCAGCTCCGCCAGGATAAGAGAGAGGTTCCTGATCGGCTCCGTCCAGAGGAGCAGCCGGAGAACCGATGACGGCTATCGCTTCGTGAGCGTCCACCATCGGACTTTTAAAAAGGTCTTCATCAATCTCGAAGAAGTCATGGGTTAGTTCTGGAGTTCTTGGAGCATCCCCGGTGGGAGATTTAACCACCAGTCCGGAGACAGGTTGTTCTCCGTCGTTAAGGATGGGAACTGCCCTGTTCTCGGTCTCCGGTGCATCTTCACCGGGTTCGTAAATTTCACCTTCATCCAGGCTGTTATCGCTATGGTGGGAAAAGGATCCCTCTCGCAGGATCGCATGATCGGTTCCTAGATCGATTTCAATGTGCACATCCTTATTGGTGCTTGATTGAGCATTGGTATCAGACCCATTTACATTGTCCAAAGAGACGGTATGGCTTTCCGTTTGATCATCTTTAGACTCTAAACCAACGTCACCATGTTGGTATTCCACTTCCGTATCTTCTTTCCCCTTTGCTTCCAATTGCGGGGGTACGTGGTTAAACTCGTATCCTTGCACGTAATCTTCTGACTGTTCAGTTGACTCGTCTCTTGAAAGGTCTACAGTCGGGATTTTCATAGATAGTGGTGGGGTAGGCCTATGGTAACTTGCATCGTCTCTACCGGATTCGGGTGGGATATCGTCGTGTTCGTCCCCTAAAAAGTTGACCTCTATCGTTCTTGTCAGCATCAACCAAATCTAGCAGAGAACTAATATCATGCCTACCTTCATATTCTCCTACTTCTTCTTTTCCCTCATCCACACTTTGATCATGTTGGTTGTCACTGTATTCCTCAACATTCTGCGGTGACACAGTATTACCACGGCTAGCAACTTCGGTTGGAATATCGGCTTGAGTTTCTTGCTCGTTTTCGTCGGCAGGTGCAGGGAATTCCGGTTCCTCCAGTGCTGGTGAGCCCTGATTTGCGAAATTGATTGTTGAGTTGTGGCCTGTAGAACCAGCCCATGGGCTCCTAGCCACGTTATCAGAGGAGAGTCCTTCGTCAGCAGGCTCAACATGGTGAGGGTGCTGCTCAGCTGGGGAGCTTGCAGCTTCAGTTGTTGATAATGGTTGTTCATGGGCTTCGCCATCTTCCACTCCATGTTCTGCATCTTTTTCGGCATTGTCAACATCATAACCTTCCCATACTAGATAGGATAACCCTCTACCCTCATGTGCAGCTGCTACAAGACGAGCGAATCCTGATGTGAAAGTTGATCTTGAAGAAAGTGTTAGGTACAGAGGCTCGGGTTCGCTGATGCCATCATTGGAGCAAAGCTCGAGATAAACTTGAATAATTTGGGACAATGATGTTGTGATTTCGCTGCCAGAGCACTAATAATATAAGTTAGGTAGGGCATTCTCGCAATAAATGAGAAGAAAGCGCGTATGATCCTTACCTCGGGCAAGTGCAACCCAAGAGTTTCGATATCCAGTATTAACTCTTCATCCTCGCTAACATGCTCACCCAGTACTTGCCGACACGCTCCCACAAGCTCCTTGATGGGAGCATTGGCTACTCCTTCATCTTGCAGAAAGAACGTTTCCGTTGGGTCATCATCTGCAGGAGGGAATAACGAGATTTCGCTATCTTGGTACAGCACCTTTACTGGATGCAGTGATCTCCTTTCCTGGAACTCTCGTGATTCGCTTTGTGCTTCGCTTGGTGCCTCGTAATCTTGTGCTTCAACAAAATGATAGGTCTCGGTTGTATTGGATAGGTTTTCCTGGCCCGACGGTGAGCGATACCGTCCTTCAGATTCGGGTTCTTGAATTTCAGGTTCTTGAAATCTAGGTGTTTGAGCCTCAGGCTCTGTTTGACTGTGCTCATGCCCGTCTTCCAAACTAGGCTCAACATCTTCAGCATACTTTTCATGGCCTTCAATTAGGTGCGACGCCTCTGTGCTCTCTACAGCCTGAAAAACATCGTTGCCTTCCTCCGCGGCAAGTCTCTCAGGCTTTGACAGAGTAACATTGCTATCTTCTTGAGCCACAAGGCGCTCCTCCGCCACTAGTATATTGTTCGAAATTTCTGTTTCAACTTGGTCTGAATGCGATATGGCTTCTGGAGCCGGCATTTTGGTGTTATCCGCAACCGCCACTTCTTCTATTTCCACTTCTTCCTCCTCCACTTCTGCTTCTTGTGCTACTACTTTTGCTTTCCTTTCCTCTTCCACTTCTTCTGCAATCGGTATGTTTGTATCTTCAAAGTCGCTATTAGGAATAGGGGCATCAATGTCTTCTTCGTAGTCTTCTTCCATCTTTGCTTCGTAATCCATTGGATTATTATAAGCAGAATCCTCATCGAATTGGTAGTATCCTTGGTGGTATTGATCATATCCGGAAGCCAACATATCACCTTCCATATATTCGTCATCAGCCATATCTGCATCGTACTTGGCGTCTATGTCGGCAGGAGGGTGGTCGGAGGCGGCGGCGGAAGCATCATCCACAGGTACATCATTATCTTGCTCGGGAACGCGCACCTGGGTAAAGTCAAGGTCGATTTCGATATCATCGATAGTCCCGGGATGTCCATGGCCAACGTCTGAGGCCACCTCCATATTGTCATCGAAGACAGCGGACTCCATAATTTAGCGTCAAGCTTTTGCTTCCTTTTTCTTACTAGGTCACAGACTGAACATAATGACAAGCAGGCTTATTCGTTCACTTGTCTGAGATCACAGAGAATACACAGGTCGGAAATCTTGTTAGCCGTCATTTGTTGGGTTGGGAGGTGATGGAAGCGGGAAGGGGTTTCAGACGAGAGGTCAAAGAAAACGGGAGCTGATCTGTTTAGGCACGCCGGGAGCTGATAACGAAAACGAACTGAGAAGGATAACATCAATCTGTAAGCTTAACGCGAAGTTCTTGTTGAGCACCGTGCGTCCATGGGGAGAGTTGAAAGTTGTTCAGGGCCCACGGTTTCCTTTGGGCTGTTCCCTTTTTTTGTCAGCAAGCCTGAAGGGGCTTGGTGCACGGACCACCTCGCTCTCCAAAGGCAAGTTGGTTGAAGACAACAAACCCACTTTGCAACGGTTCATTCCACTCCGCACCGCTGCATCGTTTCCTCTCCCAATAAACAGGAGGATCTTTTTCTTTTCACCTCATTTAGGCCGTTTGTATTTTTCTATATACTTTGAGAGACGATGGTAGGTTTGGTTGGCAGATGGCGAAAGCGTGATCCCTCCACTGACTTTCGAACGGCGCAAACCAGGTCATCCTCGCAGCGTCGATATGTACTCGAGGGGGCAAAGCGGTACTCTCGCGCCAGTTCCGTGAAATCGCCCGCTCTCGGATAGAATCGCTATTGGCATCATTCCCGAAGTTAGCAGATTCCGGCACGCAGCACACCATCGTCGAACAAGATAATGTCCGATTCGTCTACCAGCCATTGGACGAATTATACATTGTCCTCATCACAAACAAGCAGTCCAACATCCTCCAAGATATAGACAGCTTGCATATTTTCGCCCAGGTCGTCACAAGTATTTGCAAAAGTCTCGATGAACGGGAGATATTGCGGAATGCATTCGAGCTCCTTAGCGCCTTCGATGAGCTTGTCACTTTGGGCTACCGGGAAAACCTCTCTTTGTCACAGATAAAGACGTTCCTTGAGATGGAAAGTCACGAAGAGAGAGTGCAGGAGATAATTGAAAGGGTATGTGGTAGTACCAATATAGTAACATGATGTGGTCGTTTGACATTTTCACTCTTCCGCAGAACAAGGAACTTGAAGCGAGCGAAGCGCGAAAGCGCAAGGCAAAACAATTGGAGATGCAGCGCAAAGAAGCCGCCCGCAGCGGTCGTGGCGTGGCCCCACGAGCCCCATCTTATCCAGTCTATACTCAGCCGACTCGGCCAACACCTTCTGAGACCCTCGACTCATATGAGGCGGAGAAAAAGAAGACTTTTGCTAAGTGAGTTTTAATTGCGGATCCCTGGCCACCCGCTTTATCCATCCCACTGACGTAGCTATACAGGCCAATGGCTGTTAGGGGCAAGGGAATGCAGCTTGGGAAGAAATCGAAAGCTACCGATATCTATGAGAAAGTTCGAAGCGACCTCGGCCCCTGACGCTGAAAGACAGACCACTGGTTTCCCCGGCCCCTGCACAGGCTTTTTCAGAAAATGTGGCTCAACCGCGCAGCTCATTATCTGTCGACCGCGAGCCTATCCATGTTACTGTGGCTGAAACCATTTCCGCCAAGCTTTCCCGCGATGGCTCAGTGAAGTCATGGGAGATAAAAGGCGATCTTCAACTGCGTATCACGGACGATACATTTACAAAAGTGAAGCTTGGATTAACAGCCAATCCTACTCATGGGGCTGTTTTCCGTACCCATCCTAATGTCGACAAAGCGCTATTTACAAACTCCAAAGTCATTCAACTCCGTGACCCTTCAAAGAGTTTCCCTCACAATATTTCAATTGGAGTCCTTCGGTGGCGCGTCACTGGCACAGACAACACAGACGTTCTTCCAATTACGTTTACCGTTTGGGTAAACAGAGGCACTCAATCAAGCACTGTTACCATTGAGTACGAGCTCAATGGTTCGGACCCACTACGAGACGTTGTTGTAACAATCCCTTTCGGTGCTGTCGAGCCTACCGTGACGAATTATGACGCTGTTTATGAAGTGACTGGAGACAGCCTGGACTGGAACATTGGTACTGTCAACGAATCGAATGTCTCTGGCAGTTTCGAGTTTGAGTCTGAGGACCCCAACAGTGACGAGAATGAGTTTTTCCCGATGACCGTCAAGTTCCAAAAAGAAAGCCCCTTTGTGGATGTTGATGTGCAGTCAGTATCGCTTATGGAAATGGATGGGCAGGCTGTGAATTTCTCGAAGGACTTCAAGACAGTTGCGGATGGATATGCGGTTGAATAATTAATTTTGTTTGCGGTTGTAATTTTCTTTCAAAATTTTAGAATATTTATTTCTGCTTCTCTTGTTTTCCTTTCCCTCCAGCTATGCAACGCTATTCAATTCCATATGACAAAAAAACGTTTCAACCACCTTGCCGGCTGCGAATACAACTTTCCTCCTTATTCTTTATCTTATTTTTCATTCCACGATAGGAACTGGGGATGATTAATTTCACAAAAGGGTATATAGAAAGGAAGTTTTAGGACGAAAGCGAAAGCAATTCGCGGTGCAAATCTGTACTCTATTCATTTAGCTTCAACCAGACTACTCCTGCTATGGGAACAGCTTGAACGGGGTTTTGGTACTTTGGGATATTTCAAGGCTTGTGAGCAAGCCTGTGGAACTTGCCTTGCTGGACTATCATGGATAGAATTCTATCTCAATATGTCTCCGTTTGTGTGGTTATGCTGGTGAGTAAGGGACTCAGGAACTCAAGGGGCACTTCACAATCGGGCTATATGTCTTGAACTTCAGGTTTCTTTTTCTTTTTAGAGCGGACATCTTCGTAGTTGAGAGAGAAAAAGCCAGAAGATCAGGTGCATTGTTCTTGGTTGAGGAATGCTATGCATTCAATAGTTACATAAGGATAAAATTCACCAGGTGTTCATGGTTTTGCTGGGTTTTTTCTGGCTTGAATTGCATGTATACAGCTAATAGCATGGAATTCAAACATACTCCCCCTGTTCGCCTCAGAACCAAACGTCTCTAATAATGGTGAAGCGACGAACACCCTCGCTAGAACAGATGTACAGTACATACATCTACAGATCTGGAGCTTGTTGTTCGGTTAGAGCCTTACATAAGCCACTCAATTTTGGAATCCACTATGACGCGGCTCTGCTTGGGCCGAGGCGGGCTTAGCGCCGTGTGCCTGAAACATCCACCCTGGCCTCAATATCAAACACTCTTTTTGGTCCATCACGAACGCTCCGGCTTTCTTCACCCACTGAGGTCCTCTCTACCCCTTATCCACCTCAGTCCGCCCTTCGCACCGTGCGTCAGTTTTGCTCTGTCTGGTAGCGATCTGTCTTCGACCTCCCTAACCTTGACGATCACATCACCCTTCCCCATCGTCGATCCGCTGAATGGCCTCCCCCGCCGTCTCTCCCTCCTTGAGTTTCCGTCTGACCGCATCTTAAAACTTAATTATCCGGACCCTATCGCACCCCAGCTATTCACTGCAAAGGCCATTGTGCCGTCCATTTCCGTTCCCTCATTCCCATGGGAATACCTGCCACTCGTTTTGCGAATATCCAAATTTTTCAACCTCTACATACAAATTTGTATATATACAAAAGTCCCACCACAAGCCGATCGATACCCAAATCATCGCAAATCCTTCAGAAACTTGCTGGCGCAATTTCTATACGGTCTTGGTACCGCCAGGAAAGCAGTCGATTGATATCTATCTCATACTTTCGCATCAGCTTGTGCTGAATAGTTGTCTTCGTGCGGTTTTATTTATCGGTGTTAGCATTGAGGTACTCGAAGTGGCAGGAGCGTCTAGCTCCTGATATTTATTACAATGGTTTCGGACAAGTCAGTTTCCCAAGCTTTTCCGGTGTTATATGACAGCACATAGTGAGAGAGATCGCCTGGGCTAATATCGTGCTGGGATTGATAGATATATCGGATTGGCGCTTGCCATTCTGTCAACCATGGCTATTGGTAAGAAAGCTATTACCCTGCTTATGACCGAATTTTTACTCACTGGTTCTTGCTTTATAGGTAGCAGTTTCGTAATCACTAAAAAGGTATGTTATTGCTGCGTTACGTTAATCTCGACCAGCGCATTTAAAACCTGATTATGTTCAAATTCCCACATTTCCTGGATCTAACATTTGTCTCCCACAGGGCCTAATGGATGCTTCTAATAGACATGGATTTGAGGGAGATGGGTTTTCATACTTAAAGAGTCCGATCTGGTGGGGCGGAATCACAACATGTACGCATGTCTTCCTTTTTAGCCAAGCAATCCATATCACACTGACACTGGAAGCAAATTAGTGGTTCTCGGAGAAATCGCAAATTTTGCAGCATATGCCTTTGCGCCTGCGATTTTAGTGACGCCATTGGGGGCGCTCAGCGTTCTTATCGGGTATGACTGTCTGGTGTTGGGCTCCCTAGCAATTTAGGATACTAATATCGTTCAGTGCTGTGCTAGGGGCATATTTTCTAGGAGAGCGATTGGGAGTACTCGGAAAGCTTGGTTGTGCTTTGTCATTACTGGGCTCTGTCATAATCGTTCTCCATGCGCCTCCGGATGAAGAAATTGAAACCGTAGATGAAATTCTAGAGTATGCAATCCAACCAGGTAGGCATCTTCTTGTCCAAAATCAAAATCATTCAACGACGCTAAGTATCGACGCAGGTTTCCTTCTGTATTGCGTGGTGGTTGCCGTATTTTCAACTGTCATGATTTATCGAGTGGCCCCGAGATATGGGAAGAAAAACCCACTCATATACATCTCAATTTGCTCGACCGTCGGCTCAGTTTCTGTTATGTCTGTCAAGGCATTTGGAATTGCGCTGAAGCTCACTCTGGCTGGCCACAACCAGTTCTCACATCCATCTACTTACGCTTTTGCTATTGTTGTTGTATGCTGCATTTTGACACAGATGAACTATTTCAACAAGGCTCTAAGTCAATTTTCGACCTCGATGTAAGTTTGAAAAGCTCATTGTATGGTGTTAATTCATATGCTGATCCTCTTTGGCAGAGTGAATCCCTTATATTATGTCACATTTACGACAGCAACGCTATGCGCCTCTTTCATCCTCTTCCATGGCTTCAACACCACTGACCCTGTCAACACTATATCCCTTCTCTGTGGCTTCCTTGTTATCTTCGCCGGGGTTTACCTACTGAACTTGTCCAGGAGTGACCCAGATGGCATTTCGCTTGCTGGAAAAACCAACGAGGACGACGGTGTCCCTACCGATGGAATTGCGTCAATTCAAACCCGCTTATCATTGCAAAATCGAAGGAGTATGGACCGACATCGGCGGAGCTCGTCGAGCATTGAGTATTACGGAGGACCCAGTGACCGTGAAGGACTCATGCGTTCGTATGATGTTGAATCAGGAGCTTTCGGCCTACAGGATCTTGCGGAAGAGAGTGATGACGGACATCAAGAGGACTCGACGCAGAAACGGAACGGCTCTGCGCACCCTCCAACATCACCAAAGGTTCCTGGCACATGAAACAAAAATATCTTGGAATTTCTCCCATCGTCTTCTCCTTCGATTACGTGCTTTCCATTCCTTCCCAGATTCGTCGACTTATTTTCCCGCCTCCAACCAAACTATATCACACATATTCTTTTTTACCTCCCCTCAGATATATAAGGGGGTTTGCCCATGAATAATGGAAACGATCACGAAAAGTACACATCGAATTTTGTGATGATCCATTTTCTTCCTTCACTCTCTTAACATGGTCATACAGGTCGGGTTGGACTCGAACAATCAAATAGCAACAACAGCTATGATGCGGGGTTGTATTTCATTCTTCTTCTTTTTTTCATATTTATTTGTTTTCTTTCTCCCTACCATTCAGTCGAGCTTGGGCGGGACATATTGATCATACGGGTTATGTTAGGGCTAGGTCAAGCTATGTTTGTTGGGTTTAGGGTAGGTAATGAATCTCTCCCTCACTTGCATTGTAAAAAACAGGGGGGTATTAAGGCGTTTGTGCTCCTATGCTTTACTTTACTTTTACTTTTTTTCCCCCTCATTTTCCTGCATTCCCGTGAGGGATTCGCCTGAAATCTAGATCTCATTTTTCTCGGTATCTTTGGTCTTATCTCCTTTTCCTTCTTGCAGCTTCACTTTGCCATTTTCTGTTCGCGGTGATACTCATTTTCGTCTTGATTTTCCATTTCTTTACTCTCTTATTTTCACGGCATCAAAGCATTCGGTTTTGGATCGGAAGCCAAGGCAAAGAACTAAACAGCGAATTCCCAGTGACAACGGGAATTTAAATAGTCACCGTACACAAACGGAAACAGATATATAACTGTCGGAGCGACAAAGCGACTTATATTTGATGGAAGCCAATTTTTTTTTCAGATTCCATCTCTATTTTCCCTTTCAACTCTCTTCTCCTTTCTTCTCCACTTCATCTTGAGTAAATATTTACCTTCCCCATACTCCTGGAGTAATTACATATTTCACCGCGAATTTGGCCAGAATCTCTCCAACAATTGCCTTCCGCCCTTCTCTCCATGCTCACCAAGGTTCATATGCCGGAATTCACGTGTCTATGCTTACCCATAATGGGAAGATGTCTTAGGTATGTCTACCTTCTCAATTCTTAGTGTTGCTTCCTTTACGATTTTTCCATTTTACTTATTTATTACGAAGATGCTTTATTCATCTTCTCTCAGACACATACTCTCTCTCTTGGTAGTTCTAAAATGTCGTCCCAGTTGTGGTCTCCGGTCATGCGTGTATTCAAGTTTCGAAGAAGCCAGTTAATGAGTACCCCTAAGTTTTGCATCATCTGCCACCTTTTTGCAGGTTCCTAGGATCACGTATTCTTTCACTTATGCATGGGGATGGATCAGAGAATGCGATAATTGCTGAATTTAAGGGTAAAGATAGGGATGTGAAATATATATCTACAGTCCGCCATGGATCGTTGGTCGCAATCCAGACTGTGAAACCCCCTACTAAAACAGCTCAGGTTACTGAACTAATTGACAAACAGAAGGGTTCCGCCAACCTCATGTTGTCTGGAGCAAACTGCTCTGATTGCTGGGCAAAAAAAATGCTTCGCAACTGTATCAAGGCTAACATTCTTCCAAGCTGCTCCCTTTCAGATGGCATGATGACCAATTGCTTCCCAGTCGTAGATCGTCAACCTCAATCAAAAAGCTCTTCCGCCTCACCAGCTCATCTCCATCTATCTCCCTTGCCACCGTCTGCACGCCATGGATGAACTGTAGACGCTTCTCGTAGTGATTCCAAGTCCAATCAGTAATTCGGGAAAGAGTGTACAGTGCGTTCTGTCTTCAAAAATCCTCTCCCTCCCTCTCCCTCCCTCCCTCCCTCTCTCTCTATCTCCTTTCTATTTTAAAGCAATGATAGTTTCTTACCAAATATTTATCTTTAGTTCTTGTCTCAGGCTTGAAGTTTGAAGTTGACATAGGAACTAACTAGTTATGGCCTAATGCATTAGTAATGATCATCTTGTGCCTGGCATAAAATATCATCTGATTCAAACTCTAAGACCAATTGACTTCATTGTAGAGTGTAAATAAGACCATTAACTTTTTCAACGAAGCGATGAAGAATCAGATATTCTATTCCTGCGGGCCATAAGAAAAGATAATGCCGGGGCTGGCCAGGAAGCTTTTGATTTTTGCTGCTGTGGATGGGCTCATTCTTCAGCCTTACAGTTCATCACAGCGCGGGGCTCCGAGCAACCCGTCCTCTGCTCTACGGATTGAGTACAAAACTCGCCGTATAGACTCTGCGCCATCTTCCTCGAATTCCGATGATGCTTGCTTGGAGTCTCATGGAGTAATTGGTTTGTTATATCATCCTGGCCCCAGATTGATTATTGGGAATCTGACAATCTTTCTCCATCCAACAGGCTTGCTCTCTCTTGCATCATTCTCATTCTTAATATCCATTACCCAACGCCAGCAGGTGGCTCAGATCTTTGGAAAGCCTATTTTTGCAATTACAAGTGTAGCTATCATTCCTCTTTCCTCTCAGGCGGAGGCAACCAAAGCGATCAATCAGGCCCATGCCCAGATAGCGTCCAACAAGGATAAAGCTACCCAGAATGATATCGAGACCCAGTCTTTGGAGAGCGACTCCGATCTGTCCACCGGCCGCAGTAGTGAGGATATCGATCTAGAAGGCTTGGATTCGACAGATCGAGGAATATATCCCCCGTTGGGCAGTAAGGGTAGTAAGGGAAGCACTATTGCCGAGGACGTTATTGAAAAGCGGGGACGGTACGGCAGGTTCACTTCCCGCTGGTTTTCCAAACATGGGTGGGCGGGAGAGAACAGCCCTCAGAATAGGGGATTTCAAGAGATAATGGATCCTGCTGCAGAAGGGTCCATCGGAGGAAGGAAGAGTGGGGATTATATCGATGAAATCCTGGAACTTGATGACCTTTCACCCACTGGACAGAAAGCTTCTTCTGATCCCCAAGGAATTGCCACGCCAGCCACAGGAACGGCAACATGCGAGTTAATGCCCAAATTTCTGCGCTATGCGAAGATGATGTTCAGTTCAAACAGTTTTTATTTTTCTTATGATTATGACATTACTCGAAAGTTTGGTGCCCACGACCCTCAAATGTCACCAGTACCACTGCACAGGATGGCAGATCCCTTGGTATGAAGCTTTCTTCTAAGTATTCACTGCATGTCGAACGTCACTAATTTGATTCAGTATTTCTGGAACCGATATTTGATGAGCCCTTTCATTGAGAGTGGATACCACTCGTTGGTCCTTCCGCTGATACAGGGCTTTGTTGGACAGAAGGAGTTCACTGTTACGAAGTCCACCAAATCGCCAGCCGCTCAGGATACAACTATTACCCTAGTAGCTGATGTCGATAATAACGCACCAGATGTCCATGCTGAAAATGAGGGCGAATGCGATAAATTTCTTCTTACTTTAATTTCACGACGATCAGTAAAACGCCCAGGGCTTCGATATCTTCGAAGAGGAGTGGATGATGAAGGCAATGTCGCAAACTCTGTGGAGACAGAGCAAATTTTATCTAGGCCGTCATGGAACCCAGCGGACAATATATATTCGCTGCTCCAGGTTCGTGGATCAATACCGCTTTACTTCTCCCAGTCTCCTTACTACTTCAAACCCATACCTGTTCTCCGCCACTCCATCGAAACCAATCAAGCGTCGTTCGCTCGGCATTTCCGCGACCTTAGCAGGCGGTATGGCGAAATCCAAGCCATTAGCCTCTTGGATAAACACGGGGTGGAAGTTAAAATTGGAGAGACATACGAAAGTTTCGTGGACATATATAATCGTCGCAACAATGCGGACTCACACAAAATTGGATTCGACTGGTTTGACTTTCATGCAGAATGTCGTGGAATGAAATTCGAAAACATCCAGTGCTTAGTTGATTCCATATCGGGGACACTAGACCGATTTGGAAGCACCGTCATACAAGATAATATTGTGTTGAAAAGTCAGTCCGGCATCATCAGGACAAATTGTATGGACTGTTTGGATCGTACTGGTGTTGCACAATGTGCGTTTGGACAACGAGCATTAGAAAAGCAACTCGAGAGCGAGGGCTACTCGATCGACCTACGGACTAGCACATCTACACAATGGTTCAACGTTTTGTGGGCTGATAATGGGGATGCCATATCGAAACAGTACTCCTCAACAGCTGCCCTTAAAGGAGATTATACCAGAACTAGAAAACGAGATGTTCGCGGAGCGCTCAACGACCTCGGGCTAACCCTCTCGCGCTACTTCAACAATATAGTCAACGATTACTTCTCCCAAGCTTGTATCGACTACCTCCTGGGAAATGTCACAACCCGTGTTTTCGACGAGTTCGAGATGAACCTAATGTCCGCTGATCCAGGGATATCTATCGAAAAAGTACGGCAGCACGCCATCGACACCAGTTGCCGGATCGTGATAAGCGACGAGTCCGAGGAACTTGTGGGAGGCTGGACGGTTTCAAGCCCGCACCGGCCTAATACATTGCGGTCATTGCCGTTTGAACAGTCTGTCCTTTTACTGACGGATGCTGCTGTCTACTGCTGTCGTTTTGACTGGGACACGGACAAAGTTACTTCCTTCGAGCGCATCGACCTTCGCTCCATTACCAACATCAATTACGGCACTTACATTACCTCAACTTTAACCGATGCCCAAATGGACCCGAACCATAATGTCGGTGTCGTTATAACTTACCAACCAGGCGCGACAAATATGCTACGCGTAAACACACGCTCCCTCCACAGCCTCTTTGACCAGATATCACAACTATCCCCTGCATCCACTGAATCTGCCACGAACAATCCCCTGACCCCAGGACCGGATTGGGACATTACCTCACTATTCAAAACGAGCGGCAGTGGCAACAGTAGACTCCCAGCCTCGCGCATTTTGGCGTTCAAAATCCTCCCACAAACTAACATAGCTGCAAGGAATGCCCTGGATAACGTGCAGGTCAGTGAAAAGGACGCTGCGCGTGCTCTCAGCGAAGAGATTGAGCGCACTTGCATGCGGGGCGCGCCGGATAAAAACGGCGCCGCCGATACAGGCGACTCGGGGCGTGTTGATAAACATACAATCGTTGAAGAGAGGGAGATCATCTCAACGGCTGGTGCGAAGAAACGGACGGGATATTTGGAGCATTTGGTATTTGATATTAAGAAGCTAGTATGGGCTTGAGGTTTTGCTGGTGGCTCTCTCTTGGACATCATTCTCCCTTCCGGCACGGGCGATGAGGGTGTGGATTCCCAATTTTGATTTCAACTTTTTCCTCTTTTCTTTTTAATTATTTATTTTTTATTTGGTGATTTTGTCCCATGCCAGGCATATTCTACTTTCATTGATTTCGTGCATTGCATCATACAGTTGATACCCAGGTCGGAATAGTTTGGCCTTCTCTTCTTTTCATATATATACCCATGTACTTGTATATATCCATCCATACAATTATACATACGCTGCTGAAGAGCATCGGATAATATATAGAACGTAGTATTATTCTATGTTATTGTTTTAAAGTAGGAAGAGCTTTTGTTTTCCCTAGGGGTCCCCAAAAAAAGATACGTGTCACCTTAGCGTAAGATTTCGCCCTATTTAATCCGCAGGCAGGTTAAGTAGTTCCAATAGAATATCTGTTTAATCTACAGGTCTCATCAGCCTTGGTCACCAACGCACGGCGGTCATTTCCGCAGTGGCCACATGCTTCACGAGATCGGCCCAAACCGCCAGATTGTCCCTATGTAGTCGCTCTTCAGGGAGTAGCCGCTTCCGCCGATGGGTATATGCCTGTATATATCGTTTTGTATATTGAACCACAACCAGCATCAGCCAGAAATTGGAACTCATCTCGGCTTCACGCGATCCCACGGGCTGAAACATTTCACATATTAGGTTTGAAAGCAAGAGTTTCTGACACGACACGCAGGTTTTCCATGAAATTAAGATGCTCGACCCAGACACGGATTTTAGCTACATGATCTTTGTTTTGAGTGTCTTGACACCTGCGACAGGCTCTGAATATTCCAAGAACGGACGGGGATCTATAATGAAAGCTTAACATGCGTTTCCCCACCTTTTGGGGGGTCAAGTAAGTAAAATATATGTGCTGGAGGTCGTGAGACTGAGCAAACAACGTCCCCAAACCAACATCAAATGGATGTTTGAAATATACTTGGCATGGTCGAACTTTGTCCGGGTTCCCAGGTATGCGGAATTGCTCGTCTCCCGTACCCTATGCATCGCTGATTTTGCAGACTTATCACGCAGTCCCTAATTGACGTTTTAAGTTAGTTCTTGGCGGTATATCAACGCCATGGCTCATGCCGTGGCTTAGGCGGTTGCGATTGACATATGTGTTGGTACCTGAAGCACCAAAAACACAAAGGAAGATAGCCCGATCAAGGAATCACCGGGATTATTCTCAGTCGGTAATTCCCCATGCGCCCCGCAATGCTGGGTGCTTTTGTTCCCTTGTTCCCGTGGTTGAGAGGGAAATAAAGTTGCGAAGAAGCGTTGTTCGTGGGTTCGTTGTTGGTTGACTCCTCTGCGGATGCCAAGCCCCAAAATTCTGCCGCCTGCCACCGCTCCGTTAGCCGCATCGAGAGCATTCCCACCACCGCCAACCCTCCACTGTGCCCTCACCACCAGCGACGTCTAAAACTCCCACCGCTTGCAGACAACCCTGCGCGCACTTTTTGTCTTGATTTTCTGTCTGGCTTACGACGAAGCTTTCCCAGAGAAACTCAAGCCGCTAATCTTTGAGTGGTGTCCGTACAGTGATATCCCTTCTGCAGATCTCCACCCTATCTCTTACACCCCACCATCTCACAGAAGTCAAACCACACCCCTCATCAACGAACATTTAAATACCCGCGAAAACCCAAAGTACGGGGCGGGCGCCTTGATTTGGGAGATTCCATATAGGCGATAGAGAGGCACCTCTCTTGAAGCTTCTCCTGAACATTACTGTTCAGTGATAATTGAATCTTTATCAGAGCTCCCCATCGCTCTTAAGTTGGTATTGGCTATACCCCTGCCAATTTTTATCGCAATGGCATGGCAACCGCAGGACGAGCCATTGAGGCAATTGGCTGGATTTCTACATGATTCATTGAACGGAAGCGATGGCTCTACACGAAAACATGCTGAACAGGTATGTTTACAAAACCCCTCTTCCCTCCCCTCCCATGTTTTGCAACCCCCCCCCCCCCTTCTCCCCTCTTTGCGAATGGTGCTTTGTTGTATAGTAAGAACTGTTAAACGCTATAAATATCCCTGGTTTCCTATTTGGTGGTGTTTTGAGCTGACAGTTATTATTTGGTAGATGCTGGTGCAAGCTACAACCTCCCCAGATTTTGCAAATTATCTCACCTACCTGTTCAGCACGCCCCAACCACCTTCTCATATCGGGTTTGATCTTCACACTTATAATGTTATTCGGATCGCAGCGGCATTGAACCTAAAAACTAAACTTAGAGTCGCGTATGGGACTGTTACACCAGAGAGTCTGGAATATATTCGTTCATCTGCGCTTTCAGTACTCCAAGACCCTTCCCCGCCGATTCGCAATTCGGCCGGTTCCATAATTGCAGAGATCGTCGCGCGAGGTGGCCTTCTGGCATGGCCAAATTTGCTGGATGAACTTCTTTCCCTGGTCTCGAATTCTTCGGGATCTGTGCCGATGTTAACCCAGGAGGCGGCCATGTCAGCTCTGTCGAAGGTCTGCGAGGATAACAAAAAGCTGCTGGATAAAGATTTCCAGGGTCAGCGACCATTAGATATTATTCTCCCGAGGGTAATGCAATGCACATCCAACCCTAGCCCAAGAATTCGCTCTACCGCTCTAGCGACAATCCACATGTTCCTTTCGCAAAGACCAAATATTTTAATTGGCTCGTTGGATACTTTCCTTGGCCATGTATTCCAGCTTGCCAGTGATCCAAATACCGATGTTCGGAGGATGGTATGCCAGTCTTTTGTGCAGTTAGTGGATATCGCCCCGGATAACCTCATTCCTCACCTTGGGGGGCTGGTTGACTATGTGCTCATGCAACAGCATGATCCCGAGGACCCGGAATTGGCTTTGGATGCAGCAGAGTTTTGGCTGGCCATTGGGGAGCAGAAAAAATTACATGAGCCGTTAGTGCCATACTTAAGTAAAATTATACCTATTCTTCTTCGCAGCATGATATATGATGAGGACGACGCGATACTTTTAGCTGGAGAGCATGACGACGCCGAAACCGAAGATAAGGTAGAAGATCTGAAGCCTCAATTTGCTAAAACCAAAAGCTCTCGGTTACAGTTGACTGGTGGTGATGACAAGCCCAATGGTGATGTCAATGAAGCTGGCGCAGATGATGATGATCTGAGTGAGGGAGAAATAGAAGATGATTTGTACGAGTATGGAGACGATGACCCCGAGGCGGAATGGACATTACGAAAATGTTCAGCAGCGGCACTGGATGTTTTCGCCAACGTGTACCATCAACCTGTTTTCGAAATCATATTGCCGTATCTCAAAGATAACTTGCGGCATGCCCAATGGACGAATCGAGAAGCTGCTGTGCTAGCGCTCGGCGCTATTGCAGATGGCTGTATGGATACCGTTACACCTCATCTACCAGAACTCATCCCTTACCTTATATCCCTCCTTTCAGATCCTGAACCAATCGTTAGGAAAATTACTTGTTGGTGCCTCGGCAGATATTCGGAATGGGCTGCTCACCTTGATGCGGCTGAAAAGACCCAATTTTTCGAGCCGATGATGGAAGGGATTCTGCACAGGATGTTAGATAATAATAAGAAAGTCCAAGAGGCAGCGGCATCAGCGTTCACGAGTTTAGAAATGAAATCGGACGCGAATCTTCTGCCATATTGCCAGCCGATATTGCGGCAGTTCGTTCTCTGTTTCGAAAAGTACAAAGATCGCAACATGTACGTACTTTACGACTGTGTCCAAACTTTGGCTGAAAGCGTTATGTCCGAGCTAGCGAAGCCAGAACTGGTGGATATCCTTATGCCTGCACTTATCCAGCGATGGAACAAATTATCTGACCAGTCCAGAGAACTTTTCGCATTACTAGAATGCTTGGGCTACGTGGCTGCTGCTTATGGTGATGCTTTCTCTCCCTTTGCTCCTCCGATATTCGCCAGATGCGTTAAAATTATATACACGAATATCCAGGATTACCTTACCGCAGTGAATCACAACACTGGTGAGGAACCTGATAAAGATTTCCTGGTAACAAGTTTAGACATGCTCGGTTCGATTATCCAGGCTATTGATCCCCAGAAAAGCTCAGAACTAGTAACCACGTCCCAACCACCGTTTTTTGAACTTCTCCGCTTCTGTCTTGAAGATTCCAACTGGGAAGTACGGATGTCGTCATATGCCCTACTTGGAGATTGTGCGATCAATATTTTCCCTACTCTTGCACCCGTCCTTCCTACAATAATGCAGATCCTAATCAAACAGCTTGATCTCAACCTAATAAGAGACGATGAGTCTGAGAATGGTCTTCGTGTGATAAACAATGCTTGCTGGGCTTCAGGCGAGATTGTTGCTGCTAGCAAAGACGGGATGGCTCCATTTCTGGAAAATCTTTTCCAGGCTCTCACCGCAATCATGAGCAACGAAGAAGTTCCCGATTCTGTTAACGAAAATGCAGCGATGGCTTTGGGTCGCTTGGGAATCGGATGCGCTCAACAGCTTGCCCCGCACTTAGGAGAGTTTGCAGATATGTTCCTTCGATCAATGACCAAAATCGACTTCACCCGCGAGAAGGCAAGCTCGTTCTTTGGATTCAATCAAGTCGTCCGGGAAAACCCAAAGGCTATGGAAAGTTGCCTTTCGGATTATTTCCATGCAATTGCCGTATTTCCGCGTAAATCCTTGAATCAGCCTCACTTCGAGGACTTACAACAGTCGTTCCAGCAGGTGAGGAACATCTATATCACCCATAGACTCGGCCCCTACTTTCTTATTGAATATGCGCACAAAGTCTAATTCACAGCCAACTATATAGGTGCTTCAAGGATACAAAGACCTAATCCCGGACTTCAACTCGTTTATGGCCTCCCTACCCCCTGCCATTTCCAGAAAACTCCAAACTGCGTATCAACTCTGATTTATCTGGCACAAATATGTTAATCTAATTTTCGTAATCTATTAAGAAACATGAGATAGCCCGTCAGCCTTATTAAAAACAGAAACACTCCCAGACGGCGATGAATAATATGATAGCACATTTATATCCGTTTTTATCCAATCGATATTCTCCTAGGCACATGTGGCTATTCTCTCTTTTTCCAACACTATATACCTTACTTTCCAATGCATATTTTCAGGACCCCTTCTTCCCGTTACTCCCTTTCCTTGGCTTTTTTCTCCATGTTTTATTTCCACTTCCTCAATTTCTATTTCTTGGGTTTTTCATTCTTTCTCGAGCCTTGATTCTCGCCCACCTTGTTACCCTATGCTTCCAAGACTTTTGTTCCTCGGTTTGATTTCTTTATATACACATAGGGCATTCGCGAAAAAACGGGAGTTCATTTATTTTTGTCATCTGCTTACTCGTGTATTTATTTGTGAAAGCTCACACGGTGGACGGAAAAAGATCGAGGAATGGACAGGGAATATCAATATCTCAGTCACCCATTTCTGAGATAAACCACGTCTGGTTGAAAGTTATGATCATGTTCTGCAATTTCTTAACTCCTCTCCTTGCACTCCCGTTTACTGATCTTATGCCCCAAACTCCCTTTTTGGCGATCTCGTCGACTGGCCGTTGCTCTAATCTACTCTCCCCCTCGCGCTGATATTTGTTTTTATCACTATACTGTTTTTTCCGGCCATCTTTATCTCGTGTCGTGCATCTCCTGCTTGCATTCATTCCGTTTGACATGCTTCGGCGCAGTTGCAACAAATTCATTCATACCCAGGGAGAAGGTGAAGGCGATATTAAACCAAAGGAAATAAAAAGTCAGAATGGCTTCTCTCCTGGTTGCTCTTGTATCCAGGATCATTCTTTTGGATTTTGTCGAGGCTATTTCGTAGTCTTGATATCTATCCCACTGACCTTTTCCTTATCAGCCTTCGTTGATAATGGGCAGAAATAGGCAGATGTATAAGGTTTGCTTCTGCCCTGGAGCGTTTTTATTTTATTTTATTTATTTTTTTTACTTCTAACAAAAGGCATTCGTTGTTTAGATAAGTATTTAGATAGCATAACTAACTATACATAGCTATACTTCCTTAGAGTCATCATAATCAATTGATTTTTACCAACATCATAGAGTTAACGGACGATATTCTCATTATTCTCCCCTTTCCATCATATACAAGATTATACCAGAAGTTGTCGATGTCGAGTTGCCGATGTCAAACCGACTCATTCTTTCTATATAAAAAGTGCATATCTCATGTGGCAAACACGTTACGCCTCTGGCAATTATGGTTTCACGAGCATCGGTCCCAGAATAGATGATTCGAGGTGACGAGATTAAATGCGCTCATTCCCCTCCCTTGCTTGTTCTTTCACCCAAATAGCTGAGAATGACAGCAATCTGTTTCCGACTTTCTCACTCGATGTCTTTCGACGGCCACGAACTGATACAGGGGACAGGCACTAGAAATAGGAGGGTAGGACGTGCCATATGGCCACGTGTATAAGGAGTGACTCAGGGCACAAACGGTCTTGATTTTCAAATGCATCTTCTCTCCTCGGTCGCTGAGTCTCGGAATTGTAGAATTGCGAGAGAGCGGAGATTGAAGACGAGACACCTGTCGTGTTTGCCTATGGAGTAAGTTATCGACATACCGCTTGAGGTAACTGGGTATCTCGGGATTTTCGTTAACCAACTGACCTTCTATTTTGAGATAACGGTCCCAGGAATCGCTTGCAACCTGCGGGAGAAGTTCGCGACGATAATGTTTTTGTCGCAGTTGAATTGTTCCAGCGGCACCAAAAACCAACAAGGAGCAAAGACATGCAGAGAGAAAAGAATAAATACCTAAATAATAGAACAAAAAACACGTTCGGATAGGAAAAAACAAGCGAGAAGCCTCGATATTGTTTCATGCCTGTGAAACAACCCACGAAATATCTACATTACATTGCATATCAAAATATATGCCTGCACGCACATGGCTGTTGTGGGAGGACAAAAAGAGAAGAAAGGGCTGAAGACATGCGTTACCTCAATCCTTTGTGCTTCCCTAGGAAGGCCGGTGTCTGTAATGCATGTGTGCTGCTCCAGTTCTCGTGGGCTTCGTACGAGGGAAGGGTTTTGGGGGCTCCCTTCTCCCACTTGCCCTTGGTATGGGCATTGGTCGCTATCTTTTGCTAGCCCCGTCAAAGATTAGACGGGCCTTACTTCCTGCTGTCACACACTCGGATCTGATGTGTCTTGTGATGGCTATTTTTGAGCATTGTGGTATTTGAATTGCGGCAGTGAAGCAGCTCCATTTCAGCTTTCTCTCACCTGGCTTATGAGCGCGGGGAAGAATGTTTTGTTCTTGTCCCTCCTGCAGAATCCTGAGCCAGGGTCCCAGCAGTCAATACGAAGGTGCGTGCACAAGTCTTCAATGTTAGTCAATCTTCTCTCTGTTTACTCTGAATTGCAAATTTTTCACGAGCCCCTGAATGGAGCCTGCCGTGGGTTGATATACAAATCTAGCAGAGCCTCAAACTAAGAGGGGCCATGCATTCAGCTGCGGATACTGGGTGAATGGAAACTGTCGTTGTTGGTCGCCTGAACTCTTTCGTTTACCTTGAAGCCATAAAGCTGCTCGGAAAGAGAACACGTCGAAAACCACTTTTTTTCGTCTTGTGGAAAAAAGTCCGCAGGTACCATTGAACCGCCCATCATGAAGGACCGAAAATGTTGGAACTTAGTCCGACCAGTGCCAACCACTCCTCGATAATTTTCCGTCAGTATTTGCCTCAACAAGCCGACGTATATCACAGCGGCTCTGCGCCATCTGTCTTCCTATTTGTTCGCATGGTTTCTTGCACATCCCGGTGGAGCCGCTCTCTTGGACCCCTGCTGGCCGGTTAAGGATTCACCATTCATGGCGCGGCTCTGTTAGAAGCCGATCCTGATAAATCAAGCCAAACCTGAAAATTACAAACTCAAACGAGAGGAGATAAAAAAGGGGGTGGTGGGGTTCGAGAGAACAAATCCCTCCTTCACAGTCGTAGAGAAGGGGAACAAGTCCTCCATTCTGACCCTTCAATCGCCCCTGAGTACGGAGTATAAGCCAACGCTATGATCGATCTCCTCGTGATTGAGGCTTCTTTAAGCTTCTTTCTGCGGTCAAGATTAGCTTCCAGAACTGTTCTGGCACACAAGAGCTCGTATCCGGCAATTCCATTTACTCTCCAAATGTATTTTGTCGAAAACCACCCGTGCGCTCGGTATCTTTGTGATTCGGGCCCCAGAATTGAAATTGGGTTTAGGATAAGAGCATCGCAACAGATAAAATTAACAGGATGCAAAGTATAGACAATGTCCAAATCTTTTAGGCGAAATGTTACCTAGTTATTCCCGTCTCAGGATGTATTTGTTGGTTCTAGAAGGATTAACAAAGTTTAGTGACGGAAAAAGGAATTCGCAAATTATCGTGGCCTGGAGCAGGAAGGAGTCGGTTCGTCCACAACCGACACAGAAATCTAATTTCCATCACTACGTCGTCCATATCCACACGTTGAGCCTTAAGGTCGTGACCCCATGATATTGAGTTGAAGAGACTTTACTTTGACACGTCTATATTCTCGATATTGCTGTGGCTTTTCTCCTGCATGAGAACACCTGTCGTAACCCCCAACAGATTTTGCCCACTGATTGAGTGGGACCACAACGCCCCGCCTCCAGCTGGTGAGTGGGCACCAACAGACGAGACTCATATCCACCTCCCCAGAACTAAAGATTGTCAGTTAGCCAAACATTTCCAGATGTTGCGGTCAGGAAAATAAACACAAGAGGACTCCAAGAGGACCAACCAACCACTGCCTGGAACCTTGAACTCGGTTGATCATTATTAATCGAATTTTGACAGACGCCCGAACAAGTTTTCACCGACTCCCACGTTTTCATTTTCCATTTTACGCTGTCCCCAAATGCCGGTTTCTCATCCCTTTCAATTGCCAGCCGATGATGCAAGCGGCGATGGCAGAGAAGTTACATTTTATTTTATTTACTCCACATTCTGCACCCGAATCGATTACAACCGTGACAACAGAGGTTTCCCCCACAGTTATATTGACTTCTGATCAATTCTCAGAGCAGGATCTAACAAAACCCTGATTTGAACTGTGCGAGATGTTGATGGTCAGAGGTATGAGCGATTCAGGGCCCACCAGGGGGTTTTCAGAGCCAGAAACCAACTTGGAAAAGAATTTACCAGCAAATAATTTTGCAAACCCCCACATTTTGGTACTGAATTATTTGCTAGTGGGGGAGCACATTTCTTCCCAGCAATTCCTGCATGGTGCTGTATCTTTTCGCCGTAGATATATATGTATTTCCAAAGATGGTGATCTCATGAGAGAGGACTCCCCCTATTTTGAGTTTCTCAACGCAGCAACTACTATGTGCCGGATACATCGATGCTGGTAGATTCAATAGTCTACTGTTTGAACAGGGGAAGGAAAAAGGAAATATTTGGACAGCGGCGCCATCGGACCTCAAGCCGCATTTGTTGCTTTACCGAGGCAAGCCCAGTGAATTTTATACTGGTATCCTTGCAAGCTCACTCAAGTCCCGGCGCCTATGCTAGGAGACTCTTGTGGACTTTGCGGACTGAACTTTCATATATGGCCTTCTCGCAATCGAACAACAACGGGACAGAAACAAATTAATTACTCCACATTTTAGCCATGATACGACTTCACCAATATGTCAAAATAAACATACTCCTCCTGGCCCCGCATACAACCTTAAGTGGCCGAGGCGGGTTTTAAGTTTTGGCCAGGTCCTTCTAAACTTAGACCCAGCCAAGGGGCCTTTGGGCTGTTCAAGCTCGGCTTAACCGACACAAACAGCGGGGGGAAATTGTTCCGTTGAACCACCAGTGTCCGACAGCCCCTCCAATCACATCCGGCAAACCGTGGGATGCTGCAGTCAGCTTGGTTGAAGTTGGCAGCGGGAGCGTCGACATCATTCCAGGCTGCTCACTGCCATTTTCTCGTGCCCTCTGTTTAGGTTTGATTCATGTCGGAGGTCAATGGCAATCTGTTCACTGGTTGTTCAAGCCGTCAATCAATTTATGGCTGCTTCCGCATTCGGCCTTGAAATTGAATATGTAGCCAGGTTTTTTGCAGCTAATTTAGGCTTCACGTTATGGTCTGCAAAAAAAGGAGCTAGCAAGCGACGGGGCCCTTGAGGATGAAGGTCGACCAAGGAGGTTAAGGAGCGGGAGACAGTTCAGTTACGGCCGAAAGGGTTCAATGGTTCATTTCCTGAATTCTTTCCACATGGCTGTCAAGGATAATCCCCGGCCATTCAGGCAACAACAGCAACGTTTGAGGTTGACTTGTGGAGGAGCTGAGCAGGGATTTGCGTTTAGAAAAAGCTGTTGGCGGTGCTTTGAGAATGTCATGCAGAAATGGCATTTTCTTGCGCTATTTTGACTGAAAAGGGCGTAGCTGAAGGCGAAGCATCGCAGGAGTAGGAATAATATGGTTTCGGCAAGGTGTCTTTCACCTTCCTTCTTGAGGACAGTTTAATGCGCATGCAGAATAAGATTCAAGAGGAGTGCTATGACGATCTTCTTGTCTCCCATCTTGTTCTTGATTGGAGTTTCTCAAAAAGCTGTTCTTGTTTCAACCTGCTGCGCAAAAACTTACTTTGGCTCTTTATTTTGCATCGAAGAATCTTCGCCATTATTTCTTTTCTTTTGCCTCACGCTGCAGATTCCTTCAGCCAACGGTCAAAGGAATTCGTATTCGGGAAGGCTGGTGTCCCTGCGTCTCTATTGGGCCAAGAATTTTCTTATTCGCTGGATTTGCTTGATCAGTGACAAGGGAAGTTTTCATCACCTGGATCACATGCATTAGTGCATACTATTTTTATCTTTTAAGATGTGAAACTGCGCCTTGGTTGGGAGCATGGGCAATGCTTCAAGCTTTGAGGGCTCCACTTGGTGATTCTTGCTTCAATCAGAATAAGTTGTCGTAGCAAGCATTGGTTTCTTCCTTCGCGGGGGAGGCTGTAACATTCCAGCTTCGAACTCCAACACTGCCTCGAATAACGGGGCCGGCCTTGTTTCAGAGTGCAGATTACGTCCGTGCGAATGACCGGTTTCCTTGATGATAAGCCCCGCTGGGATGCCATGTGGAGTTGTCCCTCTTAATTCTTTGTGATGACTATTGAAGATATCTACGTCTACTTTGCATGTACTGTACATGAACAGATGTACCTTGCCTCCAAGCCTCTTCGTCGAGCAAATCTTCAAAGTTTGCTGAACAAAAATATGCTGTTATAGGTATGTTTGCACTGAACTTTTACTTGGCTTCGTTTGGCCCAAATATTTGATCCCTGTTTGCTGTCGCTTCTCGGGAGGGACGTCATATCCATGTTGTCCTTCAACAAGGTCGCATCCTACTAGTCGCGGACGAACGAACATGGGTGCCATATGGAGATGACCTGAAGGATCCCATGCTCCAAAACGTCTCCCTGCGGTGACTCACTGCTGCATTAGTTGGCTAATTTCGAGACCTGGGAATTATTCAGCGATTATAGCGACCAGCCTGATGGATGAATCTCGCCCAATTTGGTGAAAACACTGCCCGATTAGTAATTTTGAAGATCGCTCAAGTGTTGATGTGGCGATGAGGTGAATCTGGACCTTTCACCCATGGTAACACCAAAACTGTATCGAATTCCCCATTCTTGGAAGCGAGGAGATCGCCAAAATAGGTAATCGCCTGGGACATTGCAGTTAGTCAAACTAAAGAATAGGCGAACTTACGCTTGGGCGATTGCAGAAGTACTAACATCCTCGTGGAATCTCCGCTTCAAATCCATCTTTTCGTTGATATCATGTTTCAAAAATGGTGGGAGCCAATACGTTTGATCCCGATTAAAGTTTGACAGAAAAGGAGTAGAAACAACGAATAATATTGTCATAATTTCTTGTCAAATCAAGTCTGTACAGACGATTGGGCGCTTGAAATGTCTTTCCAACTACAAGCTACTTTGTAAGTTGGACTGGCGCAATCGATGAGAATATGGCGGTGTCAAATTTCTCGGCCAAATTTAAGGTTACCTGCGCGGTCCGTTCTTGAACACGAAAACGGTTCCCCTCAAGCACCCGACGGAGACGATCATGCCGAAGTGGAAGGGCACATGTTGGCACAATCTCAATCGGAAAGTATTTTTGTCCGTAACAGTCTCGGTATAACATTCAAGAAATAGAGTTTGGTTTTTCTCTGACCCCCCAAAGCTTCTTTTCTGTCCCGCCTTGTTGTATTTATTGTTTCGTCTGCGTTGTGCCGAATTCGTTGAGGACTGATTGCCTTGGAGTTTTTAAATCGTACTGATTTTAATTGGTCTAAAAAGATGTACGGTGTCTGGTGTCAGTAGGATGTAAGAGTTGATCAAACCTATGCTTTTTGTCTGTTTCAGAATGAGACAAACTCTGGTGCTCTTGTCCTGATATTCCTGTCCCGTTGACGTGCGATGGTGCTCCCCACTGGCAAGTTGACCACATGTTTGTGGCTGGTTTTTGGCCAATGGAAGAGAGCGGTTGGCGATGCTGTGCCGTTGTCTTAGTTCTGTTGTAACCCAAGCATGTCGACATCCAGCTCTTCCGAAGAACAATGTTATTTGTGATGATTGTCGTGGGTAAATATCATGAGTTTCAGATCCTCAAGTTGATATCATAAAATTTCGCACCATCTGTGTGTTTCAAATTTGATACGTGGAAAGATATAATTATTCAACCCTGTCATGACTTCGTTTATTCTCAGTAGGGATGTCTTCCTTGTAAAAGATTTCCAGATCGGTTGTCCAATCTCGGGTGAAAAAAACGTGCGTGAAGCCTTTCTCAGCTGTGAGAAGACCCAATAAGGCGTGTCTGCAATCAGTCGTTGGCCACGGGCGATCTGACGCGAAGCAACCCCCACCACCTGGCATCAGGTCTAGCCATTATTGGAAAATGATGCTGAACAAACACTGCCTTCAAAACCTTAAGAATATTTGCCTGTTGGTCTGTATGTCAGTTACCGGTGGTAAGAATTAAACCTAGCATCTTCCCGAATAAGAATGGTCAAACACGCATTCATCACAGGGCGGACGAAGGTGCATGCTTTGGCTGGCAACGTGCATGAAATCGCTTCAATGCCCAATATAACTGGTGCAAGGAGGGAGCTTTCATCGGGGAGGATGCAGAAGTGCTTCGCGCTAGACAACTAGTGCATGAGCCAAGGGCTCCGCACGACCCGCATTACTCCCCTATTAAAACGCCCAGAATCGCGGTTGACCCTTGGCTTGATCCCATCCCCCCCTTCCGGCTGACTGGGATTTTCCCCACCTTCTCCAGGATGGTGGCCTAATTGGGTTTAATCTCTTAACTGCTGCAGGGATTACTAGTGAAATAATCGTCTTTTTGTGCCACTCACCGGGGTGATAAATGCCCACAACCACGCTAATTGAAAAATTTTCGGCTGGATTTGATAATTTTGTTTTTCTTTTTTTTTGCTCTGAATTCTGAGGAAGCGTGTGGTGAGCGTTTGAGCCTGGCAGTCAACCTTATCATTTCATTCAAGTCGATCCCTCCAATCTTTTCTTCTCCATCACAGCATGAATTGAACCTCTAGTCGTCAGTTGGCACCCTTGACCCAGCTAACGACTTTCAGGTTAAGTTGCTTTAAAGTGAGACCCTCTGGAGGAGGATTGCTGTTGATTGAGTTCAGGCCTTGCATCCTTAACTCGTGGGAGTAGTTGTACCATCGCGTCTGATAGGCGAAGGTAAGTTTGACCAGGCCGATCACTTTTTCTGGAAAGGCAAAGCCGCAGACGCACATTCAGCAAAGATCATTGTTGTGACGTCGAGAAATCTTTTGCTGGAAGAATGACCTCCACATTCACGTGTAGAGCAAGCTGAAACTGTCTTTGATTGATTGATTCCCTCACTGGTTACTCTCGCCAGCCGTTGGTGGCTGCAAATGTTTCACTGGAGCATAGGATCGACGCTCATCAAAGTTGGTTACCCCATATTTTTTTTTGGCTGTGAGCCGCCGTGAGCTTGAGAATTGAAAGCCAATGGTCTAATAATAGCGGAAGTCTAATATCTAACTTGTGTCGTCGTCTCAAGGAACTTTTGAGGCTCTCCTTCAATTTTTAACCTTTTAAGACCTAGCCAACTCCAGGCTAGTCAAAACTTTAAATGTGTGCTGACAAAGCGTGCGAAAACTGCGGAGATCTCTGAGTTGAGACCAAAAATTTCTGGCAGCATGGGAAGAGGATGGATTGCAATTGTGAACTGGGAATTGGAAATTACGAGTATAGATCCAGGCAGAGCTTTGGAAAATCCCTGGTATCAATACCTCTCCTATCGCTCTCTGATCAATGTACGGAGTAGCAGTAGTTCGTACTAGATCATCTGCATTGTGCTAGTAGTTCAATCATGCGTGGTCCCAGTCCATTTTGTCTGCAAGGGCTGTGCCATCCTGGACTCGCAGGTACAGCAGTTCCTCGTACAACCATTGTTGGATTGTTTTCTTTGTACAACCTGGTCCACCAGTTCAGACATGGACATTCTGTAGCTGATGCCAGGTTCTGGATGTCTGTATTTCATAGTTCAAACGTGGTGTTTGACAGGAGAATGCTTGCAGGCTGCATGGGATGCACATGGTTGGCAGCGTTAGTATCGCGGCTGGATCACCTCAAACAATCCGACAATATTTTCTTCGCTAATGCCGCTGACTTTGTTGTACACAGTCAGCGCATTCGAAATGCGTTCTGGATGGATTTCGTGCTAAAACACAGCCGAAGATTAGTCTGACCATGCTCCAACGTTTAGTTGGCTTGACGTCGTCTCATGCTTTCTTTTTCCCGTTTGCACTGGATAAAATTTTGGAGCTATCACTGGCCTCCAAGCCACATTGTGTTTGACCAAAAGAAAACGCAACTTCGGTTCGAAGAGATCGGTGCCGGAGGACAACGACCTCCGCCCCAATCCTTGGCATCAGAGTCGGAAATCCTCCAGAATTTGTCCAACTGGGCCGCAGGCACTCCATTCTCACTGGAACAGAAACACACAAACCCCCTATCATCCACCGGTCCTTGGAGGCCCGGTTTGGGTGGATTAATCATGAAGATTATCACAGGGCTGCTGTTGAAGATAATTTGCTTGGCTTCTTCCAGGTGTTTCAAGGCGAGGTCGAGCTAACCATCCATTTAGAGCCGCCTTTTCATAGGGTCTGATTCGAGAGAGCCTGGTAGCGATCTCCACAAGAGCGATCTCACAACCGCAAAGCAAATGATGTCAAGGCACCAGGAGAGACACCAGTGAGCATGGGAGTCTCAAGAAACTGTGCAACCTCGGATCGGCATAAAATAACAATTTTCACAAGAATAGCGTGGACATGGATCGGCTTGGCTGCTGGAACGAACCTCATCCGCGGGAGCGAAATTGACCAGGGCAAAAAATATCATGGGTGGCTGGATGATGCATCGATTTGCCGGATCCAGTCTGCATGAGAATCGCCCATGCTGTCTTGATACAAGCTCGTGGCAGTTCCAACGACGGCTTCCGCTGGCCTTGGTGCTGGATACATCACCAACCGCAGCAGGATAGGCCGATGGAGTCATCTGCAAGAACACAACTGCATCTGAAGACGCTACCACAAAATACCAAGTTTCATGTCGCTTTTTGCCCAGCATATGCCTAAAATAATAAGGCGGCAAAATTACCATTAGGCTTTGTTCAAACTTCCTTAAACTGAGCCTCCGCAAGGCCCCAGCTTGGAACCCACCAACTTAGCTTCTACAGCCGAACTCGGGGCCTTGATCAAGAATACAGCCCGAAAGACTGTCAAGGAAAAGTAACTCATTATTTTTGCTTTCTCTACTATCTTAGGCCTAGGCTGACTTGCATTTTGGCTTTACCCAGAACAAAGGGGCGACCATACTTGGGCACTCTGATTGATTGGATTCAATCCTTGCCCTGGCAATCAGGCGCCGCAATACGGTCCATTTATTATTCGATTATTCTCTGATGATAAATTGCTTTTTCTTTTTTTTCCTTTTTTTCTTTCTTTTTTTTATTTCATTTCATTTCTTGCCTTATCTTCTTTTGACCTCCCGGTTTGGTTTTTGAAATGCCATTTGTTTTGGTCATGCTCTCTTTTGCCCGAACCTGTCAACCTCCACTGTCTATATCATCCGCAGGAGAGAGCGCAAATCCTCCCCCCTTGTCCCCTCCCACCTTCTCGTAACCCCACTCTCCAGTTTATCGCTTTGCTCTAATTTATCTACTTTCGATTTGGCGAAGCGTCTTGGCACTTTGCTTGAACCCAGGTAACCCACTTCTTTGCATTAGTTGACTGGGTAAGCACATCTCGTGTTGCGGTTCAAGAAGAAAATAAGTTATATACTTCAACTCTCCCTCCAAGCTCAGAACCAAGAAACGTTTTCTCGTTCCTGCTGATCATATTTCTTCTCGAACTTTTTCGTTGGCCAATATACGAAGTGATAGTCTAGTTTTATTTATTTCTTTTTACTTTTGTTGTTTAATCATTGGTATCACTTGGGTTTCAAGAAACCCAGCAATCTTCATTTCCTTTGCCAACCCCAAGAATCAACTTGAGCATTTTCGAAGATGGCTGGACCTGGAGGTGGGCCACCACGCAAGAGTCATACGAAGTCTCGGAAGGGCTGCAAGACTTGCAAGAGACGACATATTCGATGCGATGAAACCACTCCTCAATGGTAGGTGTTCCTTCTACAAATAGATTGGGAATGGGAGATACGGCATCAATAAACTGACACCGTTTGGGTAGTCGGAATTGTACAAAACATAATTGTCGCTGTGATTACATGGATAATGTGATCCCCCAAGAGCAAGCAGTGGCACCGAGGACGGGACCGCATCTACTCATGTCTCCCCAGATTGATATCGAAATTGATGCGTGGTTGAAGACTGGCAACCCTCCATTCCCTGAACTACAGCTGAGTTCAAGAGAATATTGGTTTAAGTTTTCGCGTACTGATTTGCGTCTTATTCACCACATCGCTGGGCTTTCAATTGATCTACATCGACGAGGCTACAGTGATTGTACAGTCTGGGCTCAGAAAATGCCCATGTGAGTTGAATAACGTTCATTCATTTGACTAATGACATGAGTCATATTAACACTCTGGATATCAGATTTTTGGCTATTGCGTTGTCAAATGAGTTTGTCATGAGTGCGATTCTGGCGCTCTCAGCTTCTCATCTGGCCTGGATGACCCAGAACCCCGAAACCGAAAACCTTGCTTATCACCATAGGGGGGTGGCTTTGGGAGGTCTCCAGGAAGCAATCGGTGCCTTTTCTCGAGAAAACTCAGATGCCATATTAGCAGCATCGATGCTTCTATCTTGGCAAGCTACCGAATGGCAAGTACAGACTTCGATTGACTGGCTTCGAACATGGGCTAACCATCATGTTTGAATAGGAGGAGCTGGGCCTCGCTTCAACAGGGTGTCTCAACTGTAAGGAGTATACCATTTTCTTCTTTGGTGATGTTTTGGTTTTCGGTTGGATCTGACTCCACGTATAGGTTCTTAACTCGATGCAACCGTGGTGGAAGGAGGAGTCAGAATTGGCAAGATTTATGGATTCCCAGAGAGCCTTTCGAAGTGCGAGAACGCCCCTAACATCCAGTTATCCTGGATCGATTGGCCAATTCCAAGACGAAGATCTTATGAGGTTAGATCGTGTCCTAAGTAGTCTGTTGAACATCCAGCAGCGACTTTCCCACAATCAAGAACACCATCAAAGAGTTACCGATTTATTGCACTTTGTTCAGCAATTGCGAAATGATATGCCTGTGCAGTCACCGGATCGAGCTTTCGAAAGGCTTCAACCGCTACGAACCTGGCTCTTCTGGCTTCCCCCAGCAATGCTAAGAGGTGGGGAAACCGATCTCGGTGCACTCTCTGTGCTCTCACAATTTTTTGGGGTAGCATTGGCTCTAGAACCTATTTTCCCTGAAATTGGAGGTTCCTACCTCGGTACTATGGCTTTCCTTCCAATAGAAGATATACGAAGAATTCTGCAAACGAGGAAAGCCTCTCAACCTTTTGCCCCCGAAATTCAGCTGGCTCTAAGCTTAATGGAACTGCCCTGCGATATTGTTGCGGAATATAGGAGCCGGCTTCATTTTTCACCGAGAAACTCATTCGACGCCTACTCCCCCGGGCCACACAGTCCATATCCTGGGCCACCGAATCTTCATCTGTCATCCACGTCTCCATCGACAAGCTCTGGCTATTCAGCTTACACTACATCTCCACTCCACTCTCCACTCACTCCCGCGATCGTTGCTTCTCCCTACCAAATGCCAGCAATCATTACCTCCCGTCGACAATCTCAAGTTTACACCACGTCGCCAACCCTCCATCCTGACCACACAGATGATCGTGTTGGAGGCGACTATAAGCACAATCCACAATCTCAATCGCCAATTTTCAATCCTGCGTACTTAGGAAACCTAATAAATGGCTCACCGGTCATGGGGCCAGACTTTAATGAGTCTCCTACTCTTAGCGTGTCAGGAGGGTTGGTCATTCCCGAACTCTGCTGGACTTGATCTTGATCCATCATACCTCCTCCATCTTGCACACGGCCCAGCTATCACTACTGCTCCTTCACAACACAAATCCCAAAGCTAAGAATCACATAAAACACATTCATACACACAAAACATGGCAGAATCATGCGGCTGAGTCTTTTTTTATTTCCATTTTATGGAAATCCAGGGACCCATCCGCATCACGCCGTGGCTCTTACGCGAAGCCTTACTAGCACGCACCCTCAACTCGTTGCACTCCCGATACCCCGAAAAATCTATTGACACATGCAAGATATGATTTTTTTTTTTATTTTTTCGTTACCACTCGTCGATATACGACATAATAGCTAACGCCGGTGCCTTGGTGGATTTAAAATAACTTTCGAGTAATGGTGAAGATTGATGGATTATTTTCCATAAATGACGACTTTTTAGACGGACATAACGAATTGGGCTTTTTTCTTTCTATTCTTTTCCCGTTGACTTTCTCTTAATAGTTATATCTCTTTCTGGGGCATTTTTATTTGATATAGGATATTTGTCCTTTTCTCATACCCGCATGTTACAACCACTTTTGTGATGGAGGGCCACTCAGCAACAATAATGGAAGCGAAATTACTGGATTTTTATTTTGCTTTTTATTTACTATTTTTTCCCCCTACAAACTATTTCTGTCCCTTACAAGTCAAATTAGGACTTCTTTGCATGAAAAGCAAAATATAACTTTATGTCGTCCTCGCATATCAACTATTTTGGGAATTCGGGTTATTCTTTCTGCTCATAGGTATCTCTCAGGGTACAATGCCTTCACATTGTGGTGCGTTCTGTGTTGTTCAATCTTCAACCCTGGCCGTTTTACGGAGATCACCGTGCGCAAAAGGAAATTGCAAAGAAAAATTGCAATGCGCAGCAGCTTCTGAAACAAATTTTGAACTGTCATAAGCTTCTTCAACATTTTCTCACGTTTCAAGTTGTTGATTGATCCGTAGCAAGGAACATTTTAGCGGTTGGCTGACATGCCTCGGCAAGTAAACGAATTGCAGGGAACGGCTGCTCCGTCTCGTTTGCGCATGCAGGGTTATATCATTGGTCGAGCGATTGAGAAGATTTGGCTGGTTGTAGAAAGTGCTTGTCAGTAGGGGAGGCATGTACCTTGCTTGCTTGCTTTCCGTTGCTAGCAACTTTCCGGAGGGGAAACGAAACAGAGCTTGGGGTATTGGGTCAGGGACAGCGCCGTTCCTCGGGACGCGTCTAGCGATGCCTGTTATTTGACCGTTGCTGCCAGAATCATCCGTGGGGCTTGGAGCCTTGACGGATACGAGATGAGCAATGGGCCGAGTGTTTGTCCAGCAGCCAACGACGAGCTGAGGCGACAGCTTTCAAATCTGCAGTTGATGATGCAAAGTTGTCGAATTTGGCGATCGAAGAAATAAAGACCAAGCTCAGCCTCCTTTTGATATTGATGTGTGGAGGAGATGGTTACCTTGAAATTGAGATCCTGTCGCCAGAACAAGCTCGGGAAGTTTGTTGGTTGAACTAGAGTAAAATTTAGGTTGCAGCCGTACATTTCTATTTTTGGCGCGAGGCAGACTGTGGCTCCGGGCCCGCGAGGCGAACTGCCAGAACATCCACCGTCTCTGCGGGATCAACCATCGATCCAGATCCTCTGCCCTTGCAATCTTCAAACGAGATATCTGTGACGAAATTGAGAGCTGCGCGGGGCTATGGCCTGTGCGTTCTGAGCAACCTCCCAGCAAGCATTCTTGCGACATGCGGGCACTTGCTTTGTGGCTGTGTGAGAACCAGCTCGAACTGATCGCAAACACAAGACGCGTGCCGGACGGACACTTTTGGCATACATCTGCTCCCCATGCCGTTGGGCCGTACTGGTCGGTTGAAACGTCCTTGTATTGTCCCCACCTGGGCCAATTTGCTGGGTAAGTTGCTTGTTGTCGTGATGCGATAATGAGCATTGAATGGAGCAAGGATTGCTGTCATCCGTCAGCATCGTGACAGCCCCCGGCGAGAACGCAACTAAGACGGAAGGAATCGTACTCCGTACTCTTTCACGAGTACAGTTGGTATCGGCTTGAGAGAACAGTTATGCCGATGAATTTGGTCATTTTAGGCGAGGCATCTGGGAGCAGCGAGGAGGATAGCCTATACATTTTGGAACCAAACGCAATTTCCTCTTTCGTACCAGCTAAATTGAATTGAATTTCACAGGGCAGTGCTGAAGCTCGGAGATCGTTACGATACTGGCCTCTTTTCGCATGGTCATCGAAAAAATGGGATTTGGAGGCGTGGCATTCGATCACTCGTGGTTGTCCAGGGGGTCGAGCTGTCAGGACCGAACATGTCCGATGTTGGACCCATCCTTGAATTTACAATGTCTTAGATGATTACAATAACGATCTGGGTTCATTGGCTGCATGACTACCGAGGTGATCACTGCCAAGTAAGCATGACAATTGTTCATGAGACTACACGTCGGCTGACCCCTCGGGTGACTCACCTGACCTACGCTAGTGCTAGTCACCTGACCCAAATAATTTCTTGGCACAAAATGGGTCAGTTGAGGATAAAACAAAAATGAACTTTTACCTTCTCATACATCTATAATACACACAGTGAAAATGAATATTATAATTCTTTTTTTGAATAATAGAAATTGATTAAATCTTGAATATTATTAAATTGAGAAGTATATATAAACTATGAATGAAAATATAGTATATAAAACTAGTTCTTTACTATTATTTAATCAGTTACTGACTAGTAAGTTACTAGTTAGTTATAAACTCATTATTAACTATTAATATTGCACTAGTGAATTACTGATATATTACTAGTCAGATACTAGTCAATATAAATTTAATATACAGAGTATAGTTATTTAAATTATTTAATATATTAAATTACTACTCTATAATTAATCAATGACTAGTCACTGACTAATCAATACTTTTTTTAATTTATTTATTATTACATAATTCTTAGAGACTTTACTTCACTCTGTGAGTCTGTCTTATATAAAATTGAGTGATTAGTAGTGGACTAGTATTGATGATGGGGGTGCTAGCAGAGGCTCAGGGCAGTTGGTAAGAGCTTGTAAGAGATCAAGTTGGTAAGGAGCTCAACTGACCCTTTGACTAGTCACCATTTCTATAGGGTCAGGTGACCTACACTAGCGTAGGTCAGGTCAGTCACCCGAGGGGTCAGCCGACGTGTAACCTGATTGTTCATGGTCTGAATGATGGTCCAGCTGGTTTTGATTTTCAACATCTTCAATGTCAATGTCAACTCTCGATTCCGTTGAGTTGAGCGGGCTGAGTGAGAGTGCCAATACCCAGTTTCGTAGTTTGGATTCGAATAATTATTAAAAAGAGGATACAAACAGATACCATCCCACTCCCGATTGACCATCAAACGACAGGCACACTCATGTTCCTAACAAGCTCTATTAGGGAGGGACTTGTACAGTGCATTCTAACCAGTGCCCTGAAGGCTAAATGGGCCTGAGAATAAGATATACACTGCTACGGGGATTTGGATGGACAAAGCTCTTTCAGAAGGATGCCGGATTTTCTGATCCTGAATCCGAGCACTTTTAACAGATAACTAATCGATGCTGAGTTTCTTTTGAAGCCCAGCCCGCAATGGCTGTCAGTTGAAGACTGTTAAAGCTCGTACAATCAAAAACATCATCAGTGCCATGATAAAGTAGAATAACTCCACATCAACCATCACCTGAATGTCGCAACCCGTCCAGTTACAATCCGGACCGTAGATTATATCGTAAAGCTCTTGCTGATAATGTAAATGCAATTCATGCCCACCAACTCCAGGCACCGGTGCAACGTTTCTTTCCCGATTTACAGGATTCCTCACGTTATTGTGAAGGGTTGGAGCCAGTAATTATGCCGCCGCCTCTTGCTTATCCCTAGTATGTCCTTCAAGAGGAATATCGGAAAAGTGAATGATTATGACACAGGCTCCCAGGCTGAGAATCCTCAAGTTATTGTTTGTTAAACTGGAGGTTTTGCTCATTGACACGAGAGCTTGCCAGATCTCCCTCCTTGATACTGTTTTTCCTTATCGTGGAATTCATTCAAGCTTCCATTTTTTTAATCTGTAATTTATTAATTCCTTTTTATTCATTTATCTTTGCTTTTTACTTTTGTTTGGCACAACGGATAGAATGTGGAATGTGAGCCTGGGAAATTTATCCTATACAGTCAACGCTAAACTACAAATAACATGTTTGCATCAACTACGAGCAAACATCCTTCTGCCTTTGACATCATCCCAGGCTTGCATCTTCGAAAACTGAATGCAATGTTGAATAATTGCTGTGTCAACCTCCGCAGAATTCGAATTACCTTATTTAAAGAGGCTGTCATAACATACGAGATACCCTGAGACTAATTGCGAAGGAAGTCCCTATCAAAAACAAGAATTACCCGTTAGTCATAGAAAGCCGCCAAAAAAAGGGAAAAAATCATGCCAGACGGGGGAGGTTGGAGTACCATCGAGTCAGACGAGGTTTGTCGTTCCCCTTCCGCTCATCTTCCTCCATTGCCGCCATCAAGAGTATCCAGTTGTTTGTGCTTCTTTTCATGGAGCTACTAATGCCCTTTGGCTGATCCGTGTCATCTGCTGAACACAGGGAGTTTTCACTTCATTGATAGAAAATCTGGGCGTCAAGGACGTCCAGTTCGAAGAGCTTATATCCCTCGACGCAGACACAATCAGATCATTAAGGTACAGAACAACCCTTCCTCTGCCAGCCTATGTATAGCATTGCTCTCCTATCACCCGGCGCAAGCAAAACCCACTAACCCACCGCCCACCTCAACCCCCCACAGCCCCGTGTACGGCGTAATCTTCCTCTTCAAATGGGCCAGCGGCCAATCGCGCAACTCCGACGTCCCGCAGGACGGCACGTACGACCGCGAAGCAACAGACAACGGGCTCTTCTTCGCCGCCCAAACGATCCAGAACGCCTGCGGCACGCAGGCCGTCCTCTCCGTGATCCTCAACCAAGACTCCGTCCTCGCCGGCCACCCCCAGCAATCGCAAGCAGGCATCGGCATCGACATCGGGCCCGAGCTCCGCGCCTTCAAGGACTTCACGACGGGCTTCCCTCCAGACCTGCGCGGCGAGGCGCTGAGCAATTCTGCGCTCATCCGCAACTCGCACAATGCCTTTGCGCGCGCGTCGCCGTTCGTCGATGAAACGTCGCGCCCGCCGGTTTCGGAAGAGGACGCGGAGCTCTACCATTTCATAGCCTATACGCCGTTCAATGGTGTTTTGTATGAGTTGGATGGGCTGCAGCCGTTCCCTATTAGCCATGGACCCTGCGAAGAAGGCGCGTTTCCAGAAAAGGCTATTGAGGTCCTGCAGAGGAGAATTGCGAGGTACCCGGAGGGGGAGATCAGGTTTAATCTGATGGCGGTGGTGAGGGATTTGAGAGTGAAGGCGCATGAGATTGGGGATGTGGAGATGTTGGAGAGGGAGAAGAGGAAGAGAAGGGCCTGGGAATGGGAGAATGCACTGAGGAGGTGTAATTTTGTCGGGTTTATTGGGGAGGTGGCGAAGGGGGTGGTGGAGATGAAGCTTAAGGAGGGTGAGGACGGCTACAAGAAGTGGGTAGAGGGGGCGAAGAAGGAGACGCAGCGGAGGCTGGAAATGAGAAGAGGAAGAGGAGGTGGGGATGACTTCGAGTAGGGCAGGGTTTAAGGAGAACAGTATGATTTGGCGGCGCCCCCAGCTTTTCTCATTGAGATCATTACCCGTATAGATAGCGATATGGTTCATTTTCTTGATGTTTCCATATTCCCCTTTTAGCGTTTTCATGGATTTCATGCTCTACGTGGGAATACGAGGAATATATGTTGGTTAACATGAAGCTTAGCGCTTTCTCTCCCTCACCTCCTAAAAGCCATTTCCAAGGATATTTTCAAAATTGCTCAGTAAAATAATCCATTGACTTGCAGACAAATATTTTCCGTTGAATAGCTATGCCCTATCCGCCAGGATGACCAAAAACAAGATACAGTGACCATCGCAGAAACGGGGGCGCAATTGCGAAAACAGAATCAAGTGGCCCCAAATCAAAAAAGGTGTAATCTCGGACACACTAGGAGTATAAAGCAGGAAAAAAAGAGGGGGGAAAGAAGCTAGCAAAATCATTAAACATAATAAACCACAGGAAACGGTAAGCAATGCGGGTAGTTGTAGGAGAGAAACTGATGTAAACCAAAATACGTCCTTCCGCTATGAATGCAATTTTGTGAGATGAAAGGATGGAAAATGGTGCGGAATAATATGCAAAGCTATCCAAAAAAGAAAGACGTAAAGTATAAAAACAAAAAAGAGCGGTCCTTAGGCGTATCTGAAGGGATCATACTCACAATAACAACTAGATATTGGGAGGTGTGCTGAAATATTATCCGTCTCCAGCAACTGCCTTGGGTGTTGCTCTCAATACCCAATAATATGCCCCTTGATTCGCCCAGCCATGTCAGCGGGGAGGTCGCCCTCTTTTATAAGCCCGAGCGATAAAATATCCGCCCAGAAAAAGAGTGCCCGATCCTGAGCATAGGCAAGATAATCAAACTCGCCCGCAGGTTCATTAACCGTGTCACTGGGTTGCTCTCTCTTGCAATCCAATTCAGTAGTATCACCCGCTGGTGTTTCTCCTTCTTCTTTTCCTAGGACTGGCTGTTCCTCAGAAGCAGCAGACAAGGGAGAGTGTGCTTCTTCCATCCCCGAGATCTTAGCCTGGACGATCCCCCACGCTACCCATTGTGCGGAATTTGCTGCACGCCAAAGACGAGTTTCGCGGAGAAGACGTCGAACTTCCAAGTCGAGTGCTTGCTCGGCTCTCTCGTGATCCAGGGCAGACGAGGTTGGGATCGGCGGGACTTGGGTGTCCAGCGTGAAAGGAGATATCCGAGGACTATTGGAATGCGACGCTTGGAATGCTGGAGTTGGTGCTGGGCTTGAAGATGCACTCACCGAAACTGTCGCGGAGCTGAGCGCGGACTGGGAACCGCGGGTTTCTGGTGGGTGGAAGATGTGTGGTCGATGTGTGAGATATGCGCGAATGAATCGTTCCTGTTCTTCCGGGGTAGGATACCATTTCGTATTGCAGGCCCATGGTCTTTCTGGATCATGGTAGTTATAGCACCACTCCGTCTAAAATAAGTTAGTCAATCGTTGAAAAAAAAAAAAAAAAAAAACCGTTGCTGCATCATCAGTGACGTGGACTTACGAAGTGGTTGCAGAATTCCAGCCCTCGAGGGTTCGCTGAAGCATACTCAAAGTCGATAACTACAAGCTGCTTATGTTTGTTGGCGGGGAGCAGAAGGGGGGACTCTCCACTTGGCTCAAGCCGAAGAAGGTTGCCATATTGTGTCTACCAGAGTTAGACTATGACGACCTAAGTGAAACGACCATTGAAAACCGAAACGAAGTTACTCACGTCGTTATGAGCGAACACAAGCTGCTTGTTAATTTCAGATGCCCCGCCATAGCATGTATCCAACCAATTGCGATAAGATTCAACCAATTTCCGGAACTTTGGCCATGGGGCACCGCATATAAAACCAAGTCGTCGCCACGGTTCTGCTTCGACCTTGGACTCGTTGAGCGGAGAGTTGATTTCGCTATCCAGCCACGAGGCAACATGTTCGCACCGCTCTAGCCATTTGTCCCAGTTCTTCCACAAAAATGGACCACCTTCCCTTTCTTCTGAGAGCAGTTCGATCCCTTCATGCAGTTCCCGCATCCGCTTAGCGATTTGCTCGGAAGTTTCTGGGTTGCGGATGTCTCTAGGCGTGAGGGTTTTTGCACGGAAATACTGTTCGAAGCGGCCATTTTTGAACGTCCCAAGGACCCGGGGGCCGATATTCCGTTTCCCCAGACGGCGCAGAATCTGGAGTTCGCTCTCCCGATCGATCAAGTGTTCCACTTGGGGCCCATAGATGCGCAGAAGGAGTTGTCTGGAAGTGTTGTCAGTTTCACCGTATTAAGACCTCAAAAACATATTTAACAGCATAGACTTACGGGGGAGGGCTTCTAGGCATCAATGAGCTCGAAGTACTCGAATCAGATGGAGGCGGCAATTGTTTTGGCGGAGAGACAACATATACAGCATTTGTTAACGCTCCGCTGAGGCGAACCACTTCAATGTTACCACAGTCTTCCAGGGGAATTCTTCTCCAGCCCTTGAAGCTTAGCGTGTGTGTCAAGCGCACGATCTCATATTTAAACTTCAACCAATGTTCTTTGCTCTTAGTGGATACGCCGTTTGACGAATTCTTGTTTCCGAAATCACTATCTGCTTCGCTTCCGCCATAAAAAACGGTTTTGGAGTTGTCAAGGACAACATCGGCACTGGGGGGTGGTAGATCAGCATCTGAATAATCTGAATCGGATGTTGAACCCTGTTTTAAACCTCTAATGCTAGCTCGGAGTTTGAGAGAAGACGATCTCTTACGTCCGATCCGTGAAGATGAAATGCCCTCTTTCCCAGTAGCCGCATATTGGGCTAATATCTGCTCCAACTTCTCCAGGGCTAACATTCCCTCCGACGCTTGGGAGTCGCTTCTCTCTCGAGTTAAGGCTGAGGCTGTCTCTCCAGTGGTTATACCTGGTAAGGGGCCCTGCGACCCGCCAGTTCTCTTTGAGGCACGCGCTACAGACTTGGCTTTCTCCTGTTGTAGCCAGTCGAGGACTTGCGCGAGCAGCGAACGTTGGGCATATAGGTTTTCGTCGCTGCTATGGTGCCGGATTTCGGGGTCATCATCGCCTTGAATAACCGTGTCAAAGCTAAGGCTATTGATTTGACTGCTGAGCCAGTTTAGAGAATTGGAAGATTGGTGCGGCGATGGGCGTGCTGTTACCCTCCTTCCTACACAGGTACGATGCTGTTTAGGTGATCGACTTGCCGTAGCGGAGCGCCCAGGGGAGTCCCCGTTCACGGGCTGCGCTTGTAGCTGGGGCTCGTCTATCCTTGTCTCTGTTTCCCCTGCTACATTTGAGTCAGTTAACTAAACTATATTGAAGTGTTATTTGCATCCAAAAAGGCCACTCGTAACAGAACACATTAACGTAAAATCAAGGCCGCGCTTAATCCTCATACATATTCGTATGTTCATCAAAGAACCAAGCCATGACGTCTCATTTCTCCTTCCTTCTGTCGCAAGCAATCCAGAGCGGAAATATGAATATATTTCCTGAATCATCATCCTGAATCGACTTGGTTTCAAGATGTACAAGTGAATTTACAAAAGTATATTCTTCATAATGCAAGACCGAAATTTAACAACAAGAAATTTTTTAAGCAAAAAATGCAAATCAGAGAAAAAGTGGGGGGGAAAAAAGGTCATCTGTCTCCGGAGACCAGGTGAATGGACAAATGCAGAACATGGTGGGAAATCAAGGCATAATGACTTACTGGAAGCGCCATCGTTGGGAATCATAGGACCCTGGCGATCGGCGGGCGCCTTGTTGAGCTCCTTCTCCGCAGCAGATGACATGATTGTCAGCGCAGCTATTTGCTTTCGACAAGACGACCAGTCCGACTTAGCACACAGGAAACAAGAGTAAAGAACAAGAACGAAAAAAGGGAAGCCAGCGAAAAGAAGCAACGAAGCAGCGCAAAAATAAGGGATAGAAAACAAACATCAACCTTGCTCCAAGCGCCCACGTCCTGGGGGATGGTGGTAAAAGGGAAGGAAAACGAAATGACCCGTCCCTTCGTAGCACCGTTATGGGATCAAATATATTATATCCAAAAGGCAGTTCATTTTCCGCAAGGCAATAGGGCAGAGTGGCGGGAACTGTCGACTCCCGATAGCGAAATAATGATGGGACTGGCGAGTAGGATAGCTGATTGGCAAAGAGTGACTGATGTGAGAAAGGGGAGTACTAGTATTTACAGAGGTTCTCCATATATACCGGAAACCTGTATATATCAAAGAAGAAGAGAAGTTGGCTGATGCGGATCTTGGGATGAGACTCGCAGTCGCAGCCGCAGTCGCAGCCGCAGCCGCTGCAACTCGCCGCTTCCAGGCTCGGCCCACGGACAATTGCCGCAAACACCGAAAAGCACGGGCGTCACATGCTGCTGACTCAGACAGAGCTTATCTCGACCTCAACCCACGTCGTCGGCTCTCTGCACCGTTTTGTTGGAATTGGCTTGGTCTCTGGCTTGTCTTCGGGGATGCGTTGCTTGCGCCGTGGGGACGATAAGGACCCAGAGCACATCCGTTGCAGTCCCTTGCAGTCCCTTGCGAGTTTTCTATCCATCACAGAGTTGCAGTTTGCACGAGACTCACCGCCACCCAACATCCAGCCAGCAGGGGACAGACAGATAGTGCCACGCCATCAATGTTCGGTTGTTAGCAACCCCACCAAAAATCATGGGCTTTTGTTTGACGTAGAATAATGGTTGGGATTACATCGAATTCAAGCTAAGCCAGTCATGGGATGGGAGAATCGAGATGCTAAAACGAATCCATGGTTTACATTATCTTACGTACCTACACAGGCAGGTTAACAATCTTCGTTGCTACTTTTGTTGCCTTTTCCCAATTTCCCTATTTTTACCACCATATTTGAGAACAAGCCCAATTCAAAGAAACGCTACAGAGGAGATATGAGAAAGAGTGCTGAAAGCAATAAGGGAAAAAACGCTAAGAGAGATATGGCAGCAAGTTGAGAACCCCCAATCATGATGCAGAAGGGAAGGACAGAACGGACAAAATAACCAGAACCCATGCCCTAACAAGATGACAAAAAAAAAAAAAACCTAAAAAACTAAAAATAATGAAAGAAAGAAAGAAAAAGAAAGAAAACGAAAGAAAATCATTGCACTACTATCAAACTATCGGCGACATACTCTAGCGGTCACACTCCAATAGAGCATAGCAGTACCATCATTCTCGGGGTACATCCCGTGGTATCAGCCGGATTCGGAGCCCTCACAGCATTCCGGGTATACCCCACCTCTGCCAGTTGACAGGACACACACCGTTCCCAATATGCGGCCTCAACATTCTGACCGCTGATATCGTTCCAAACAACGGCTGCGGCATGGCAAGCGTTTACTATGATATTCCATGGGTGGAGATTCTCAATGATCGTGACCATTCCGTGGTTTTCCTGATGAGATGAAGTCTAAGTTGCAAAGCCATGAACTCGACCTCGTTGATGAGAGGGGCAGTTGCTATAAAGACATGGCCAGGAGAATTACGCAAAAACGTGGAGAGCTCGCCGTCAAGGATTTTTCAGTGTTCTGAGAGCGGACATGGGAACTTCACCGGACCTGGGCGCTCCAAAACTGCCGTTTAGATAGATGCGGATTGATTGTTTCCCTTTATAATCGAGTCTGGCCCGGATTTTTCTCCGGCTTGAATTCTGTTATGCGACAATGAGTCAAGAACAGGAAACCCCATCCATCTGCTTGTCCGCGGGTCGTCACAGTCGGAGTCTTTTCGGCGTGGTGTTCTGACACCACTGCGATTGTGAGAATTCCGATCACTTTGCTTCAATACCTCCAACTTCTAATCTCACTGGAGGCAGCGGCTGGGATCGCTGTCTTATCGGCTGTGGTGCTGACGATGTTTGTGCATGTGTTCGAAACCACGGCATAGGTCCAAACGAGGATACAAAGATCCAGAGGATGCGGAGCAAATGGATGTCCTCCATTGTCTGGGCTTCCCATTGGCCACTCACAATGCTATTACGATACCAAGCAAACTCGACACCAATCAATTCGAAACTTAAAGAATTAATATTAGCGCCAGCACCAGCAAGCATCGCCCTGCTGAAACCCTGATCAGGACAGGCTACATCAACTTGAATATCGCACTTACCCAACACCACAGGGCGAGCAAGCAAAACGAATGACAACACCCACACCCTTTTCCAAAATCCGAACCAAACAAGAGGTTAAAAAAGAAAGAAAGAACGGAAAAGAAAACCCACTCAATCCCCCCCTTCCCCAGGCCCCCGTCGCTGAACCACCCTAAGGAAAACATGAACAACCACCACAAGAGCCACCAACTGGCACACATGCATGACCTGCTGCGCTACGATTTGAACCTGTAACCGCCGCTCCAGGCCCTCTAATAACCCGACGGGCCGATATTCCGTAATTCGAAGTCGCCGCAGTAGCCCTTCCAGGTAGCCGCCGCGGTATGGGCTGTCGGCTTGGGCTTCATCCCGGGCTCGGGCTGTGGCTGTGGTTGTGGCTTGGTCGCTGTCGTCGCTACTATCATCGCTGCTGGAAGATGGGATAACCTTGTTGTCCATTTTGGGGGAATTGGGTTGGGTGTGTGCGGGTTGCTTGGGGTTGTAAGGTGGGGGAGAGGGTCCTGACAATGGGATAGATTAGATATAGGATGTAGAGATATTGAAGCGGTTGTATGTATGTAGTTAAACGAGCGTGAGGGTTGCAGGAGGGAGGGATCATTTCGGGAACCCTTTTTTTTTTTCTTCTTCTTCTTTTTGGTTCTTGGTTTTCGGGGATGTTATGTTGCGCGTCTTCGCGAGGAAGGTGCAAAGCAGGAGTGTGGACGTGGACATGATTAGAGGAAGGGGCGACGGCGTGTGTATGCTGTGCATGTTGATGTTGTACTGTACCTAAATAAACAGGAACGGTGCAGGCGCGGACGGACCAGAAGCAGTAAGTTTCAATACAATAACCCCACGGATTTAAGGTATTTATTTATTTATTTATTTTTGGAAAACACATTTCCCCAAACATAAGCATGGGCAAGGTAGCTAGCTAACTGACAGATTTATTATTCCTTCGATTTCCAGGAAATGCTGATAGATGGATAGAACCGATAGATAGAGCGTTCGATATCCCGACCCGACCCCCAAAACCCTCCACAACTATCTCTTTTCATGGGCCCCTAAAGCGTATTAAAAAGAAAGAAGAAAAAAAATGGGGAAAGAAAAGAAAAGGAAAGAAAAAATAAAGAAAGAATAGAAAAACATGCCCAGCCTCCATTTTGGTTCCGGTTTTTGTGCCGTTCCTTTTTTTTGTTTTGCCGGGGGGGAAACATACACCCTTTTTGAAAAAAAAAAGAAAAGAAAAGAAAAACACCCCGAGGAATCAATCGTGGCTGGTCGACCAAACCGAAAAACAAAGATCTGTAGAGAAGGGGGAAACGAAAACGAAAGGGAACTCCCCGAAAGATCAAAAATTAAAAAAAAAAAAAAAAAAAAAAAAATCTTTGTCAAATAGTACTACTGTACACGACATGCTATGCTACATGCTTTGAAAAGAAGAAGAAGAAGAAGAAACGTGATGTGTTTTTTCCATTTTCTATCATTTCATTTTCGCGTCCTTGATCGTGCACTTCACGCGGCCGTCGCCCACTGGACGACCTTGAGCGCAAGGATGACGAGGAGGAGGGTGGAGGGGAGGATCCTGTTGTTATCGTTGCTTCGTCGTTAGGATGCACGTACGCTTCCAAAAAAATATACCCTAGAGAAGAAAGAAAAAGAGAAGAAAGAAAGAAAGAAACCCACCAGACAACATAGCTCTGGAACAGCAGCCGGGCCATCGCGCCCATGTACACGTTGTTCAGCTGGCAGATCTGCGCCAGCTGCAACGCGGACGGCGCGCCAGCGAGCAGGAAGCACACGACCACGAAGATGGGGTCGTCCAGGATGCTGACGGAGACGAATTTGGCGGCCAGCGCGAGCAGGGGGCCCATGATCAAGGTGGGCAGCAACATGCGCGCGAGCAGGGAGGCTACGATGAGGTTGCGCTCCTCGCGCTGGTAGAGGTCGGGCGCGCTGCATGTGATGGTGGTGGTGGTGGGGTCGGGGAGGGTATTGCGGGCGAGGTTAGCGCCGAGTACGACGAGGATCAAGGGCACGGCGACGTTGCCGCTCTGCTGGATGGCGCGGGTGACGGAGTTGTTGATGAAGGTGCTTGGGTTGAAGAAGACGAGTTGGAGGGACGGGATGGAGGCGACGATTATGGCGGCTAGCATGGCCCAGAGCGGTGGGTTCATGAAGGACCATAGGCCGCAGAGGAAGCGGGCGAGGTTATGGGAGATGGTGCAGATGAGTTTTTGGACCGGGAGGGGGAGGCGGTGGAAGAGGGCTTTGGATCGGGTGTGGAGGGCTGTTGCCAGGGTGCGGGAGGTGAATTTAACATGGTAGCCGAGTTTATGGAGCGGGTAGCGCCAGCTTGGGGGGGTTGGCAGTTGTTCTTCAAGTTGGGGCTGGGGTTCTGGCATTTGGTGCGTGGAGAATTGGCTAGGGACAAATTGG